GACAATAAGAGACAAATGGCCAGGAGGACCACATTGGATTAAAGAGCCTGGTGCCTGGAAGGAATTCATCATCTTTCGCTCTTGTATTATTGAGATTTAGCAGATACAGTTGATTTCAAAGGGAAAAATCCTTAAAGGAAAATTGAAATTTTTGTGACACTGAAAAAAGAAATCAAGAGATAAAATTCTATCTGTAAATCACAAATAGACAGAATATATAATTTTATTTATTGCCAAAAATAAAAAAAGCTATACAACTTAATCCATTTTAGTTTGTCTTTCTTTTTTAGAGTCACACGTGTGTGCATGCACAAATGTTTGCATGTTTTCCCACTTTAAAGTCTGTATGGTCCATGGAGAAGAGTCTTCAAGTCAAGCTTAGCAACCAGCAACTTTAGAGCCATGTTCATATAGCTTTCTTTACAGGCATAGTTTTCTACTGCCTCCTTCCAGGATGTGTTTTCAGGTTCCCAATAACGTCCACAGCTCTGGTATTTCCTGGTGATCTCTTATCTAAACACTAGTCAGGTCCAACCTGTTCAGCTTTTTAGATCAGCCAGAGTTGTTTGACTTTGATGGCACCATGGATGTCTTACTGGGTTGTAGCAGAAGCAAATGTAGATATTCCATGAAAATTGTTGCTTATCTCCCTTTTTCTGAAAACCTTGTATTTCTGAAAGGTCCTCATTTTTTAAAATTATTCTGCTGTCATTTTTAGGATTGTGGTAAGTGAAATTTGCTTGGATTTCTTCCTTTTTGCTGAAAGAAAAAATTGCTGATGGATGTAAACTGATGACTGTCTTTAAAACAGCAAGACCATGGTATCAAAGTGAGACAAAGGATTATCCAGCCTCATTTTCTATCATAGCCTTTAGTAATCAACTGGATTCTCGGGGGAGGGGGCGGTTCAAATATAGTATAAAGGAGGAAAAGGTTTATTAGAAAGAAGGGTTATCACTGCTCTGTTCTTCTGGCCTCTTTAAGAATTGCTTCTCTGTGTATCTCTCCACAAGAGTTTCCCAAGTGTTTTCCACAACATAAGGGATTTTCCAGGATGATATACCACTTCCATTACAACACTTCTAACAGCCAAACAAAGTTACCAAACATATTTTCCCCCTGAATCATGTTGAAACCTCAACGGATTGCTAAATATAGTATAAATAGTTCATATATATAGGCTATTTTTGGCCAATTCCTAAGATGACCCATCCAACTATAGCTCCACAGAAGATTTTCCAACCCTTAGGATTCTAAAATATGCATGAAAATCCCTTTGGCTAAATAGAAATTCAGTATTTCTGGTTTTATGCACTTATATGGGAAGACAGAAGACATGCAACAGGATTTTGTTCACATAGGATTTGATGCTGAATTAGAAATCTCCAGGTCACCAATAGCACAATTCCAAGGTTTGAGCACAATATCTGTTTCTTTACTTACAGCTTTAGGGTTGAGGCCATATGAAATTCCTTTTTTCAAATATGATTACTTTTTTTTTGTACTATTGCTAAAAATCTTCGATGTATTCTCTCTTTTGCAGAGTTTTCAAACACTGCAGTGTTTTTTAGTCCCCATTGGACTTTTAAGTCCATTGCTAATGGACTTAAAAGAATTGCTATTTATTAAGAACAATTCAAAAAGTTATCTTTTCTGCAGTGGTCTGCCATCTGATGGTTAAAAATAGCATTGACATTGGACTAGTGCAGTTTTTATATGTCCTAGAATTGATATAAATTCAGTCTTAGATTTGAAAAAGTGACATGATTGCTCTGATGTTTTTCAGTGCTTGAAATAGTTCAATCAGATTTTAGATGAATAACTGAAAATTTCAAATTTCAGAACGTTTACTTCGATTCAGCTTTGGAATCAAAGCATATTGTATCCTAAAACCTTATGTGCCTAAAAACCAGTTTGGTGTAGTGGTTAAGGCATTTGGCTAGAAACCAGAAACCATGAAGCAGAAAACCAGTTAAGTGACCTTGGGCCAGTCATACTCTCTCAGCCCTAGGAAACCACTTCCAAAAACATTGCCAAGAACTGTGGGGACTTGTCAACATTGGAATCAACACTGACTCAAAGGCAAAAAAAATGTATATTGTATTTGGTAAAAACAAAAAACTTGTTTTTTCCAAGAAAATTGAGAGAACCCATATACAATAGTTTAGTTGGCTTTAGAGTTTTAATTGTTAACTAAAATATTTCCTAATCAAAGAAGCACCACAAATTTGTTCTCATTGTTTTCTTTATTGTTACCATTTTCATTCACAACCCATACAGAAACTTTCTTTTACAATTGTATCTGTTGGTCTTAAAAATAACTTAAGAAACAGCCTGCTTGCAGCAATCACATCAGAAATGTGAACATAGAAATAATTTCTTCTACCAATTATACCAGTAGATGGTATTGCCCTCCTACTGGTAGCTTCCATTGTGGCAGCAGAAAAAATACATAGGGCAATAGGATTCTAGAGCCATTAGTTAATTATTTGCAGTGGTGGGATTCAACCAGTTTACACCACTTCGGGAAAACTGATCGTTAACTTTCAGCAATTTGGCAAACTGGTTGTTGGAAGAAATCATTAGGGCAGAGAACCGGTTGTTAAATTACTTGAATCCCACCACTGATTATTTCACATACTAATTCAGTGAGATAATCATGAAAATGTAGGTATTGTGAAAAATGGACAAAGGACAATATAAATCAAACAACTGGTATTTCAAAATTGGCAATAAATGTGCTAGGCGTCGCTGGTATCTATAGTGATTAGTCACTATAATAGTTTTATTACCAAATCGTATTTCCTACTGACACCCAGGGTTCAAAAATTCACTAATGCAACAGCATGACTCATTTACTTGAAAAAAAGGAATTTATTAGTTCAGGAATACAGTCATGCTGGTTTCCTTGGGTGTCACTCTGAGGTTGTGCCATTTTCTTGAGTTTAATGTTTTATTAGTAAGAGCCTGTAGAAATAACATATTTTGCTTCATAGCTAGGATGGATATACCTTCCCATATTACATCACCACTGGCCAAAATGGTTGGAGTTACTTGAAGTTTTTAATCCAGCAAAGCATGTTTTGAATGTCATGATTTTCCAATTCCACTTTAATTCATGTTTATTTGGAGTCACATATTGTCTTCATAGATGATGACAACTATGAACAGCTAATAGTTCTTTTTTCTTCATTGGTTCTTGAAAGGCAATTACATTGGGCAGTTGACAAAATATTTTATATCTTAAGCGCTTTTCTTAAAAAGTAGATTTTAGCTAACCCAGAGCAAAAACAAATAGCATATCATAGCAGAAAATGTTAAGAGGAAAAAAGTTTAAGATAATGAAGTTCCTTTAAAAGGGGGGTATTAAAAGTACAACTGCGAAGAGTTCCAGGGGAGGGGGAGGCAGGGGAGGAATCCAATAAGAAAAAACAGTGGAGGATAGCAAAATAAGCCAATGCAACTTTACAAAAAACTTTCTGAAGATCACAAAACAAAGATAAATAGGTGCATAGAAACAGACCACTTCACCAAGTAACAGTACATCGGATAAACCAGAATGAAGGCAGATAGACGACATTCTGAGACATTGCCCAATTATCTCGCTCATAATAATATATTGTTAGATTTTTACTAGTAGTACTTTTCTTCACACATCATTTTCAGATTTGATTTTGGGGTTTTTTTTACTCATGTCATTCCCCAGACCCAAGTTTAAAAAATAGTATTTCGAACAGTCTGTTGGGATAAAAGGAATAAACAACATGGGAAAAGCACAGAGTGCCTAGTTTGGGAGTTATTTCATATTGCCCAAAGGCCATGTCTATACCCTGTTTCCCTGAAAATAAGACTTATCCCACAAATAAGACCTAATGCATGACTAATATAAGGCCTCCCCCCCCCAAATAAGTCCTTCATAAGAGCCTGCACAGCCGGCTGCCCACCCATTTCGTCTGGTTGCTCACGGTGCCACAGCCACAAGGTGAGGCTGGGGGCTGGTGGAGCTTCATACCATGCTCCTCACTGCACACATAAGCACACAAACCCAGCATAAAGGGAGAAGAGAAACACACACTTAAAAGATGCAATATTTATATACCCGCCTGGTTTGACTTTCATAGACATTGGGACATATAGGCAATGTATATGCTTATGTATACAACTTGGTCAATACCTGGAAAAAAGTGCAATACAGAAAGAAATAACATGTTATTTCATTACACAGAAGAATACACCCGTGTTTCCCTGAAATTAAGACTGGGCGGGGGGGGTGGAGCTGTCGGTGCCCCTCAGGGCCCCTGCAACCAGGTCATCCATGCCATGACACCTGCATCACGGCGGCAGCACCAGCAGCCATGTGCAGCAGGCACCCACATGGCTGCCGGCCCACTTCTGCTTGCTCACGGCCGCAGCAGAGCAGGAAGCCAAGCGGCGCACTGGTGCTGTGGCCATGAGGCGAGGCAGGTGTCAGGGCTTAGATGGCCTGGCTGCGGGGGCCCTGAGGTAAGCTGGTGTGAGGCACACCCCGCCCAGTCTTATTTTTGGGAAAACATTGGTATTTTCTTCTGTGTAATGAAATAACATGTTATTTCTTTGTGTATTGCACTTTTTTCCAGGTATTGACCAAGTAGTATACATATGCATATACATTGCCTATATGTCCCAATGTCTATGAAAGTCAAACTAGGCGGGTGTATAAAAATTGCAGCTTTAGTATGTGTTTCTCTTCTCCCTTTACGTTGGGTCTGTGTGCGTATGTGTGCACTGAGGAGCATGGTATGATGTGGCTGCAGAGAGGGCAGATATAAGTTTAGGTTACATGAAAAAAGTATAGTTTCCTTATCACAGGAAGTAATAGTTCCATATTATTCTGCATGGGTCAGACCCCATCTCTAGTTCTGACCAATATTCCTGAAAAAGAAAAGATTCAGAGAAATTGGAACAGATGCAATGAAAGACATTGTGGCTGACCTCAGGAGTCTAGAAAATTGGATGACAAGATGAGCCCAAAGGAACTGGATCTACATAGCCTTGAGAAAAATCAGAAGGGATATGAAAGCTTTTATAAGCACTTGAAGGTAAAGATTAGGAGAATGTCAAGGCCTGTTTCCTAGTATTTCAGAGTGCAAGAAACAGTACAATAATTTATTTTACAGGAAGGCAGGTTCCAGTCAAACATTCTTTTAAAAAAGATGTGGTGGGGGGGACCTCTGATCAGGAGGACTAATTGAACAGTAGAACCCTTTACATAGAAAAATGATGAATTGCTCTTTATGGGATTTGTTCAGATGGAGGACCTGAGGTGTTTTAATTTGGATTAAACAGCAGTGAAAAGAGGTTGGATTCAGTAACTAAAGGCCTTTTTGAAATCTAGGATTCTATCAATGCCAATGTAGCATCTTCATCCCCAAGAATCTTCTGTGTAAGCAGTGAAAACTAGACTCAGGAAATAAGAAGAATTGCTCTGAGCCATTACAAGAACAAACAGTATAAATACAGTATAATTTAATTCCTGTCGACATCAATATGGGAGGATATCTGCATCCAAGTACAGTAGATGTCACTCTATGGGCAACCACTGCCACAGTGGGGTAAAGAGGTCCCATGCATCATGATATCATCATCAAAATGACGAACTAGATAGTTGTACTAGATAGAATGATGTGATTACAGAAATATTTCATTTGTTCAGTGATACCATGACTCGTGTCATCATTTTGACATCATTATAGCTTTTCAAGGACACCTCTAGACTGCACAACCTACTGGTGTTACATTTTTTTCTTGTTGGCCTGAGGAGGAAGAGCATTCAGAATTAGTCTACTGCCTAAAGCAATTCCCACAATACTATTAGGAAATCAGATACTGCTGTTGTTTTGTTTGGGTTTCATTAAACAGGGAAAAAATAAAAAGAGGAAAAACATGTTGCTTAATAGGTGTAGATTGCAGATGGACAGTTATAATGAAATGTGGTCATGCATTTAATAAAAATTTTACATACTTATAGACTTATATTTTTTTAACATATTTATAGACATATATAAAATGCCTATACACAGAAACACTTTGTTACTGTAAAAAGTTTACTAAACTATATCTTTCTAATTGATATTTTATATATAGCTTCCAGAAGTTGTGAATGCTCCAACACTGGAAGTTTTTAAGAAGAGACTGGACAAATCTCTTTCATTTCTCTGAAATGATATAGGATTACCTGCCTGAGCAGGGGGTAGAACTAGAAGGCCTCCAAAGTCCCTTCCAACTCGGTTATTCTATTCCTATATAGTTAAATGATTGTTGCCAACTGTAGGGCCAACTTGTACCAAAGGTGCTTTTTCAAGAGGTAGCGGGACTTGTTTTTCTTTGAAGAAGTTTTGCTTCTCATCCAAAATGAGAAGAGAAACGTTTTCAAAGAAAAACAAGAAAGTCCAGCTGCCTCTTGAAAACGCACCTTTGGGACAACCATGACCTGGATGACTGAGAATCTCCGTAGACATTTAGCGATGCACTTTGGGATGAATGGTGAGGGAACAAGCAGAGCTTCTTCAGCTTCTTGGATGAGAAGCGAAACGTCTTCAAAGGAAAACAAGAAAGTCCAGCTGCCTCTTGAGAAAAAGCACCTTGACCTGGATGACTGAGAATCTCCATAGACATGTAGCCTTGTGCAGACACATGGACCAACGTGGCATGTAAGTACCCTTTTTTCTTTCCTGTGGCAACCTTGCACCTTTAAATTGTTTTATATCAGATTCTGAGGAATGTGAAGTAGTGACTTTGAATATGCCATTAGCACAATCCTTTTGCCAAGAACCTTTACCCCCAATGTTCTGATAAACTTTTCTTTCCTGGTCAGATGTTCACGGAGATTATAAATACTTTCTTATTATCATAGCATTCAAAGTTCATTGTGTGTGCACAAATAGGCCTCTGGTTTGGAATGAAGAAGCTCTCCTTTGAATGACTGCTTTCTGAATTTAACAAGAACATCTTGGCAAGATCAGGTAAGTGAAGATTGTACAGAATTTTTCTGTTTCTACATAAATAAGAAACAAATACTTTATGTGCTGTAGCTCTTCCTGGCACTGTTAAATTTATGCTTATATTTTAAATCAAAGGTCATTCCTTGCTTTTTATAAGAGAAGTAGAAAATGGGGATTTTCTTCAATAGACGCAAGAATTTATATGAGAGATGAGTGAAGAGTCTATTTAAATTGGAGTGTTTCAATCTTATTAAAATAAGCCAGTCATTTGCTGAAGTCGGGAGTAATGTTCGAGAAAAAGAATTAGAAACTGGATTATATTCAGAAGCATAGATATGAGAACCTTATTAACCTTATAGCTGCCCAGAGTCACCTTGTAGGGGAGATGGGTGGCATAGAAATTTAATAAATAAATAAAATAAAACAAAACAAAATTTCCAGGGAATACAAACTGAATGAAATCTGTGAGAAAACATCTTGCAATCATAAAGGATGTACAAAGCTAAACAGCATACTATAAGCAATTAGGTAGAATTAAAAATAGGAATTAGATCAGAGATTGTTCAATTGGTTTTGATGTCCAAAATAGCTGAAAAATAGCTTATTTGCTATCTTTATGTCTATTCTGTATTTACCAAGATGAGAAGAGGACAACCAGCAGCAAAACGGACGAAGTCAGTTGCAGTGGCGATGAGTGCACCATTGGAAAATCCGAAAGGCCAGGTTAGGGATAGGTCATCATGGAGAAAATATATCAATGTAGCAGGATTCTGGTGAGAGAGAAGTTCCCTGAGGATGGGCTCCAGCATGAGTCCGAAAGCTTAGAAGACTGGTCCCAGTGACCAACACAGATTGGATCCTACAACATTATCCTGGGATACATATATTTGCCTTCATTCATGTATCAGTGTAGTCACAAAGAGTTGACAAAATCTTGATAGCATACAATCAATCAATCCATCAACTTTTGCTAACAGCCAATGTTATTTTTAAAAAGTAATAAATTAAACATTAACTTTATCAGTATTTTGCTTACTCACAAAATTGCTTAGAATTGATTTGTGCATTCCGGATTCTATAATTCCCAGCCACATGGACTTCTATACAAGACCATATCTGTTCCTGAATTTTTTTTTGTTAATATGATAGTTCAGAGATGGTGTCTTCATATGGATCACAGAGTTCTTTGTAATGAAGTAAAACAAATAAAGAGAATCAAAAGAAGAAATGTTTGCTATTACAATTTATTTTGTTTTCAAAGGACAAGTTTAAAATGTTACGTTTAATGTTTGCCATAGGTTAGATGATGTCTTATTTAGTACCATTTAAAGTATTTCCAATGTACATGTTTATCATGATGACATTTAATTTGCTACCTGATATAATCCCAAGAACCTTGGGTGTTTGTGATAATAATTCCTACCCCCAAAAAATACATCTATACTAAAAGATCACTTAATTATTAAGTAATAAAACCTAAAGACCTTAATATCTTTAGCCAACCTAGGTGTCTGCAAAGGATCTTTTGGTAGACATGTATTAGTTGATAGGTCTATCTTTCCTATTTACAAGAAACAATACTTTTTATCCAGAAAAAAAGAATACTATGGCCAATGAATTTGATGTAAAGAAAAGGAATCAGGCCAAGAACTCAGGGGAACTGGCAGTAAATTGGGACATCTGATGATGTTGGAGTCATGTTGGAGTATTCTTGTTTTTAGGTCACCATGGAGGAAGAATATGTACAAGGACAATTCAAGAAGTTGCAAGCACAACGTATGATCATGCAGAAAAAAACATTTACCAACTGGCTGAATAATGTTTTCTACAAACACACTGTAGGTAGCTTTTTTGTAATGTTCTTCGTAGATGATCCCTTTAAACACTTTTTTGTTGAGGTTAACAAATTCTTCTGCCTAATTTCACCAATCAACTTAATCTGTGATTCATTCATTATTTTTAAAATTGTAACAGTGAGAACAAACTCTGCAGAAAAGTCTTAGAAACAGAACTTCATAATGGGGTATCTGAGCCTGCCTTTTTCTCTATAGCTTTTGCCTGTAAGGTCAAGATAAAAGAGCATTGCCTCTCTCCTGCTTATTATTGAGCAGTTGAATAACCACTAATCCAATATCAGCTTCATGTCACAATTTCCATAAGCAAGATAGCATTAAGAACATAATATCATGTTATTGTTGTTGGCTTTATTTGTGATCCTTTAATTTTGTAGGCAAACATTAAGATTCTAGATCTCTACACTGAACTGAAAGATGGTATTTATCTTCTGCATCTTTTGGAGCTACTGTCTTCTGAACAACTACCCAGGCCAAACAAAGGCAAGATGAGAGTTCACTTTTTGGAGAACAATAGCAAAGCCATTCAGTTCCTCAAATCTAAGGTGAGATATAAGATTTGGGGTTATTGTAGGCAGTAATCAAGTTTTGGTTAGGATGGGAAGGTGGAAAGTCATATGGTTCTATCGACTGATGATTTTCAATATTTCCCACCTCCACTTTGATGATGGGGAGGGAAAATACCTACTAGCACTGTGAAAAACAGTCACTCCTGAAAATAAGTTGATTGTACGCATTATCTTTGTCCAATTGCTGAAAACCATGCAAAATAGTCAGCATGTAAGAAGGATAGCAAAGAAGGAGAAAAGTTTATCTCTATGTTTTGCATATTTTCCAAGACCTATTCCTAAATGTATTGGTTGACACACACAGCCCTTTTTGGAGGGGGGAGGATTCTCAGAGACTTTTGTAAACAAACTAATGATAAGAGCCTCTCGTGCATTCAGCAGGTACATGTGAAGCTAATTGGACCAGAAAACATAGTAGATGGAGACCAGACCCTCATCCTTGGATTAATGTGGATAATTATCCTCAGATTTCAAATTTCATTGATCAGTCTTGACAAGGTAAAATTGTAATTTAAAAAATCCTCACTTTTTTCTTTCTGATTTAACCTGTTAGTTTAACAATTCTCCAACAATCTAAAATTTGATACAACATTTAGGACTGAAAAGAAGGATAGAGGTGATTGTACTGTCTGGAGGAAATTATGTGATGTTGTTCTCCTATAGATCCAGGATCAGAGCCTTCATACAAAATTGGTGAAATGTTTAAGTTAATATTCTACATATCTATATCAATATAATCACTGAAATCTGTATCAAGTGATCTAAGAATGAGATAAATTCTGTCACTCTTTAGACTTCTGAACCCTCAGAGAGGTGGAGCAAATTCATAAAAAAACCAACTAAATTTTGTATTTACAGCTAACTATTAATCATAGGAGAGAAGTGTGTGCCAACTCGCAAAGTTTTCCTGACATGCTCCTGAGTTGCCATAGGCAAGGGGATGGGAATTGCTGGTAAATGTGTCCTGACAGTGTGATGGTTCAGTGATTCAAGATGCTGGGCTTATTGGCTGGAAAGTCAACAGCCCAGGTTCAAGACCCAATCACCACATGACAGAATGTGTTCCAGTTCTTGCTCCAGCTCCTGCCTACCTAGCAATTTGAAAACATGCAAATGAGAGTAGATAAATAGGTACCACTTCAGTGGGAAGATAACAGTATTCCGTGTGCCTTGGTGTATAGTCAAGAATTCATATGTGGTTGGAGAAGATGATGCAGCAGCATATTGATTTAAAACCTGAGATATTCTTGTTGGGGATTTTACCAGGGAATTATAGTAAAGAAAATGTATAGTTGATTATTCATGTAATAACTGTGGCTAGAATTGTATTTGCACAGAACTGGAAAGATGAAGAGAATCCTGCAGATGAAAACATGATTAAGAAAATATTGCAATGTGCAGAAATGAATAGATTAACACTTGCAATTAAAGGAAAGGAAGGATTTGATTATTATAATATATGGGATTTATTTTATCAATGGTTAGAGAATAAATATGAAATTACTGTATAATAAAGTTAAATAAGTTAAGAAGAAAAATGTTATGATAATAGATATGCTTTGTTTTGCTTTTTGTGGAGTCTTCATTTTGCTGATTTATATTTAGATTATCCTATGAATGCTCTTGCCTTGTTGGCTTTCTAGGATGAATTTGGATCCAGAGTTGATGCTCTTTCTTCCAATGAAGCTCTACTGGTTTGGTGTCAACGTAAGACAGCCAGCTATTCTAATGTCAATGTGAAAGACTTTTCCAAAAGCTGGAATGATGGGCTAGCTTTCAATGCCCTCATTCATGCTCACAGGTAAGGAAAAGTATGAGTTCAATCTTTCCTAAGGGTTCTGATATATTATTTCTGTATAATTGAAAAAGGAAGGATAACAGAAAAAGATTTTCATCCAGAAGGAACATAATGAAACTTTAGCAAACTTTAGCAAATTTTGAGTGGTAGGGTGAATGTGGATAGGACAACTTTATTTTTGTTGTCTCTGTCTCTCTTGTATACTATTAGAATCCATTATTCTACATAATTGTATTATATTATACAATATACTATATACGGTATATTCTGTAATATTAAAATCCAGAATCACCCTATAAACATGATGTTGTGGCCCCGACTGCCAAGCTTGTCCTAACAGAGGACAGACTCAGAAGGTGATGGGGACAACCTGACAAGGCCTCCTCTCCAGGACCCTCTTTTCTGGCAATGCCTCAGGATCCATCCGAAGGCCAGGAGGAACAGCCTGGGATGTGCCAGGAGGAAGGTATATCGGAGGACCAATTGATAGGGAGCGGATGAATCCTGGCTTGATTCCAGGCAGCGTTGGAGGGAGAAGTGTGTGCAGCAACGGAAGAGGTGTGGGAGGGCCAGAGATTGAGCTGAGTCATGGAGCCAAACCCCACCAGGAATAAAAGGGCGGGATTGCTCTTCAGGCTTTGTGAAGTTAAACCCTGAAAGTCACATCGTGATCTCTGAAATTCAGCTTGGATATATTTTGGACTGAATATTGACTAAACTCTTGTCTCGTGGATAATTTGTTGCTACTGGAACGGACTGAAGATAACTCCTCTTCTGCTTTATGGGAGTGAGGCATTCAGCAGTTTGCTGCCAAAACCTTGGTCTGCCAAGAATTCTAATCTGTTTACCTAATAAAATATTGGCAGGCATGCTTGGTATTACGTTTGCCTGTGTGAGGAAGGGGGACAGAACACATGAACAGCCAGAAGTTCAGGGCAGATATAGGAAGCATTTCTTATTTATTGCTGAATTATGATATCTGTTAGAGCAAGTTATAACAAGATAAGAAATTGAATAATGTCTTAGAGAATAAACTAACAATTGCTACCTTCAAGATCCAAGGAAGCATGCCTTTGAGATGAGTCATTGGAGAGCCACAAGAGTCAGGGTCCTACTTATGGTTTTTGCAATTGCACCTGGCTGGCCATTATGGTGAAAAAGAATCATGAATACATACTGATGTCCATTTTAAACAAGAGAGGTATTTTTTTTCTGTGCTCAGAAAAAAATACTAGAATGGAAACTTAAAAATGCTACTTTAGAAGATACAAATCACAGCATATCCATGTCTTCTAGAAAGCAAGTTAAATCTTATTTTTCTATTGCTTTTTTCACCCTTATGGACCTCTCCAAATATGCTGAAACATGTAAGAAACAATATTTTACTCCTGCACATATAGAAGGTTGCATAAATGTTGAACTATAATTTCTTTAAAGATGAATACAAATATATAGTTTGCTCACAAATTATTTCAAATTGGTGCATCCTATTTCTTTAAAGTCAGATGTAGAAAATGACATGCATTACTCCATGTCATTCAACAAACTGTTTCTATGTTCTGTAAAGCAGATCTATATACTTTACAGATTCTGAGGGGAATTTAATAAGATTAACAGGGAGGGGATGGCACTCCAGTAAGTTGTGAAACTCTTTATCAGCTATTGGAAAAGTTACTTTAGGTCATAAATCTATTACAAACTTTAATCACATGGACATCCCCAAATTTACATTCTCTTGATTCTATAAATTGTAATTGTATGCTGATGCTATGTATCTTTATTTTAAAGTATCTAATCCAGTCAGAGAAGAAAGATACATTAAGCTTTTCCTCCATAAATATTGTATTACATTGCCTCTGACACCCCTATCAATAGCCTATTAAAACTGTAGCAAATTTCTAAAAATCCTAAGGGAAAAATGCATATGTCCGCTTCCTTGCATTTTTTAAAACATAATCTCCTTCATTTACTTGTTTTTATTTTTTATCTTTTCAGGCCTGATCTTATACAATACAGTTCCCTGCGGCATGACCAGCCCATAATTAATCTAAATAATTCCTTCACCGTGGCGGAGAAGCACCTGGGCATCTTAAAATTGTTGGATGCTGAAGATGTGGCAGTGCCATTTCCAGATGAAAGATCCATCATGACCTATGTGTCATTCTACTACCATTATTTTTCCAGGCAGAAGCAGGGTCAGACAGTCCAGAAAAGGCTTGCTAAAGTCAGTGTATTGCTGTTTTGGTAATTAGCATTCCTAATGTCTGGTATGTGTTAAGTAAATAATTTCTGCGGCCCAAATAAAACGTGGACTCCATCTTTATCATAATCATTATCATAAGTTTATTTGTCAAGCATATATAAGATAACAGGTAAAAGTCTAAACATAATTTGAATACATGAAAAGAGTAAGTAAAAAAGAATATTAGGACAGGGACAGTCGGCACACTGGTGCACTTATGCACGCCCCTTACAGACCTCTTAGGAATGGAATGAGGTCAACAGTAGACAGTTTAAGGTTAAAGTTTTGGGGGTTTAGGGAAGAAACCACAGAGTCAGGTAGTGCATTCCAGGCATTGACCACTCTGTTACTGAAGTCATATTTTCTGCAATCTTTATCTATGGAACACATAGTTTTCCATAGTCAAAAAATGTCTAAGGAAGTACAGATGCTGTTAAGAAGGACCTTAGCTAGACTCCTATAACATGGTAACCTCTGCAACTTGGAATGGATAGATTATGGCTTCTCAGTACTAAGGATGGAACACATGTCCAATGCACTGGCCTAAAGTAGCCATTTGCAGTCAAGCTTTTCATTCATCTAGAAATGGTATAAACAGTCACACATTATTTTAATTGCTATTTGCATTTTCTTCTGGGTAACTCAGCAGCATTACAGTGATAATTTTGTCTGAACACAATCCATTTGTTTCTAGCACTGTGATTAGTCTCATCTTACAAAAATATATAATCATATATATTGCACTTGGATGTTGTTTTTCTTTATATCCAAGAGAAGTTCTGGAAGAAAATTTGGATCAAGACTGTGTTGAATGTATATTAATGTAGAGATAGTCCTGGTCCAATTAACAATTGCTGATTTTAGTGGAAGACTAAGATCCCATGATGAATTGCTCATGGAACATGTAACTTTCTTTTAAAGGCTCTTGGATGAAACTTGGCTCTGCTGAAAATGCGAGTAGAATTATACTGACTAGGATCAAGGGAGAAAAGTACATGTAATGTTTGATCTTTCTGCAGATCGTGTTCTGCCTGAAGGAGACAGATGAATTGAAATTCCAGTATGAACACATGATCTTTGAACTCTTGAAATGGATAAAGCTCAAAGTGACAGAACTGGATGACCGTTCCTTCCCCAATTCTCTGGAGGAAATGCGCTTCCTCATGAATAACTTTAAGGTCTTCCGCACTAAGGAGAAACCTCCCAAATACCGTGAGAAGGGAATAATTGAAGCCAATTTTTTCCACATACGGACCAAACAGCAAGTCAACAATCAGCGTGCTTATCTGCCCCCTGAAGGAAGAACTTTAAGAGATCTGGAAAGAGAATGGATTGCTTTGGAGAAAGCAGAGGGCAGTCGAGGAAAAGCAATACTGCAGGAGCTGTTAAGACTTGAGAAAGTTGAGCAACAGGTCCAGATGTTTCTGAAGAAAGCAGCCATTCGTGAGGCCTATTTGAGGAACATGAGAGAGATAATCAAAAAGCAGGATGATTGGCAACCTGACAATGTAGAACAGCTTCAAGCAGGCACTAGGAAACTAGAGGCAATTGAAGCAGACATGCTTCCCCAAGACCAACGCTTCAAAGCCTTGTCTGCAATGGCTGCCGAAATCATGCGGGAGAACTATCAGGACAAGGCCTTGATTGCCAAAAAGTGAGTAGGATGCCTTCAGATTGGGGCAGTAGTCAGATATGGTGTTGGAGAGAATGAAAAGCGCATGACTGGTGTTTGTTTAGCGTGAATTAATGCAACTTCCATCTTTGGAAAGAATAAATTCAACTGATTGTATTATACTTTCTATTCTTCCAATAACAAAAATGTTAGGACAGATGACAAAGAAATAAAAATAAAGGGCAATCAGAATAGTAAAACATCTTAGTGAGTAAAACAAGAAAGAACAAAATATGCCCAAGCTGCTAATATAATGCAAGCATTTACAATTTCAAAATTGCACAATTAAAATCTGTCTACAAAGGGATGAGGGTCTTTGTATATGTATCTATTTACACAACTCTTTCTAATCTTATTTGCATATGCTATAAATCTTATTCAATTAGTTTTGAATTATGTAGATTTATTTCTCTTGCCTTAATGTAGCCTATGCTTTTCTGTGGATTTCCATGTTTCTATGCTATATATATTTGTGTAAATTTTTGTACATTTCTTTTGCTCCCCCTGCCCTTTCTTTTTCTTGTCCTTTCTTTTGTTGCACACATTTTTTCTCTTTATCTTCTTTTCTTCTCTGCCTGAATCCTAAAAACCCTTTAGTCAAACTAGGTTTGGATGCTTTGATTGCTGGCTATTTCCTATACTCTTAGCTTTGATTGCTTCTCACCTGAACTGCTGCCAGAATTTAAAATTCCTTGCACTCCCTAAGCCAATTTTGTCCTGGGCATCTTTTGTTAGCTTGACCAATTCTGCAGATCTCACCTGCAACTCCACTCCATTCCAGCACATAGCATTTCCTCCTGATACACTGATGCCACCTGCCTGGAAGTCATGACTTTTTTTGAGCTGGGCCATGGCATAGTCCAACTAATTCAGCTGCACTAAGTCCCAGAGGGCATGAAAAAAAAAAGAAAAAGAAATTCCACATGGACTGTTATGAGGCCCTCCTTCCACGTTGTTCTACAATTCACATTTTTCATATATCATCAGATGGTCAAGCTAGAAATTGAAAAAAAATCAGAATTGCTAATGAATATTATAGTTTGAAGTTGCATTTCCCCACTGGATTAAACCTCATGTTTCCCTGCAGCAGCATAAGTTATAAATAAGTTAAGCTACAAATAAGATATATAGAAATATATCACATAATGACATCAGAATATGGGGTAACTTGAATTGCCCATTAGTGAAGTCTTGTGATATCACATTTTTTCCCTTCTTTTTGCTCTCTTCACAGGCAAATGGACATCATTCATCAATGGCAAGATCTCTGGGGCCATCTCAAAAGACAAAAACACACTATGGGAAAGATGCAGGAAGTACTAGTCCTTTTGAGGGACATTGACACCATTATGGAAGAACTTAAAGGAGTGCAGGTATATTAAAAACCATAGATTGTTTGGTTACTCATAAAAATCTATTCACATGTCTTTGTGGAGGGCTTGTCTCCATTAAATTAGATGATATGTTGAAAACCAATGATACTGTATGTAGGAAGGAATAGTGTGCAAATCCAGAAAGCATTAATTAGTTTGCTTTTTTCTATTACAAAGCCTGGTGTGTATAAAGCCTTTTGAGGCAGAAAAACAAATAGGAACCATTTGGATTTGTATAAAATTCTATATTCATAACAGAATCTTGAAAGCCTGTTAAAAGAAGTCTGCAGTTTAGCATTTTTACCTAGCAAAATTAAGACAGTTACTCCAAGTCTCTTTCACATACAGTGGTACCTCGGTATTCATCTAGAACCAACACTAATTGGTTCTGGGAGATGCAATGAGTACCAAAAACAATGAGTACCAAACATTTTTTCTCCATAAGGAATTAATGTAGTGAATCACAAGGTAGTCGACATTGATAAATTCTAGCTTGTGTATTGAGTACCAAACAAAGGATGAGTACCAGGACAAAATTTTCACGTCAAAATGTGTTGAGTAGGAAATTTGATGAGTTTCAAAGCAAGTGAGTACCAAGGTATCACTGTACGTCCCTCCTTGCTAGTCTGAAGAATTTGTTTTGCAACAATTCTGTTTCTTCCTCTACTTTCCCTGTTAGACATTCCATCACAGCACAAAATCTTATACAACCATTTATTAGGACATTTCTCTCTGTCTCAGCAGATGGCAATACCAGGCAACATATTACCTACTATTATTATGGTCAGCCAATGTTTAAACTGGATTTGGCATTTTTGTTCATCTATCAAGTCCTTCCCAAAGACCTTGTTTAATAGTATTAAAGAAATCGTCATAGAATGTATATCAAGTAGGATAACTCAAACTTTCCCACTCTGGTTGTTTCACAATTCTTCTTCTGCTCCCCCAAATATCAGAGGGCACCAGATTATGAAAGGGTGTTGTAGAATATGTCACCATTCCATGATTCCTTTTTTTTTTCGTATGCAAATATGTAAAGAGATGTTGTCATGATTTAGCAAAATGACATTATCGTACTAAGCATCTATGGTAACATTACTTAATTGAACTGGATGATATCAATAAAATTTGCTTGTTTTGAGTTTGATGTATAATAAGGATAACATTCGTCACTCTCTTTTGTAAATCATGGTTTGTGGCTTAGTATAATGTATGAACCCAACCAACTGCAGTAAATTATTTAACATATTATATTACAAGCTATGTATGAATTTGGGGACTCCCTGCAATCGAGTAGCTGAAAAACATACAAAATATTTTTCTTTCACTCTATTTCTAGATATTAGTAAGCTCTAAGGATTGTGGCAAGGAGCTGTTAGAAGCAGTGGAATTATTACAAAAGCACAAATTAGTTGCCTCCCAAATCTCTTCTCTTGAGGAAAGCATCATGTACATTGCTGCAAAAACAGAAGATATAATACAAAGGAAACCACTCAAATCAGAAATTCTTCAAGCCAAATATCAGATGCTTCATCAGCTACATCAGAATCTTCAGGATTCGTGCCAAAGAAGGTAAAATTCTTGTAAATATTGATGAATGCTTTGGTTTAATCTGCAAAAAGAGAAAGATCCTGATCTTAGATTGGGATTCTCTATACATACAGTATATTGTGTTTCTCTGTTCCATTCATTCATCAGAGAGAAATGAGAGGCCATGGGGGCTCATCCCCCTCAGATAAACCCTATACATTTTTGTCAATGATTTAAATGATTTAAAAAGGCATGCGTAGGCATGTTATAAATAATCTCAAAGCATTTAAAATTTTTGATATTCAGGCAAAGGGCAGAGTAATTCTGGTACGTTAAGAATGACATTGGCAAGTATTCCAAGCACTCAAATTGAATCTGGGAAGAATAATTATTTTTGGCTACATTGCACACACACACACACACATATGCTCATCTCCCTCTCCCTCCCTCCCTCCCCCCTCCCTCTCTCAGACACATGTCATTCTATGCAGGGACATCTGCCCAGTATATGGGCTAGGCACTCCTAAGTCAAGATGGGAGATTCCACAGAAGGGCTGTGGGACTTCCCTATCCAGACAGTCAGGGTGGTACTAGCAAATCAACCAGGTATCATGGTGGTAGACAAGGACCAGAAGACAGAGTGTTGACAGATGTAGTGATGCCAAATGACAGCAGCTGTCAGAACAGCAACATCAGGAAGATGTTCTGGAAAGCAGAACATCTGGAAAACTACCAGGACCTGAGGGAGGGAATGTAGAAAGTAAAAAATCAAAGTGGTGATAGGAGCACTCAGGGCTGTGACTCCTAAATTGGGAACTGGCTCCAACAAATGCCAGGAACAACATCAGAGCTCTCTAGGCAGAAGAATGCAGTGCTAGGAATAGCTAATATAAGTGCAGGAACCTCAAACTCCCAGGCCTCTGGTAGAGGGCCCAAGATTGAGGAAGACCCATTTGGGGTGAGAAGGGATTTTTAAATATATACTATATACTAAATACTATTAAATAGTAGGCACATCTTCAGTTACATATTAATACAGAATGAGCATGAAAGCAATCTGTAGGAAACCTTAGCATCAAAGGTTGTGTAGAATAAAGGTGGGGAATTGATTTTTTTGTTCGATTGGAGGATTTTTTGGAACATGTATTTTAATATGGCTTGGCCTTGTTTTCTTAAAGTTTGGAAGGAACTTTATTTACCATTTTCTTAAATGATGTCCCGGAATAAAACTTATTATGTGGGGGGGGGGAAATCAAGGTTTTTACACATCTATCATTTATTTAATGCATTTCAATTTTGCTGAGAAGTGTAATATTAAATTAAGCGACACACATGAGATTTTTCCAAGAGAAGGAAAACACAGAAATATAGAAGTATAATTTTACCAAATCAATTTATAACAGCAAATATTTAGAAGGTTGTTCCATTGTTTTTTTCTGTTGTGTGATTCTGGAGTAAAAGTAGGGTTGGTTCTATACTGTATTTTATATTTTAATAAATTGGAACTGCTAGAAAAACCTGAAATAATCTCCAATTGTAACCCTTTTAAAGTACATCATTTATTTTTTTGATTCAGGCAACATCAGTTGGAAGGAGCTTTGAAGCTTCTTGAATTTTTTCATGAATGCAAAGAAGAGGAGAAATGGTTGTCTGACAAATGGAAATTAGTGAAGATGGGAACCTTAGAGGATGATCTCACTCATATTTCAGCCTCTCTCCAAAACCATAAGGTTGGTAAAATATATTTTCTTTATCATTTGTGCAATTTTAATAGAAATCCAGAGAAAAACCATGAATGTAATGATGAAACTATATTTCTCATTGTTATCTCTGATGAAGCCATAAGGTGGCATTACAGAGAGGAAGAAAACAAAACACTCACTAGCATTTCTAATTACTTATATTTCTCTGAAAACTCTAAGAAGCATATATTGCCCTCTTTCTTCCTGCTTTTTCTATATAATTTTATTAACAATTTTGATTATAACAGTAAAATCTATTTTCTTTGTTAAAAACTTTAAAAAGTTTAGAAAAAAAATAGATGTGCAAGAAAAAAGAAAGAGAAGAAAGAGGAAAGTAAGACTATAATAAAGGAAAAGAAATATACAAAGAAGTAAGTCTATCTATACAAGCAGACAATCATTACTGACATTAATAATTGTGGCTGCTGCCAGCATCCCAAGTAGACCAGAAAGGAAATATAACAAGATGAACTAATTCTATTTTATTGTAAGGCTTCATACATTGTAAGAATCTTGTAAATCTAAAAGTACAAATTTCCTGCCATCTCTTTTTACTGTCTGATAAGTTAGATCCTTTCTAAACTTTTAGAAGTTTAGATCCTTTCTTAACTTTTTTCTCTGTCCATTGCTCAATTGCATGCTACTCCACCTTTATTCATTCTGTAGGCAGTGTCTCTTAATCCTATGTTCCAAGGTCATTTCATATACCATTAACCCTTGGAAAATTGCTATTCTGTAGTCTCTATATGAGGAACAGCTGTCCAAAGCACATGTGGGCAATCTCCCATCCTCTCCTTATCTAGAGTGGTTCCAATCTACTCATAAATTCCTTGGTCCATTCAATCCACCATTCCTTCCTCAAAAGTCCCTCCATTTTCGGTATATAGGTTGATCTGAGAGAAAAGTGGCTAGTCCTAAATCACCCATGGATTAGAAATTTAGGTTCCCCACTCCCAATCCACTATACTTTATTGGCTTTATATAAAGTTATGGCAGCATCCAACAATAATTTCCCAATTTCTGTCTGGCAGTCTCTCCAAGTTGAGTGTGACTCCCATCAAGCAATTTGTTCTAAAATAATTTGCAAGGGCCAGGAGTTAAGCCAGAACAATCCTTCAAACCAAGAGATTCAGAAGAAGTTGAAAGGCATCCAGCAATTATGGCAACAGCTCCAAGATGAGATGACTAATTGTAAGTTCCGTTTGGATACAGCTGCTCTCATTCAACACGTAAGTCAGTCTCCTCCTTTGTCCAAACAAGGTAAAAAAAAGTTGAAAAAATTATTATTAACGTCCACTTTGAATTCTTTAAGATACGCTATCACCATATCATAAGTGAATGGTTTTTAACGGGTAGTTGTAAGCTGTAGTAAGCAAGGCCACTGTTCTAGCAGTTATCAATTTTCTGGGCTTTTTACTTGTATAGATATGACTGTATGTTTCCGTGTTTTAATATCATTTTTTAAAAATACTGAATGAATTTGTTTTTTCCCACTTCTAGTATACTATCAGTTTTGACCAAGTCTGATCAATTTTTTTTCAGTGTGGGCAAAATGTAGCTCTGGGCCTACATTGGGATTTAAGCAAATGATTCTTTTCCTTTGCATAAATTATTATGTAGTGGAATGTTATCTGTAGGTATCACCACAATACCTTGATCTTGTTTCTCCTTTCAGTACTTTGCAGATATTAATGAGGTTGACTCCTGGCTCCAGGAAAAACACACTCTCCTAGCCAGCAAAGATTATGGGAAAGATGAATCTAGTGCAGAAGCTTTGTTGCATCGTCATCTTCGTTTGGAAAAGGAGCTTGCTGCTTATTTTAGAGAAATAAGCCACTTGGAGGAACAGGCCCATTCTGTGGCACAGCAAGTGGTATGTAGCACCCAGACAATCTTTTAAGTTACATAACTGTCTGCCCAAATTATACACGAACTTACTGATGCACTAAAACCAGTATTTTTTAAACCTGGACATTTTAAGATATGTGGATTTCAGCTCCCAGAATTCTGCATTGACATGCTTAAAGTTTACAAGCTGGAAAAATACTAAATGAAACAGACACATCTCCGATTGCCCTCCTCATTCATGCTTATTTAAAATAAATTCCGTTCCTGTGATCTCTGATAAAATGTTTCTCTACAAATGGCATGTTTTCCTTCTTCCATGGATCTATGTAAGGCCTGAGATTTTAGCCATCATGGTTTCATATTTCCATATTGAATTCTTAATTTATAAAATTGAGAAAATTGCCATTCTGAAACTTAGAAGGAAAATGTTATTTATTTGGATTATATGATAATGTAAACACATCCACATGTGCTTTTGTTTTGTGATTATATCATCATTCATTCTCTCTAATGATCAAATCAATTTTTTTCCTGTATTGCTTGCTTATTCAAACCTTAATGTTATAAGGCAGTCTCCATTTTATATCATTTTATCTATATTTAAGTATCTCTGGTTAATAAACCCTTATCTTATAGATGCACCTTATTTTGTAATACTAATCAATCTTTAAGAATATAAATGAAGTAACAAAGGTGCTTTTTCAAGAAGCAACTTGATTTTTTTGTTTTTCTTTGAAAACATTTTGCTTTTCATCCAAGAAGCTTCTTCCGCTCCAACTGGATTATGGGAAATGAAAGGATTTATACTCCTTGCAGACAGCTGGCCATTTGCATTCTTATAGGGAGTTATTGAGGCCACTTGGAGGTTTATCTGTGTCCTCAGGGTCACCTGAGTAGTGCAAATGGGTGTGGAGCTTTCTTGGAACTGCTGAAAGCACAGTTGAAAACACAGATAAACCTCCAAGTGGCCTCAATGATTCTCTAAAACAGGGCTGTCAAACTCGTGGCCTGCGGGCTGGATGTGTGACGCACTGGCCACACCCAAACCCAGTTTAGTGAAGGGGGGAAAGTCCCAATACTGTTCTGTCCCCGTCGCACACACGCACACCAGCAGTCGATCAAGAGTTAAAATAAACCAGCAGACAAGAATTTCCTTTAATAACAGAATTGGCAGCAACCCAGTGGCAGCTTGCCAACAGTTTTTTACTTACAAAGGGAGGTTTATCTCCTCCGACCGAAACCATCAAAGTCCACAAAAGCCAAAGAATAGTCAAGTCCAGTCCAAAAAATCAGTCCAAGCAGAGTATATAACAAAGTTCCAGAAATGCAGAACGACTTGCTAGCTTTCAGTTTTGTCCATCACAAAGCCTGAATGGCCACCACACCCTCTTTTATCCCCTGTGGGGTGTGGTCCAGTTACTCAGCTTAATCTCTGGCATGCCTCCTTCTCTGCTGTGTGTGCTTGTCTTTCCGACGCTGTCGGGGATCCAGCCAAGACTTATCTCCGTCGCTGTCTAACTGCGGCTGCTCGGAAATGCCTGGCTCCTGGCCTATCTCTTCTCCTTCGGAAGACACCTGAGGCATTGCCAGAGAGGAGGGTCCTGGAGAGGGAGGCCTTGCCAACTCCTCTCCTTCACTTTCGGAGTCTTCTCCCTCCGATAAGATGGGCTCAGGGGTCGGAGTCACAACAAATATGTCATGTCTCCTGCATGAGCTGCATTGGCTCCTGGTGGTCTTCCGGGTGCACTTTAAGGTGTTGGTTGTCATCTTTAAAGCGCTCCATGGCTTAGGGCCAGGGTATTTGCGAGACCGCCTGCTGCTACCGATAACCTCCCACTGGCCAATACGCTCTCACAGAGAGGGCCTCCTCGGGGTGCCGTCGGTCAGGCAATGTCAGCTGGTGGCCCCCAGGGGGCGAGCCTTCTCTGTGGGGGCACCCACCCTGTGGAATGAGCTGTCTCCTGGAATACGATTGATCCCGGACCTCCGGACCTTCCGTAAAGCCCTGAAGACGTTTTTATTTCATCAAGCCCGCCTAGCCTAAATGGTTTTTAATTGGGATTTTAAATTTTATGGATTTGGGGTTTTAAATTGGGTAGCCAGTGATTTAATTCTTTTAATTATCTTAACTTTTGCATTTGTATGTTTTTTAATTTTGGCTGTTCACCGCCCTGAGTCCCTTCTGGGAGAAGGGCGGTATACAAATTAAATTAATAAATAAATAAAATAAATAAAATGCAATGCCTCCATGATGATGCGAGTTTGACACCCTTGCTTTAAAAGAATGCAAATGACCAGCTATCTGCAAGGTGTATAAATCCTTCCATTCCCCACCACCATCCAGAATCTCCATAGATATATATAAATTAAGATGGCACTAAGCGTATTTAGCATTTGTGAGCGACAGAACTCGGTATTGAGCATAGAATTTTGTGTCTAGTTCTCTGAATAGATGGCATCTGTGCCAGCAGCAAATTCAGAAATCAACAACCAGAGAGTAGCTAAAATGCCATCAAATCATTATCTTTCACAGACTCTTGTCAAACCTACATTCGCTGGACAGCTTGGCTCTGATTCACACTTTATTATGGAAAACATATGGAAAAAGCAGAAGAACATTGTTTTGCTGTATGAAAAACTGCAAACCATGGCTGAGGTATTATTTTTTCCTAATAATCTTTAGATGGGTGTGTAGAATGAAGGGTTTAGAAACATGGATTTTCTTAAATTGATGTTGATATTTCTAACTAATTTTATTGCTAGAATACCTACTTTATCTGCAATGCTTTAGTGCTTATTCAAGCAGCTCTAATTTCTTCTAAACAGCATAGGAAAAAAGAGTTACAAGAAAGAATCCAACTCTATCAATATTACAACTCCTGTGAAGAGTTTCAGTCTTGGATAGATGACAAGGAGAAAATTTTCCAGACCATTCAACCCAAAGCCAACAATGTGGAAGCTATGCAGCAAAAATTCCAGGTCTTTATTAACAGGATTTATTAACTTTGAGTTCCTGATTTGTCTTCATTTACAAAAGATTAACACTGACATAAAATATTATATTTCAGTAAAACTATGGCAAGATTTTTAGCCAATTATTGGATATCTTGATTGACTGGTAAATCTGCAAAGAAAACCACTTGTGCTTGTTCAGACTGTGAAATATTCATTGTTAGTTAATAGCAACCAAAATGACAGAGACTTAAATGAAATTGAAATACCTTTGCAGGCTAATTATTGGACAAGCAGAGGATCTACAAGTTATAGAAAATAATATTGCAATTTGAAACCCAGTGCAAAGATTAAGCAATTGGATTATTCCCTTTGAAGAAGAACAACAATTGGTGATAAATTATTTATGACTTAACAAATCCAATCCTAATTACCGTCATTAAATATGGACTACCTGTATTTGCAGGAAGATTATTGTATGTCCATATGCAATCTACTTTTTAATCCTGAGCTTTACTTTTAAAAATGAAAGCATAAAAAAAAAGGCAGACAGATTCATTCCAGACAAATTATGCCTTTATAAACCTTAAATCCTTTCCCACTTCGTATCTGACCCTAGGGCAAATATGCCCTGGATTTCCTGCATTTTGGGGGTTGGGGGTTTCATATTTCTGCAAAATTACTTACATCTCATTCTCATTCCCAACCTGAATAGCCCTAAATTAGCCTTAGGTCTTCCAATGTTAAAGTAAATTTTAAAAAATTTACACATACAACCCAAGAAGGCAGCAGCTCTTAGCAGCCTTCATGTAGTATAACTTAATTTGTTTCACTATCTATTCCAGGGGTCAAACTCGTGGTCCACAGGTCAGATGCATCACGCATTGATCACACCCATCCCCAGTTTAGCGAAGTGGGGGGGAAAGTCACGATACGTCACGTGATGACAACGTGACGCTGCAAGTTTGACACCCCTGATCTATTTATCAGTATTATTTCAATAAACCCTATGGAATGGCATGAGCCTGATAGCTCTTAAGCATTTCAGGCTGTTGCAGATATTCCTCTGGCATGGTCCATCAAAACCATTCTAGTGGGACAGTGGGATCACCTAGTTCTTACCAACAGGACTGTCTCTCGATCCCAAGCTTAGAGTCTTGGCTTTGAAAGAAGGATATTGGGTGCTATTTTGAAAGGTGGATAGATCCTGTTCAAACAACTTTCAAAACATGTCAGCCAGCAGCAAAGTGTGTTCATTATCTCTTAAACCAGGTTGAGAAATGGTTGTGTGCTTGTTCAAGAGTAGCCCTAGTTGGAATGCTGGAGGAAAAGATAAAGTCTGCTTTCTTATCCACTCTACCACACAACCCCTTCTTAGTTGCACCTGTTTGAAACAAACACAACCAGGAGTAAGTGTTGACTAACAGGCAAACCCACTAGTGTTCTCAAAACCCACCTCCCCTCTAAGCCCCTCCAGTGCAAAAGAGTGTGATTATGGACCCACTGGCACCAATATGTATTAATTTTAATGTATCAAATTGCCTTTTAATAACCTATACTAATTGCTTTTATTATCCTATCAGTATCTATAAATTCCATCTGGATTAATACGTTGCATAAATAAATGATGGTAAAGTGTTCTGCCCATTCAAGGACTGAGTTTATCTTAAGCATTTTAAATTGAAGAAACCCTGGGTGCCCAATTAAAGTAATATTTTTGATGTTGTCATTTTCCATTTGTAATCCTCCCATTTTTCCCACCATTTCTTCAGACTTCTGTTAAGTCTTTCAGAAATCTGTTAAGGTATGAAATTGGAATAGCTACCCATTAGGTTTGGCTGATAGTGCCTGAGCTTGCCCCATCTGGAATAACGTTTCATATGCAAAAACATTAATCATAATAAAGAAGAGACTTTTCATAAGACAGTGATTGTAAACAATTACAAACAATTAACAGTTTCTGCAACAAATTGTGATGATGGCAAAATAGCATCAAAAAAGCATACATTTGTCATTTTACTCGTCCCAGGCGAGCCAAGATAATTTCCATAAATAACTATGGCAGAGATGAAAGTATATGATTTAGTTTACTGTCTCTTTCCTTAGAATTTCCTAATAGAATTGGCTGCTGGGCAAAAACAGCTGGATGAGATCAGTTCCTCAGCAGATATGTTTTCTAAGAGGTGTCCCGGAAAACAGAAGGAGATCCAAACTCGTAAGCAAGAGATAAACAAGAGGTAAAAAAAAAATACAACTGATAGCAAATGAACACATCATCTTTGATTTATGGTCTTTTAGACACTTGGTGCAGTGACATATAAGACTCTAACTTGCAAATGTTTGAAAAGACCCACACCCTTAAATATATATGTAATAATTAGCTTTTCCAAAACATATACATTTATTCTTATTTTACCCTAATAATAATGATTAGGAGAACCAGTTTGGTATAGTGGTTAAGGCACCAGGCCAGAAACTTGGAGACCAGGAGTTAGAACTAGGTGACTTTGAGCCAATCATTCCCTCTCAGCCCTAAGAAGGAGGCAATGGCAAATTACTTCTGAAACACTTTCTCAAGAAAATTGCAAGGTGCATATTTGTTTTCCAATGTACTTGGCACAATATAATGAACAGACTATTGCTATTCTCTGCTTTCTATATTTAAACTATTCTCAAAACTTAAAATTCAATATCTCTCTATATACAGACATATTCCTGACTAATCATAATGAGCTCTGCTTTATTATTGTGTTGTTGTTTTCTAGATGGGAATGTCTGGAAGCATTAAAAGAAGAAAAAGGCTCAGAACTGATTGGGGTTACTGATGTGAAGACGTTCCTTCAGGATTGCCATGACACTCAAGAACTGTTACAAGACAAGATGGCCAGCCTTGAGGATTTGGGGCAAGGGAGCAAGCCTGCTGTCTTGGAAGTGCAGGCATGCAAGCTTTCAGTTTGTGAAAGAGACATCTTAGTTCTGGAGAGAAAAATTGAATACCAAAAGAGGATAGCCAATTTGTAAGAAATCAGTTCTTTACTATAGTAATAGTATTATAGTTGTTACACTTATAATCTGGATGCCAGATTTAAGCAAAGAGTGACACCTGCATATCTAACTTAAATTAGGTATAGCAATGATGCCTACCTCTTTCTTTAATTGATTAGCAGTAATAATGAGGAAATGCATTTTTCTTTTTAGAAAGGTTGCTTGCCTCATTGAATAGATGGGAGTTTGGAATTACTTTGAATAGAGAGAAATGGATGGATGGATGGATGAATGGATGGATGGATGAATGGATGGATTATATGCTATCAAGTTGGTATCAACTCAGATCAACCACACAGATAGAGTTTCTCCATGGATAGAAAGAAGTGGTAATAACCCATAATGCCTGCTTGTATTGATAAAATCTAGAGCACGTCAATGTAAATGTTAGATCCTTAAGATCTAACCCTGAAATGAAAGCAGCCATACATTGCCAACTGCTCTTCTTTCCCCTCACCCCCATCTTTGCATATATGAATGATAGAGAACCATAGGATGGTTTTATGTTACTATCCTGCCTGTGTTGCAAAACTCATGATGGTCACATGGACTTTCTGTATCACATTGATGGCCTCTCGGGGCTGTTTCAATTTGCATCCCAAGTAGCATCACAAATACTATCAATATTATTTGTTGTTGTTCAGTCACTAAGTCATGTCCGACTCTTCATGACCCCATGGACTATATCACACCACGCCCGCCCGCCCCCCGCCATCATCCACTGTCTCACAGTTTGCCCAAATTCATGTTCATTGCATCAATGACGTTATCTAACCATTTCATCCTCTGCCGTACCACTCTCCTTTTGCCTTCAATCTTTCCCAACATCAGGTTTTTTTTTCCAATGAGTCCTCTCTTCTCATTATGTGGACAAAGTATTTGAGCTTCAGTTTCAGTAGCTGTCCTTTCAAAGAACAGTCAGGGTTGATTTCCTAGGAATCACTATTATTAGGAATGGCCTTTGTACTCAAAGCCCAAAACAATATTTTTCAAGGTCCTTTCTTTTCATTATGGTAACTCCTGCTTTCCTTCAAGGGATGCAGAATAACCTACAAAGTTATCTTACCCCTCTTTGGCTCAATTCATTGTAACAATCACAAAATTAGCTTAGTTGAAAGGGAGCCTATACCTACAAGAAGGCTCCTGGCTATAAGCCCCAATAGTAGAGAATTTGTCTTACTAGTTTCAACCCTGACTGACACCAAGTCCTCCCTGAGAAATTGAGTAACACTTCTACCAAACACTTCTACCATCAGACAAAACCTAACTAGAAGAAGTCATTCCAGCTGGCATAAGTAGCTTCCTAGTTTTTATAACTGTCCCAAAATTGCTTAGTGACATTCATGGTTAAGTAATTTCAAATTAACTTTGAAGGCAACTTGTGTGTGCCTCCAAGCCTGTCTTGACTCCTAGAAACTGCCCATATTAATTCATGCAGTTTTCTTGACAACATTTTTTTGGGAGTGGTTTGCCATTCCTTTCTTCCTAGGGTTGAGAGAGAGTTGCTGCCCCAAAGCCATCCAGTTGGATTTGTGTCTAAGGCAGGACTAGAAGTTATGGTTTCCTAGTTTCTACCCTGGCTCTTTAACCACTGCATTAATCTTGGCTCTATTTGAATTGACTACTATACTATTATTCGTGGTCATATCATTTCCCTAAATGCACAAGACATTTCACATCAATTTCATATTTTCAATTAATACAGCAATCTAGGAAGGTAGCCCTCCATTCAGCAAGATGATGAGTTCATAACTAGAATTAACTTTCAGCTAGTATCTCTTAGCTGAAGCTAACATAGATTCTAATTAATTTTCTGGAAATATGTTCACACCAATTGCCAAATCATGGGAATTTATCGTATCATATTATATTCATCATATAATAATATTTAGATGTGGAACAAAATCAATGAATTAACAGTATTCAGGACAATGTATCAGGCATATCTATTTTCAGGGAAATTCAGCTTTGGTTAATAATTGGAATTAATTCTAACTCAGGAATGTGTCTCTGGCTTCATTACACAGAATCCAAGATTCTAATCCTGCAGAGAGTCATGCCATAAAAGAACATGGAGAATACATGGAGAATCTATTATTAATGTTAAAGTTAAAAGCAGAGGAGAAGAAGGTGGTTTTACAAATAGCAAAGGATCAACAAGCTTTTCTGCAAGAGAGCAACAGACTTCTCTTGTGGATTGATGGTGTGAAGGAGAAGCTGACAAGTGAAGAAATGTGTATAGATGTGATCTCTGCAGAACAGCTCTTGAAAGAACACCAGGACTTGCTGGAAGAGATACAGAGTCAGAATCACAGGTACTTATAAGACCATGTAGTAATAATAAGAATTGCTGAGATAGTAATCATGATACAATCTGCAATAACTATTTGGACAGTTTTAAACCATAATTACCGCTATAAAAAAGGACCATCAGAGGTGATTATTCATTCTAGTCATATATTACTTCAGTCACCAAAAGCAGAGAGGGGAGGTGTTGCAAAACTGTGCTAAATCATAGTTATTGGTTACCATTGCTGACTTTATGTAAAAGATTAAGTCCTAGTAAATCGGATATGATGGTTACAATCTATAATGGATGAATTAACAGAACTCTCTAAACCAAAATAACATAATATTTTAATGCAATGTAAGAACCAGGATAATATTGAATATTCCACAATAACAATTGAATGCTATCATCCTTACCCATCTGAGAATAGAATATTGAATAGATATATTTAATCAATTATGCCTCTATAAGGAAGCATGTGTAACCCTGAAAACCTTAAAACATGAATATGTGTAGATACTATTCAAACAAAAGAAAGATGTTATCTATGCAATTGTTTTGGAATCTTTGACAGATTTAAACAGCTGCAAGAATTAGGTGAGAAGGTTGCAGATAGTTCATCCAACATGGGAACTCTTGATGTTGGTAAATATATAGACAGAATTGCTCAAGGAAGAAATGAACTGGATGAGTTATGGATGGAGCGACAGAAGAAGCTACAGGAAAATGTAGCATTGCAGAAATTCATCAAAGAAATTGATTCAATCCTTGCTGCTATCTCCAGCTATGAGGCCTTTTTTCAGACTGATAATCTTGGGGTAAATACTAATCATTTTATTTCAAATTTAGATTGGAATTTATTTACAGATAGTCCTGGTTGTACAACCCCAATTGAGCCCAAAATTTCTGTTGCTATGTAAACAGCTGTTAAATTAATTTTGCCCCATTTTACAACCTTTCTTGCCATAGTTATCACTGTGGTGCTTAAGTTAGTAACTGTTCTGCCCCAGCTACGGACTCCAAAGAACGCAACACACACAAAATCTGTACAAACCTTAGTTTACTAAATTAAATCAGTTTTTTTTTCCAAACAAAGGCTGTTAATTAACTTTCTTAACAGCCTACAAGAATCCAAATAATAAATAATCTTAATCTTACTATGGTTGGCAGAAAGCCCAGAAGCAATTTGCAGAGAACTAAGATCAAGGCACAAAGGAGAATGAACGAAGTTGTTCCCTGCAAATTGCTTTAGTCAGCGTTCCTCCTTAAATAGGCTAAGGGTAGTGGCCAATTAGCCCCAACCCTTATTCTCAAGGAGACCTCCTCCTGCCTGTGCATTGAGAAGAGGCTCCTCCTCTTCGTCCTTTTCACTTAAGGGAGCTTCTGGAGGTTCTGAAGGCCCTGGCTGAATCCCTGCCTCTGGCACCACATCTTCTCCAGCCTCATTGTCTGACTCGAGTGCCAGCTGCACAGGCTGCTGGCACAGCACTACACCAGCCTCCTCGCTGTCCGAATCAGCCACCAGCCATACAGGCCGCGTACGGGCCACAACAGTAACATGGTTGTTAACTGAATCTAGCTTCCCCATTGACTTTACTTGTTAGAAGGTGCCAAAAGGTTATCACATAATCCCGGGATACTGCAACCATTATAAATATGAACCAGTTGTCAGGCATCCAAATTTTGATCACATGACCATGGGAATGCTGCAGTAGTCAAGGGTGTGAAAAATGGCCATAAGTCACTTTTTTCACATGTTGTAACTTTGAACAGTCACTAAATGAACTGTTGTAAGTCAAGGACTACCTGTATTTACAAAGTTTATATACCTCACACAACTCCAGACTGCTTACAATAACAAGATTAAAAATGCAGAACTAATCACTTCAAACCAACACTCAAATAAATATAAATAATAACAAGTATTCCATTCATTTTAAGTCAACAAAAAGCACACAATGAGCCACAAAATGCCCTGTTTTATAAAATACATTCTTGCTGGACATGCTCTACAGCGGGGCTTGGCACACCTTTATTTGGGAGGGAAAGAATAAAGCCCATAAATATTTTCAGAGACACCGGGTGAGAGATGCTTTATTAGAGATTTGGATGAAAATTATCCTAAATGGATATCAACTATGGAAGCAATTTAATTGATTTAAACAGGATAGTAACTTATAAAGAACTATTAGATGGGCAAGGGAAACTCAAATCAAGTCAGGATCTAAAAACACAGGGAATTAAAATAAACTGGTGGTCGTACCTACAGATTCAAACAAGATATAAAAAAGATTCAGAACAATATGGGTTTCAAAATGAGCAACAAGAATTGGATAAAATATTAACGGGGACTGATGAAAAAATGTTACCAAAACATATTACATACAGTAATGTTACATACAGTAGTTTTGTGTTCCCTTTAGTTGTTTGAGCAGTGTATAAACTACTGTATGTAAAGAACAAAATATTTAATAAGGCTATTTCATTCATTCAGATCTCGGATGTCTTCTGCTTGTGTTCCCTTTATTTTTTTGAGCAGTGTATAACGAAAAAATATATATTTAGAGTATAGTAGACATGTAAACATTGTATATATTATACAAATAAGTAACTATGAAATAAGAATATACATGTATAAAACAATAGGCCTATGGATAAGTTGAAATTAAGAAAAAATTCCAATAACGGAAAGCTGTAATAGTGTAATTGTGATTTTAAAGGTTAAAAATGTTGAATAAAAATATTTGGAAAAAAATACATTCTTGCTTTACAAAATACCCTCACGGGGGTAGGAAGGTAGAAGCAGAAGAAGTGTTTTAAGATGTCCCCTGTTTTGATGGAAGGTCAGGAACCTAAGCTTTGCCTCCATATACACCCAGGAAGGGAAAATTCCATTCAGGTGGTCTCAGAATTTCATAACCAATGAAGCAAATGAAGAATAGCAGCCGTTCACATTATCTAGCATCATCGTTAAGAATTCTAATTAAATTAATGAAATTCTAGAGGGGGAGATGAACACTCTTAGATTATCATTACACTACCCTCACCCAGATAGCTCAAGTTTCAGAGCATTCACATGTTCTGGAGATAAGCATGAAATAATATTATGAGTGATGTCATAACTCTTATGGTCTTTCCTTCAGGATCACATGGATTCAACTCAGAATCTCCTGAAGCAACATGAGGATTTTGAACAAGTGCTGTTGGTGTTGAAACATCGAACAAATGCGACCAATGCCCAAGGAGAGCAGCTGATAGAAAGGGGTCATTTTGCTTGTGACAGGTATGTTATCTGAGAACTACAAAAGAGGAGAGACCTATTATCAAGAAACTCATAAATTCCTCCCCTTGACTTGGATTGTGTGCATACTGTAAATGGAGTTTCCTGGGAGTGAACCCAGGAAAACAAATAATTTATCTTTTCAGAAGCTGGTTTAGTATTAATGTTGACAAGAGGATGTATATTTTTGCAAGCTATTTCACTGTAATTTAAATACACTTTAAAAATAACAAATGTAATTGCTTTGTTTCTGTGTAGAATAAAGCAATTTCTGCATTTTACTCACTCTTCTGCTGAATAAAATGGACCACCAATATTCTCTTAAGCTTTCAGGATGGCTTTACAGTGCATTGAGAGCAATAGTCTGGATAGGTCATGTCTGAAGATGACCATTTCTCTCATTATATAACTAAAACCTTCCGAATTATCAATGCTTGAGAAGATGAAAAATCAGGGGAGCAGTTCTCAAAAATAGTTTGTTGTTTTTCTTGTTTCTCAGTTGGTAACTGACAGGAGAAGATGTTAGAATTACCCTTGTGCTTATTGTGTCCTGCCCTTTTTCTCATTTTCTTTCAATTTGATGAGGAAAAAAATTCACTCTTTAACTTCTGTAAGATCAGTGTCATTCTCATAGGGGGGTTTTAGGCTTTTTAAAATCTTTCTTATTTATCAAATCAGCAAGGACGTGCCTGAGAATGTCCAGTAATTCATTCAGTGGTGGGTTTTTCTCATATTGTAATTAAATTCTGAGGGAAGACTCCAGTGGTGAAATTCAAATTTTTTTTCTACCAGTTCTGTAGGTGTGGCTTGGTGGGCATGGCAGGGGAAGGATACTGTAAAATCTCCATTCCCTCTCCAATCCAGGGGAAGGCTACTGCAAAATCCCCATTTCCTCCCAATCAGCTGGGACTCGGGAGGCAGAGAATAGATGGGGGCAGGGCCACTCAGAGATGGTCTTTACCAGTTCTCCGAACTACTAAAAATGTCCGCTACCAGTTCTCCAAAACTGGCCAGAACCTGCTGAAATCCACCTCTGCTCCCCACTCCAGGGGAAGGACACTGCAAAATCCCCATTCCCTCCCTACTCTGGGGCCAGCCAGAGGTGGTATTTGCCAGTTCTCTGAACTACTCAAAATTTCTCCAGAACCTGCTGGATTTCACCCCTGGAAGACTCCCCAGGGAAAGTAATCTGATGGGGCTTCTTCAGATCCGGAAGTATCATTGGTCATAGGAGAGCCTAAAAAGTGATAGAGACTATGGGACCAGAAAAAACAATTGCTGCCACCAATAAATCCAGTTCAAATACAACATATTAAGAACTTCTAAGCAGCCTAAGCCTAAAGAAGAAAAACAGAAACTTTTACAGTAAGGGAAAAATATAGCTTATTTGTTTGTTTATATGTTTCTTTATTTTGAGAAACTGAAGCCTCTGTTACTTCTTCTGCAGGATTAAAAAGACAATGGTTACCTTATGTGAAAGATGGAAATCGCTCATAAATAAATATGAGCAGAAAAAAAGGAGGCTATTAGATTCTCTTCTACTACAGGTCAGAATGTTGATCTGTTGCAGACTGTATTTGTAGAAAGCTTGAACTTATCACTCTGAACTATGCATTTCCAACTCAACATACTTCATCTGACTGTTGTGTTACATGTCTTGTTAAATCGGAAGCGTGTAACCAGTTGACTCCAGGACCATATGTACCCTCCAGTTTCTGAAATGTGTTAGTAAATTATAAAATATAGGCATGCTTATACCCTTGGCAGAATGGAAAATGATTAAATACAAGAATCATATTTAATTTAAAGGAAATGTAAAAGTAGTTTTGTCTCTTTCCCACCCTCTATTTTATGGGAAATGACTCATGGCATGCCACTGAAAAGCCAAGGGTGACCCAATGGTGAAATCCAAATTTTTTTACTACCGGTTCTGTGGCTTGTGGTGTTGCTTGGTGAGTGTGGCTTGGTGGGCATGGCAGGGGAAAGATACTGCAAAATCCCCAATCCCTCCCCACTCCTGGGGGAAGGATATTGCAAAATCTCCATTCCCACCCCACTCTGGGACCAGCCAGAGGTGGTATTTGCTGGTTCTCCCAACTACTCAAAATTTCCATTACCAGTTCTCCAAACTGCTCAAAATTTCCACTACCAGTTCTCCAGAATCTGTCAGAACCTGCTGGATTTCACACCTGGGGTGACCCTCAGCACAGAAAAGTTGTACATTCCCATGAGCTAAGTTATATTATGGTTTGTTTAGTCTTGGCTTAGCTTGATATGGGAATAGACAAAATGGCACATATAGACAAAATGCATATGTTACACTTCTTTTACTTAATGTAATTAAATTTTGTTTACTGAGACTTATATAAATCTCTGCCTGCATGGGAATTAAAGTGCTCACAGTTCAAATACAGTAATTGGGTTAAAACGTGATATTAAAACTAATAATAATTTATTATTAAGAGTATATGCCAGAAGGCAGGAGCTGCTGCAGAAAAGGTGCATTCTCCAGGTCCCAGCAGATGACATTGGTTAATCGAAGGAACTCAAATTACACCAGAGATTTTTTAATATATTTTAATTGAAGATATTTACAGAAAAAGATAAGCATAATAATATATATAAATGAGAATTAGGAAAAAATTGATTTGCAGGAAAAATTTAGGAAAAATTTGATTTGCAGGATCAAATTGCCTGGGCAGATAGCATGGGAGACAAAACAAAATGAACATTACTACAATGTTCCACAGACAATGTTGCGAGGAAACTAAACACGCTCATTCCCTAAAGGCTCACAAGAAGAAGCCAGATCGTAAATGCCTTCTGGAATCCTGCTAGAATTAAGGCTACTCTGATTTCCAGAGATCAGTTGTTCCAGTTGAAAGATCACAGTTCTAAAAATTTTTCCCCTCATTTATAATTATTTCTGTGTAGGCCAGATAACAACTTCATATTTTGATAGCTTTAATATGAGAAATCACTGAGTTTTTTTATCATTCACTGAGATTGTAAAAGGCCACTTGGACATTTATCTGAAAGTGGGCAATATATTTCTTAAAGAAAAGGTGAAAAATCCTTAAGTCTCCTGGGGAAAAGATGTTTTATTTCTGTATTCTGCATTGGCATTAAATAAAAGTATGGTCTTCTTCAAGTCAAGCTGAACTCCTGGTGATTTAATAATGCATACTATACATCTAGTTTTCCTTGTCAGTCATATAGAAGTGGTTTGCCACTTCTTCCAAGATGTATTTCCCATTCTAGCCATGGATTTTCTGGCAATCCCTTATGCAAGTACAAACCCTTTTTTTAAAAAAAATCAGACAAGATCAGCTATTTTTTAATTGAAGATATTTATATAAAAAAATAAGCATAATAATATATATAAATGAGAATTAGGAAAAATATAAAAGAAAAATGATGAAAAACAGTACAAACAAGAAAAGAAAAAGATAATTAAAGAACGGAATTCTGACCTTTTTATAGCAGTTACAAACCAACTTATTCTTTCTCCCTCTCTAAGATTACATCACATAATTCTTCTCTATCCCTATAAATTCAACCTTTTTAATCAGCAAATCCAGAAATCAACATTTCTTTTTTTCCCCCATTTTCAACAAAAAGTCCATAGAAGGTTTCCAGTCTTTTATGAAAGTATTTTTGGTCATAGGCGTCTTTAATATACTACATGTATGACACATTATATTGTACTGTCTACTCAAGTTCTCAAAATTTATTTTATTTTTTTTTATTTTTAATTTGATTTTTATTATAACATATAGTGATACATTCGGTACATTTTTGGTTCATTGGTGCAATTATATACATATATACATCTACATGCATTATTACTTGTCTTTTATTTGATATTGTTTCTTCAAGCTAGATTTAATTTCAAAACACTTAAAGATAATAGTGCTCAAATCTCTAAGACTAAATATAATACTATTCATATAGATTTTGTTAATTAATTAATATTTAATCTCTATTTCCTTCTTTATTTCTTTTCCCCATCCATTCGTACCACATGTCCCACACGCTATAAAATTCCAAATCTTCTCTGTCATTAATTTCTGAAGTCAATTTGTTCATCTCTTGAACTATGAAATTTAATTTGTATACAATTGTAGGAGTTCATTCGTGACACTGCTGAACTCTTGGTATGGATGGAAGAAAAATACAAGATAGCCTCAGATGAGTCTTACCGTGATCCCACAAATATCTTACGGAAGCTGAAAAGGCATGAGGCTGCGGAACAAGAAATGATGGCCAATAAGAAGCATTTTATGGGGGTGATGACGGTAAGGTGGACTCATGCAGGTAGAAAGATAATTAGTAGAAGGGCCAGTAATTTGATAATCTTTAGCTAATGAGAGAATTGCAAAATTACATACAGATATTCTATGCAAATTGCTATGATCCAACTAATAAGAAAACAAGCTTATGTCCATGTATCCAAAAAACAGTGTTGAAATCTTGGGAAATTCTACACCAGCTGTTTATATAATAATGCAACCATCACATTAATAATATAACATAAGACTATAGCAATGGCAGCTTGATGCTATAAATCCCTAGTGATGATTTGCTTTAGAATTCCTACAAAACCTGTGTTTAATTTTTTTAAAAGAAAATTAAAATTAGAATACAGATTTTTAATATTCAGCTTAAGTTTAGAAGCTTCATAATTTAGTTGCTTTCATGTTGGATGTATCAACATATGAGTGCACATCCTGGCAATGCAAGTGAATGAATTTCTCTGCAGCAAAAAACAACAGTATTTTAATTGTTCATATCTAGTTCTTTAATATCATACAAAGCTATCAACAATCTATGAATTTATACTTTTATACCTACCCAGAACAACCTAGATTATATAAATTTTATAACTTCTGATATTAAATCTACACCTTCACTTTTTCTGCACACATTCATCAAATTCACTTGTAGGATCAGATTACTTTCATTCAAATCAATCATCACCAGATTATCCCATAGATAATTGACTTCTTCTACTCTTCATGCCTTTCACATACATTTTAGCTCATTTTAGTAAATTGGAAAATGTATTGACTAGATTAACAAGATTAATCATATCCATGTCAGTATGACAGTGTATCTTCACTCAAGATGTATAGTTGTAATGTTATTTATTTATTTTATTTATTTATTATTTAAATTTGTATACCGCCCTTCTCCCGAAGGACTCAGGGCGGTGCACAGCCAAAATTAAAATACATACAATACAAAATTTAAAATAATTTAAAAGCAGAATTAAATCGAATTGGCTTCCCAAAACATTAAAACCCATTACCCTTAAAATAACCCATTAAAATTTTAATTTTGTTATTGATAACTGATGATCAACAATTGGTATGAGTTATGAAGGTTTATACTATACATGAACTTTCTCTGAATATAGATCGGTGGGTAGAAACAACCACTATAATTTTTGGGTTATCAAAAGAAGTGTTTTTGACTAACTGTATTGCATTTCTCTAGGCTGGAAATCAACTGATACAAAATGGCCACTATGCTGCAGATTCCATTCAGGACAAAATGTTGGAAATAAAGAAGAAATGGGAGAAGCTCTACAGCAAAATGATAGAACATGGAGATAAATTGAGGCAGGCTGGCCAGCAGGAACAACTGATGGAGCTTCTTGAGGTCAAGAGCAATGCATGAATGAATGATTTATTACAGTCAAATTTAAAATACCCACAAATATTAAAATATCGAAGACATTATATAAAGGCAATAGGAAATTACAGAAATGGAAGTGCCACTTTTAATTTCCCTTAGGTTCCCTGTAGTCAGATTCTACATGTTGCCCCACAAAATTTATCAAGATCCAGTATAGAAGCAGGTGTCTCGTCTGAATGCAAAAAGACAGAAGCATTGAATTGGGAAGACCTGAAAAGTTTTATAAAATAGGCATAATAAGTCGAGCATCACCTGTATTTGTATCTGATTTCTACATTTCCTTCCTTAGGATGCTGACGAGAAGATAGAGAAGATAGAAAGGATGCTTCGAAATGCAGAATTGGGTCATGATTTGCGTTCTAGTCGCAATTTACTCAAGGAGCATAGACAGCTAGAAAATGAAATGCAGGGACTGGCTGAGAAAATGAATTCCATTGTGTCTCACGCCAAGAGTGTAGCTACACATCACTTCAATAGAGAGAGGATTCTTGATGAGACCCAGAGTTATCTGGAAAGGTAAGCTATTCTTCTTCCAGGGATCAAAAATCCAAAGGCTACTTCTAAACTACAGCAAATTATTGTACAAGGCAAGGAGCAGAAAAAACTATTAGTATGCTTACTGAATACTGAGATACTGTTGGGAAAGTCAATGAGACAAATCATTCTTCCCTTCTTCTATGGAAGAATAAAAAAGACATATATACCTTTAAACTTTCTATATACATCCTCATTGCACAATCGCCTACTATCAAGTGACCCTATTATGTCAATTTTTTCTGTCCTTGCAGATCAATAAATAACAAAAAATGCTGCTTGCAGTCACCCCAAAAATTTTTAAAAAATTTATTTTATTTTTCTGGAAAGTACTGCATAAGAAAATACAGCAAATTACACAAAAGCAATACGCTCAAATTAAAATTGCCACATGTTCCATAGATTGGATAATTATAATGTAAAATAGTTGTGAAAAATGTCCCTATTCCTTTTTCTTCTTGTGTAGCATTAATACTTTACTAACAGTAGTAATGGCATTAGTACTAATAGGACCAATCAATTAGACATGTTTAGTTAATGAGGAACCCTAATGATTCTTTTTAAATATACAAATGTGAACAGCCTTTTTAAAAAATCTAATCTACAGATTTGATTCCCTGCAAAATCCTCTTGCTGAGAGGGGGCATCTGTTGGAGGCAAATGTGGAACTGTTTCAATTCTACCATTACCATGACATGGAAATGACATGGATTAATGAGCGAATGTCCATTGCCAATTCTACAATCCAAGGAAAATCTTTAAATGGGGCTCAAAGTTTGCTACAGAAGCAGAAGGTAACTCTTCAATTAAAATGGTTCTTTTGGAAGTCGGAATGGGGACTTTCAAAAGCATTTCACTTTTTACATTTGGGTTAGCATTAGCAGCTTATTCTTCAGTCAGATGGAAAACTTACCAGGAGCAAGAATTCTGCCTATTCAAATACCAATCCTATATCAGACACAATTCTAAAAACAAAATAAAACATGTACTCTCTCAAGATGCCTCAGCTTTGCTTACTTTCCTGTTTTGATTGAAATCTGCAAGGTGGTCAGAAGCCATAGAGAATCTTAGTGCAAGTGAGCCAAGACCTTGGTATTGAATTATTGATGAACTTTGTTTCTTTGTTTGTTTGATTGATTGATTGGTATCTTGCCTTTATTGCTTAATAAATAACTCAAAGCAACATTGAGTTGTTTTATACCATCCTTCTTCCTCTTATTCTCACCACAACAACCCAGTGAGGTGAGGTGAGCTGAGAGATAGTGACTGGCCCAAGATCTCCCAGCTGTCTCTCAAGCTTAAGATAGGACTAGAACTCATAGTCTCCTGGTTTCCAGCACCTTAATCAGTATAACAAACTGGGTTTTTTAAAATGTTGCTGGGGACCAGTTTCAAAATATTATCACAGCATTAGGTATAAATCATGAAAATTATATACCTGCAATTAAGAATGAAGCTATGGCTCATTTGGCAGAACAGTGATGGCCAGGTCATCAACACAGTTGTTTCTGCAACTGCCATCAAAAAATATTACAGACAATAGATGCATTTAGTAAACTTTCCCTTCAGAATGAAAATAAGAGTTTCAGGAATCCAAGTTTTTCTCTTCTGGTTCACATATATCTCTGGATATAAGAACAAACAGTAGAAAAAGGTCATTTTTTTTTTTTTTAGATTTGGGTTAAAAAAATAACTCAGTAAAATTTAGGCTTTGAAAAATAGCACATAGATTCCAAGTTTCTCTTGGATTGCTTCTTTCAGCTATTTGTCCTGCCTCTTGCCTTTCCATCACATTCCTGCCTGTTTGTCTCCTAGGAATTACAAGTTGAAGTGAAAGCCCATAAGCAGCAAATCTCCAGGGTTCTGAAAAAGGGGAATGCTATGGCAGAAGTTACGTGCATGTCTTCTCAGAGGATCAAAGAAAAGTGCCAGGAACTGAGCAAAAACTGGACAGAGCTAGAAGAAGCTTGTGATAAAAAAATAAAGCAACTGCAGCAGTCAGTTGTTTACTATCAGGTATATATATATATATTTTAATGCTGTAAGCTACCCAGTGCCTTTGAATAGGAGACAGGTGGCAAATTTATTTATTTATAAATAAATAAATATCACTGTATTTTGACAACACTCCCTTTTACATCATGCAACTAACAACACAAGATTTCCACGCAGTTTGGTGTTGGTCTTGGAACCACCTGTTTCTTATTATGGTTGGGCAGCTGAACTAATTTACCTCCAGCTCTGCCATCACTCAACGTAGATTGAAAAGATTCAATCTGCAGTATTGCAAATTGCAATATTGAATTCTGCAAAGCTTAAGGAGTCCATTTTCCTTTTGGTGAGAATTCCCAGACTTCTGGTTCTCTGGCTTGTTTACCTTGCAGTTCTCTGCTACAACACAACCATTACTTTGCAAGTGAATTCGCCTGCATTTCCTGTTTAGTACTTCATATTCCATTTATTTATTTCCCCTTTTTATTTTTCAAGAATATGCAATGTATATGACAATAAGGAAGAGATATAAACCAGTGTTTCTCAACTTTGATAACATTAAGATATGTGGACTTCCACTCCCAGAATTCTCTAGGCAGCAAGGAATTATGGGAGTAGAAGTCCACACGTCTTAAAATGGCTGAAGTTAAGAATAATGATATTGATGACGATATCAATGATAAGGCATAAATATGAGGCCTGCCTACTTCAGGATATGGGAATCAGACCCTATATATACATCAGCCCCCTGGTTTAAATCCTAAATCCTTTTCCTCCTCCTCCTCTTTTGAATCAACAGACTTTTGGCCATTCTTTTCCCATCCTTCAAAATAAGGGATAGATACAGTGGTGGGATTCAGCCAGTTCGCACCAGTTGGAAGAATAACTGGAGAACTAATTGTTAACTTTCTGAGCAGTTTGGTGAACTGGTTGTTGGAAGAAATCATTAAGGCAGAAAACCGGTTGTTAAATTATTTGAATCCCACCACTGGATAGCTACCTTGTCTTTATATGCTTTGATATAGTCAGCTGGTGCCATCACTGACTATTGGGGGTGAATCTTTGCCCCACACAGAGAGGGCTCGCAATCTGGGTGTCCTCCTGGATGCACAGCTGCCTTTAGAAGAGCATATGACGGCCGTGGCCAGGGGGGCTTTTTATCAGGTTCGCGTGATTCGCCAGTTGCAGCCCTTTCTGGACCGGGATGCCTTGCGCACGGTCACTCAAGCCCTTGTCATCTCCCAGCTGGACTACTGTAATGCTCTCTACATGGGGCTCCCCTTGAAGAGCACTCGGAGGCTCCAACTGGTCCAGAATGAGGCCTCACAGGTGGTTATGGGCGCAACCCATTGTGCCCACATGACACCCCTCCTGCGTGAGCTGCACTGGCTCCCAGTGGTCTTCTGGGTGCAATTCAAGGTGCTGGTTACCACCTTTAAAGCGCTCCATGGCATAGGACCCGGGTACCTTCGAGACCGATTGCTGCCACCAATAGCCTCCCACCGGCCAGTTTGCTCCCACAGAGAGGGTCTCCTCAGGGTGCCATCGGCCAAGTTATGTCGGCTGGTGACACCCAGGGGGTGGGCCTTCTCTGTGGGAGCCCCTGCCCTGTGGAATGAACTGCCCCTGGAAATGCATAAGATCTCCGACCTCCGTGTATTTCGCTGTGCCCTCAAGACCCTGCTGTTCCGCCAGGCCTGCTATCAATGTAATGATTTTAAATTAGGTGTTTTAAATTTTTGGGGTTTTAAATTTGAGCCAAAACTATTTAATAATTTTAATTATTTTTAATTGATGTCTGTCTTTGTGCTTTTAATAGGCTGTACACTGCCCTGAGTCCTTCGGGAGAAGGGCAGTATAGAAATAAAATTATTATTATTATTATTATTATTAGTTAATCTTTAGTGAGATTCACAGAATCTCAGTCTTTGAGGCTAGTTAATAGCTCAGCAGCTCGAGTCCTAATCAAGGACCTAGGAACTGTTAAGGTATCGTCGGAGGATGTTAGCTGTTCCGAGTAGGGTGGTTTTTTGTAGAGTCAAAATGTTCAATTCCGGCAAATTATTGTTGTTGTTGTTGTTGTTGTTGTTGTTGTTATTATTATTATTATTATTATTATTATTATTATTATTATTATTATCCCTTACAAAGGCTAGCCAAGATATATATATCTTGCTTTTTTCCTTTTGAAAAAGGATAGAATCCTTTCTGACCTTCCTCATTTGTTCCTCTTTGTTCTACAGTCTTATCACTGTAGTTTCAGATTTATAAGTTCCTTGGCATTGTCTCCTGAAGCAGCAGCCAAGTACTTTGCTTTGCACTATATCTCTGACCTTGTATGTAATTAATATATATGGTCCTTTTAGCCGTCTTTTGATTTAATATTGAGAATGCAAAGATACTATTTTATAGAACTAATCTGTGAAAGTAAGTGCCTCTTATATCACCATGTGTACTTTTCATTTTTTAAAAGTTCCTAATGGATACTTGGGACCTCGAGAATTGGGTAGCAGAGAAGCTTCCACTGATCACCAACAAAGATTGTGGTAATGATGAAGCCGCAACTCTTAACCATATAGCAAAACATAAGGTAACTTATATATACAGACTACAAACTATGTAGGATTACTGAGATGTTGAATAGTTGTATTCCCAGCCTTAAGGATACCTATACAATGTAGAGGCTAAATTTAAAATATTGATTCTTAATTGGTATGACAAATTCATATTGCCTATAGCAATAGCAATAGCACTTAAACTTATATACCGCTTCACAGTGCTTTACAGCCCTCTCTAAGCAGTTTTACAGAGTCAGCATATTGCCCCCAACAATCTGGGTCCTCATTTTACTGACCTTGGAAGGATGGAAAGCTGAGTTAACCTTGAGCCTGGTGAGATTCGAACTGCCAAATTGCAGGCACACAGCAGGCAGCAAAAGTAGCTTACAGTACTGCATTCTAACCACTGTACCACCATCGCTCTTGAACTATGAACTGTGTTGTGTTCAGACAGTAATATTAACTCTACATGAACTACTTTTTAAAATGAGAACTGGTCTACCACCACTCCTTATTTTTCTTGGCCTAAGAGAAATCCTGCTGTAAGGGCCCTGTAAAATTCCTGTTGATAAACCAGCCAACATTATTAATACATATTGGGTTCCTGGTGGTCTCTGAGCCTGTTTCTGTTCCTGCAGATGTTTCATTTCCAAATTAAGAAATATCACCAATGCATGGGATCTAGGAAAACAATCTAAATCCAAAAGTGAAAGAAAATTCCTGAGGACATGGCACTCTGATGAGTCATCTATTAACAGATATATTAAGATAAGATCAGTCTATAAACCATTCAAGAAAGGAAGCAATTGAAGGTTGAACACTCATATACCTATTAACTAATATTAGATAATTGAGAACCAGCACCAGATAAACAAGAACAAGCAAAGAAGAAACAATGCCCTTCCCAAAAGCATTTAAGAAGAAATAATACCACAATTAAGGTTGGTAGGAGAAGTTACCATACTATATATAAACAATCAGAAAATTATATTCCTTCATTCACTGATGATGTTATTTAACCTGCTAAGGAAACTTCTGCAAGAAAAGAAGCAAGCTTAGAGAACACCAAAAACTCAACAATATTTGAGTTTAAATATTTTCCACCATGGACTACTCAGCGCCTTGTTCAAAGTTCAAAGAAATAATATATTCAGTCATATTCAAGTTTATTTCAACTTCATGGGTCTATCTAGTTTTTCACATCATCTATGTGAAAAACCTCATCACATCATCTATTTTTAATTGCTATGAACAGTAGCAATATGTCAAAGGACAGAGGAAGTAGGCTATAATAGCAGTCATCTATTGATGAATAATTTCCACATACACTCTATAAGGCTGTAGTCAGGTTTTTGCCCTCTTAAGTATGTCCCAACCTATATTTATAGTTCTGTACAGTTCTGAAATAAATCTAGTATGGTATTTCAGTCTCACTGTAGAAAAATATTGCTGAATGCACAAACAACTGTGAACCAACAACTAAAGAGTGCTTAATAAAGTTGCTTCATTGAGACTATGATCAGAGTCTTTTCTCACAGATGATAAAATTTGCAAGAAAACCTTTTATCAAGTTGGTTAGAGGCATCACCTTCATAGGTACCTTATTAGAATCAAATAACAGTTCTCAAACAGTAATTGGTTGATTTTGAAAAACGACTTCTTTGCCTTTAACCATGTACAGACTTATAAACTTGCTCCTTTCGTAGGAAATCCTATGTAAACACCTTGCTTCTACTTCCATATAGTTTATGCTTCTTATTAGTATTTCCCTGTCAGTACGTTATTTATGTACTTAATCAGTACATTGGGTTGCTACCGGTGGGTTGCTACCGGTTCGCCCTAGATTGGGCAAACCGGTAGCGGCGGCGGTGAGAGGCTCCGCCCACCCGCTCAGACATTTCTGCACATGTGCAGAAGCTTCTGCGCACACATGCACATGCCCCCATGAACAAACCGGTAGTGACGGGATTTGAAACCCACTACTGTACTTAATCTGTTTTTACAATGGCTTCTAACAAACTTTGCATTTGGAAGACTCATGTAAGTGGCTTCTAGTTTGTTTTTTATATATTGAATATGGCTTCAGTTAAATCTGATATTGTCTGCTAATTTGGGGTTCCTGAATCATTTTGGCACATTAAGTAAAAAGTAAGACTACTTTTTGTCAGTATTGAATGTTCTACGTTTTCTCTTCAACTGGTACTTATTTTGTGTCAGGCTCTAGAGCATGAAATTGGCATTTATCAGAACTTAGTCATGGAACTAGAAGAAACTGCCAAAACTCTACCACTTTCAGACTCCATCCATTATGATGAAGTTGATATGCCTCAAAGACAGGTCCACATAAAGCTTCAAGAACTGCAAACATTGGCTAAAGCAAGGTAGGGAATGAAAAAAGATTGTGTGGTCCGATTATATATTTTCTTGTTAGCTTTTTTTTTCTTTTTTTGCTATTCTTTTCATCAGGAAGTGAATTTCAATCATACAATGTGAAAATCATGGGAGTCTTCTGAATTTTTGTGTGTGTTGGTTTTATGTTGCCTTGTCAGAGAGCTCAATCCTAATAATTCAGTAAGATATAATCATACATCATGTCTGTAGAGACAAAAAAAATGCATATGGGTCTATGTTATCATGAAGGAAAGTTGCAGCATGTGTTGGTTTCTACATAATCGTATGTTATGCTTCATATGTCTAGTTTAATGTCTAGTTTGGTGAAAAGAAGGACTAGGGGACACATGATAGTAGTGTTCCAATATCTCAGGGGCTGCCACCAAGAAGAGGGAGTCAAACTATTCTTCAAAGCACCTGAGGGTAGAACAGGAAGCAATGGGTGGAAACTAATCAAGGAGAGAAGCAAGTTAGAACTAAGGAGAAATTTCCTGACAGTTAGAACAATTAATAAGTGGAACAACTTGCCTCCAGAAGTTGTAAATGCTCCAACACTGGAAATTTTTAATAAGATGTTGGATAACAATTTGTCTGAAGTGGTGTAGGGTTTCCTGCCTAAGCAGGGGGTTGGATTAGAAGACCTCCAAGGTCCCTTCCAACTCTGTTATTCTATTCTATTCTATTCTATTCTATTCTATTCTATTCTATTCTATTCTATTCTATTCTATTCTATTCTATATACAACAAGGTGCAAGTATCTGTCCTGTTCATGGAAATGACCTTGACTAAAAAAAACCCCAGGCAGTTCATAAGAAGAAAGGGAAGCAGGAAAGTGTGCTTAGACACAGGATTATGTCACAGCTGACTTCACATAAGCACCACCCATCCATATCCAGATGAACTTCCTTTTGTGGCTGTTTTCAGAGGAATATTTATTGCTAAACTAATGCTATCTCTTTACTCATATATAATGAAGCCACGTTTTTGCTAATATTGTTTTTATTGGTGTTGTTACCCATTCAGAGTTACATCTACAAGAAGGGAAGCCTTACAGATTGGTAAAATAAATAAATAAAAGTGTAACCCATCTGGAATACACCCATATTTTTATAGCATTCTTCCTATCTTTTTCCCCCTTATTGGACGATGTCTGGCTATTTTTAAGGAGGAAAGATGAAGAAGGCAATGTACACTAACATAGACGTCCTTAGCCTAACACTGCATTCATAAGGGTCCTCTATACTTATCCTATCAGTTATAATCAGTGGCCTTAAGCTTCAAAATGATATTGAATGTGTAATTTTTACAGAGTGGTTGTATCAAAATTTCTAAGTTTTCTGTTGCCTTTGTTCTGCCTATTTTATCTTCAAATTAGGGGTAAAAGGTTGGAGGAGACACTTGAACTACATGACTTCCTGAGTGAATATGAAGATCTTGATGGCTGGATCAATAAGCAAAAGCAGGTGGCCAGTTCTGAAGACTATGGACCTGATTATGATCATGTCCTTGTAAGTTATAATGCTAATGATTCAAAAGATTTCCAGAATATGTTGCAATGGTATAAAATATATTACATGACTGTTCAGGAAAAGTGGCTTCATACATGTAAAAGAAACAGAACAAAAGAACATGTTCTTTGGGGATGGAATAATCTACTGTGAGCTGTGAGTTAAGGTGTTGGTGAAGCTGATTACTTTCAACTGAGACTAGCCTCTGACCAACCATGTCTGGACTCAGAAGGTAAGCTGTTTGAGTCTAGCTAATATTTGTATAGGAGACCGGGAAACATCAGGGCTATAGGCTGGACTGAGAAGTTGAAATAGCATTTCAGAAGAAGACAAAAGTATATTTCTGTATTGCTGCCAAGGATACCATGTGAATGCATCTATGAAGTCACTCATCTTTTTAGGCATTTTAATGCATTGATTAATAATTATTATAGAGAGCTTTTGCAGACAAGAAATATTTATGAAATTTAGATGCTTGAATAAAGGGTAATGTATTCATGATTACTCATTGTTCAAAATAATTAGTAAGATGTCGACAGAATAATGATGAAAATATTATTTTTCTGATCAAGGAGATTGCAAAAAAAAAAAAATCAAAAGAATAATCTTATTTGAAATAAACATTGATATGATCATCAATTGGAGTAGTAACTGAACACCCTTGGATTAGAGGCTAAAGTTTGAAACTCCAAATAAATAATCCCCTCCCCGCCACTGTTCATATGATACATGATCTCACTGAGGTCACTACTTTTTCTTTCTTTCCTTTTTTGTTTTTGCACTTGAGATGATTTTAAAAAATAGATTTTGCATGATTAGATTTCATTTATAATTAGCATCATAGAATTGGAAGAGATTTTCAAGTAATTGAGACCAAGTCACTGTTCAAGCAAAAGTATTGCACTACTAGATTATAAAAGTCAGTTGGAATAATTAAAAACCAATGCAAAAAAAATCTTCTAATGTCCTAAAATGGCATAAAAAACAAGCACAACAGTCTAATAAATGCTTGGCCTTATTTGGTTTCTTTTGGGGTCTTTGGCATTTTGACAGACTCATGTGGAGATAAGAGGTCCTCTATAGAAGTTGAGCAAAATTTTAGCTCTTATGAAATAACATCAATGCCATGAATGGACTCCCTGTGTAATATTTATTATTGTTTGAGGAGACACAAAACTGCACGAAAGATGGTAAAGCATTTCAAATTGCTCTAGGATTATCCTTCTAGAAGAAAATATGGAACAAAGATGTTTGGAATTTCAGACTTTAATAGAGACTGTACTTTGAAATAAATGCATACTGGGATCATACAGGAAAAATCACTTGGAAAAGTTATTCAAAACGATTCATCACTTCAATTTTTCCCTCTATTCATTTTCTTCAAAAGCTTCTTTGTGTCAAATATGAAAAATCTCAGCATCAGATGGAAATTGCTTCCCAGAGAGTTGCTGCATGTCATCAGTTAGCTCAGAAAATGTTGGATTATGGCCATGTTGAATCCAGGGAGATTCGGAAGAAGCAGAAACAGTTGAGGTAAGAAAGCATTCTTGTCTTTTTCCATTATTTTTTCAGTCTGACCTTTTCTTTCACAAGACAAGGATCAGGAAGCTGTAAAAGAGCCATATGGGGGGGGGGGGGGGAATATTCCATGAAGGAGAAGATTTGGGTGGCATGTCTACTTTGCTGCAAGATCTAAGATCTTTCTTAAACTATTCAGAATTTTGCAGAAGTGGAAGGAGAAATGTAGATTTGATTTGCAACAATGGCTTGTTATTAATATTTAAATTCATTACTTGTTCTCAACCAAGAGGAAAGGGAGAAGACTTTTGAGCAATATAACATAGATAGATAGATAGATAGATAGATAGATAGATAGATAGATAGATAGATAAGATAGATACACACACACACACACTTCACACACATGCATTTTGATTATTTTTATATGATCGTATATTTTTATTATTTTAAAGTATGGTATTATTGGTTTGTTTATATAATTTTATCTGTATGAAAACCTATCAGATGATAGAGATAGATAGATAGATAGATAGATAGATAGATAGATAGATAGATAGATAGATAGATAGATGGATAGATAGATAGATGGATGGATGGATGGATGGATGGATGGATGAAGATAGATAGATAGATAGATAGATAGATAGATAGATAGATAGATAGAATGATTAGCTATTGCTAGAACCTTTTCCATCATCATCATCTCCAGTCATATGCATACATGTATACTTGTGTTAATTAATTCAGTGCAGTAAAATTGTACACATGCACACATTTCTTAATTTGTTTTAAATCTTAACTCAAGAAATTCTGATAGATTTTTTGTAAGGAGAAGGTTGATAGATTTATATTTATGACACCACCGTGTATTTTTTAACTGCGGTTCCAGAAAAACACCATCAGAAATTGGCATAGCTGATTGATAGGTAGCTCATCACTGACTGACACATTCTTTCATAACTGTCCACTTCTGACTTTCTTCTGGATACTGCTTCATACATCTGACTTTTTTCCCGCTTTAGCAACAACTGGCAGGAGTTGCTGGAGATGACAAACTACAAAGGCAAACTGTTGCAAGATGCTGAAGCAATTTACAAGTGCCTGCAGGACTTGATGGAAGCTCTCAGCCACATTGAGGTGAAATTTGTGTCAGAAAGCAAACATGTCTTTCTGAGGCTCAGATTAGATATGAAACAACAAGCATTCGTTTCTATTGTTTACCTCGCCTTTCCACACGGAGTAATCGTGATGGCTAACAATAAATGTAAAATTATAGTATTGTGAAAGTTTACATTTGCCCATAACATTTTTAAATCAGGAAAATATAAAAGGGGAAATAAAAACAGTTGTCCAATGTTTTATTCCCATATTTCTCTCATATATACATATAGAAATGTAGAAATTTGGCTCAAATGAATAATGGGATTAAACTGTACCCCACTGCATGACATACTTTTTTCTTCAGTCTCTTTCTTTCCAGTATCAAAGATGGATTGTAGAGCATAGGTTTTATACAGTGGAAGGGAAGGGATTTAGATCACTTTATGGGTATGATTCTTTTCGTTTACAAATAGACCCCCACATATGCCAATGAAAAGAGTTTTATATACTGCCTATTTTAGAACAAAATCAAACCAGAATGATTAACAGAAAACATGTTTGGTCTTTAGGACAAATTGAAGACCATCCCAGATTCCATTGCTAAAGATCTGAATGGGGTGCAGTCACAGCTACGTAAGCAAGCAACTCTTGAGCATGAATTATTTGGGAATGAGCAGCAGGTAAGATATACTGCAGTCCTTTAAAAAGTATATTAAGAAAATTTACATGTCTGCCCAACACATAGCAATTCTGTGCAGTTTACAGATATAATGGTCTTGTTTTGAATTTGCCTGTGGTTCTTGTCTTCTAAATATGAATATGCTTTAAATATGAATTTGAACTGAAACTATTCATCAGCAAGATGCCATCAACAAATGGTTAAGGCATTGGGCTAGGAGCAGGAGTAGCCAGGTTATAGTCCACGTCAGACATGGAAATTCATTGGGTAACACTAGGCCAGCCACCTTGCCTCAATATAAGGTGTTATTCCAGGGAAAACTAGGGGGTGTGAGTGCTAGGTTTGCCACCTTGAATTCATGAATGAAATATGAGACTTCTTCTTCTTCTTCTTTTAATGATCCCATAATCCCTTGTGGTGTGGGCAACTGAATGGAGCTGAGTGTTTACTGGCCAGATGCCATTCCTGTCACCAATGCGGAGTTTTGTTCAGCAGATATATTCTCATTGTGCCCAGAGAGAGAAATAGCTGCCTCTACCTAGGATCGAACTCACAACCTCCTGATTGTGAGGCGAGAGCTCCACCTCTAGGCCACCACACCATTCAAATGAAATACGAGACATAAATTTAATAAATGAACCAAGGAAGAAAGCACATGTCTTGAACCAGGACATTCTCAGAGGGTTCTTTCAAGTGCTATGGATGAGATGGATAGAGTCCTTCCTTGCCTTTAAACAGGGATACCCCACCTATAACTCTTTTATCTCCTTACCTCCCAGGAGGAGAAATTATATGGATTACCAGGCTGAGACCTTTGGGAAAGAAGAGGAAGCTCCATAGCTGCAATCCCAGTCCACCCCAGTCTTACTCTTTACTTTCACCTTCCCAGTATTTGTCCAGCATTGTTTTTGTTACCTTGTGAGCTGCTAGCTTCAGCAATTCTTCCTCCGCCTCCTTTTGGAGGAAGAGAGGGAAAGAGGATAAACATATTGAGTAGCGAGAAGAAGGAAAAGCAGCACTTGACCTGACAGATTTGCTGATGGATGAATGAGAGGCAGTCTTGTCTGCAGAAACAAAAACAATTTGGCTGCTGCTGTATTCCTGCCAGTGCTATCAGACTATTTCTCATATAGACATGACAGATTGTCCTCCTGGGCTACTTAATCCAGCCAGCTGCAGATATTGTGCCAGTTTCAAATCCCCAGCTAGTGTAAATAGACTAGACAGACTGTCTGTTTCAATAGTTTAATTTTCTGAGGCCTGCTCCTCTCTGCAAACTGAAATTCAAGACTCTGGCTGCTTATGAAGCTCTGTATAGAGTGAACTGGAGTTACCCATCGTTTGGGGAAATGTCACTGATGGATGGGTTCTTAAACTTTTATTTTAAAAGTTAAACGATTCACTTCATTTTTTTTCCCCTGTTTTGCAGCTGCATGTTTTGATGGATACTGCAGATGGCGTGCTCTGCCTGTGCTCTGAGAGGCAAGCAGCAGAGATCAAGGCAAAGCAACAGGCCTTAGTGGAGAATTGGGAAGTCTTGCGGTGTAAAGTAGAACAAAACAGGGAGCAGCTGGAATATGCTTGCAGATTATACCGCTTCCAAACCTATGTGAGGATTTCAATGTTCTTTTCTCATTTTTTAATCCTATATTATTCTGTTCTCCAGTTGTATTGGCCAGTATTTTCCAGAATGGTCAACCAATATTCCATCACTGATCCATAGAATCAGTGCAGACTATTATATCATATATAATACAGGTATATTATATCATATACCTGTATTAACATATCATTTATAGTATACATTCTAAAGATGCATAACCCTGCTTAGGTCTTGTGGAAAAGAAGATACCTTTGTCCTGCAGGCAGGATCTTCTATGAGGCTAAAGGTTGACATCCATCTTTCATATGGATCTATTAAAAGTTTAATATAATATTGACAGCATAATTATTATGAAAAACATAAAAGTATCTGTCTCAACAGCAATCTTTGTAAAGTTCTTTTATCTAATAAATTTCTAGGGTAGTTATTCAAAATATTTGAAATCCATGCAGTTCTTTTTTTATCATAGTGTCTGAGATTTTCCTGAATTTATAGTATTCAGGTTGACTTTCCCAAATTCTTTTCTTTATTTATTTCACTTTTGTTTGCTCATATAGTCTTCCTATCTGGTTTCTTTTTATATATCATTACTTGTTTTTCCACTCCTACCCTACTTTCCTAAACCAAATTGAATGGAGTGGGGAGTTTCTATTACTGTTTGTCACAACACTTTCTTCCAAAGACCTGTTCTGCCCCAGCTCCGGATTCCCAAGGATTATGACACACACCAACGGTCCTTATCAAAGTTATAATGTACCAAGAATAAACAAAGTCCGGCAAAGGTTGGCAACAACCCAGAAGACAAGATACGATAAGACACTCACTCTTCAAAAATGCTCTTTAATAATTACACATTGTTTTCAGCAAGAAATTACTAACTGCATGCGACTTAAACAGGCTAACCTTACTCTCAAGGAGACCTCCTCCTCCTGAGTAGCCACTCCTGCCTTTTGGCAGCCCTGCATGCTCAAGCATTGAGGAGAGGCTCCTCCACTTTGCTCTCCCCACTTGAAGGAGCCTCTGGAGGTTCTGAAGGCCCAGGCTGAGTCTCTGCCTCTCGCACTACATCCTCCTCGCTGTCCGATGTGAGCGCTGGCTGCGCAGGCTGCTGGCGCGACCCCACACCAGCCTCCTTATCGTCGGGATCAGCCACGATCTGCGCAGGCCGCTGGCGGGCCACAACAAGACCATAAAATCCATGAGAAGAATGGTTTTTATTATAGCAATAGCATTTAGACTTATATACTGCTTAATAGTGCTTTACAGGACTCTCTGGGCTTTTTACAATATCAATATATTGCCCCCAACAATCTGGGTCCTCACTTTACCAACCTCGGAAGGATGGAAGGCTGAATCAACCTTGAGCCTGTCAGGATCAAACTCCAGGCTATGGGTAGAGTGGGTAGAGTTAGCCTGCAATACTGCATTCTAAGCACTACGTCACCAGGGATCATTGTGATGGAAAAGTATAATCAAAGTGGTCTTTGTTGGATATGGTTCTCAACCAATCAGAAGGCACTTTGATTAGGAGAAGATCTACAAATACACCCAGGCAAGCAAATCTGGCACCATTTGTGTTTTCCACTGTGGAACACTTAGGGCACTGGAGAAAAATAATTTGGCAGCTATGCTCAGCAAAGTTCAAAGTATCAGTCAGAATTCAAGATAAAAATCATCAAGATTTTTATTTCATGGAATTCTTTTATTTCGTGGAATTAGTAATGGACCCTTTGATTGTCTTGGAGCCCAGCAGTAGACCCCAAACACCTACTGTTAACACTGACCACATTAATTTTTTTCTTCTCTCATTTGAATTCCTTCCACAATTGCAATCTAGTAAGGCAGGTATAATAATGGATGACACACAACTTACCATTGAAGAGAAGGTCAAACTAGGGTATGAAGCTCAATATTATTGTCTCTGAATCTTTCTAGTACTTTTGTAGACTCAGATCTCCAGCATATAGAAGGAATTTTCTGAACATTTAAATAAGGAAATAGCTCCACCTAATCCTGTTCCTTCTGGGTTTTTTTTCCCCAAGTCAATTACACTACGTTTATTTCCTATTTGTGACCTTACGATCATACCTTTCCCTCCTGGAGTTCAGAGTCATGCATTATCTTCATTACAATCATGTAAAATGGGAATTTTCCCCAAGAATTTCAAAGCTGAGCAGAGTTTTGAGTCAGCCATTAGCTCAACTATTCAGGTACTCTATTATAGTACATTGGCTCAGGCAGTTTAGTTACTCTGTGAAAAACTGCAAGAGGCACATCGGTGTGCATTTGAGATACTGCAGGTATGTAGCTTGAAACTAGTAAGGTCAGAAGTCAAGATTGGAAGCCAAACAAAATCATTACCAAAGTACTGTGCAAGTGCCATCAACATCCAAACCAGTAAGATAGTATTCTACAAAATGGAAAATAAAGTAGTTTTAATATTTAGGGTTTAACGTTACTTTGTAATTGTATTGTATTATAATTTTGGTTCATACTGGTTTTATAATCCTGTAAACTCTTGTACTTTTATTGCTATTCTACTACAATATTGTTCTTTTGTTCCATTTAAATTAGAATAAAATTGCATTGTTATATTTTAGGAGAAGGGCTATGTGTCTGCAGCAGATGCATACTTTATTATTAATTATTATTTATCTGTCATATTAAAATGGAGCTGGGAAAAATCCCTCTCTCATACCACAGAGAACTGTACCAATTATTGAGAACACTGACTTTGCCTGGATTCACATATCCTAAAAAATCATTATGTGCTTCCTGAGAATTCTCCAAAATGAAAAGAAAACAGCCTAATATTACATTAGGCATTTAGTATCACAAAATCAGGAACAAATGGAAACTATATCTCCTGCCCAAGAGAGATTTACTGCCAGAGCTTTATGCAAAGCTTTATGCAAAGAAGAAAGAAGCACAGGAAATTTGAACATGAATTGTTATAAATAGAACATGCATTTGATGCATGCACAGCAGTTACATGAATTCTTTTGTAATTGCTTTACAGTTTTGCTGCAATAAATCCACTTATAAAAATCCACTTAATAAAAATTTATGGATCTTGGGCTTTCTTATTCAATCTGCCTTTGGATTATGGATTTCCTGTCTGGCCACTCTCAGAGGGTCAGATTAGGTAATCATATCTCTTCAGCCCTTATTCTTAACACTGGTATGCTACAGGGTTGTGTGCTGAATCCCTTACTCTATACTCTTTATTTGCATGACTGCATTCCCACTCATGCCAGTAATACTATTATTAAATTTGCAATTGATACAACAGTGGTGGGACTCATCTCCGGGGGGTATGACTCTGCCTAATGAGTTGAGGTGGACTGGTTGCTTTCGTGGTGTGGAGACAATAACTTGGTCCTTAACACCAATAAGCCCAAGAACCTTATAGTAGGCTATAGAAGACATCCAGCCCTTGCTTATCAATGGAGACCGAGTGGAGCAAGTGGCCAGTTTTAAGTTTCTGGGTGTTGACATAAAAGAGGACCTGACCTGGGGCACTCACATTGCAGCACTGGTCTAAAGGGCCCAACAGAGATTATACTACCTGAGACTTCTCAGGAAACAACAACTGATGAAAAACTGCTGGTGACCTTCTACCGCTGCACCCATAGAGAGTATTTTAACTTACTGCACCTGTGTATGGTTTGCCAATTGCATAGTCGCAGATAGAACAGAACTCCAGGGGGTTAATGTCATTGCCCAGAGGATCATTGATTGCTCTCTCCCTTTTTTGGAAGAGCTTTATAGCTCCCGCTGCCTTAAGAAAGTTCAAAACATTCTTAAAGATCCATCTCATCCTGGGCACCCCTTTTTTTTAAACTATTACCATCTGGCAGACGGCACAGGATAATAAAAACAAGGACAAATAGGCTAAAAAACAGCTTCTATCCCAGGGCAGTAACTATATTGAATTCTACTGTATAGTGCAATATTAATGCAATATCAGGGTTTTTCAATTCAATTGAATAGAATGTGAAGGATGTGTTTTATTTTTATAGTTATAATGTACACTGAAGATGGCATTTAATTTCGTTGTACGAGGTGCAATGACAATAAAGTAAACTAAACTTAGCTGAGCCTTGATGCCCAAGGACATATATTCTATACTTGATAGATAGATAGCCTTGACAGGTTTTTTTTTTTTTGTTTGAGGCAAAACACAATGTGTAACCAACCACATTTTAATGCTATGTGTGAACTGACCCGCAGGAAATGTCATCTGTTACCTATATTGTCATTTAAGGATATAAATCTTACCCCACATCTTAAATTTCCTTTCCTCAATTTTAAGGTATGGGACTATTCTTCCTGGGCATCTGAGATGATAAGAGAAATGGCAGCTGAGGAGACCATTCGAGATGTGTCTACCAGTGGTCTGAAGATTAATCAGCATCAGCAGCTATTTCCAGAGATTGAGTCTCGAGATGAGATTTATGAGCGAGTATCACAGCTGGGACAAGAGCTTGCGCTGGAACAGAAAATGGCAACAGGAGAAGTATATATATATAGTATACACGATACAATTTTGTAACTTTGCACAGAGCTCAGACCACCAACATTTCCACAAAATTAGCCTGTTATCAATAAGTTTTTAAATCCAGAGATTTCATGAGATAAAAACCAAGCAAGATATGATACTTTTCAAAGGAAAAATGAGTTTTATTAAAACACACCCACCTGCTTCCTCATGTATAAACAGACAATTGCTGTAATTATAATTGGAAATTGAGCCTTAGCATATTTCTGTTACAGCAATATAAATTACATATCAGCCATTGCCCCTTCGTGGATTATTACTGACATTTTATAACAGTTGACTTCTTCTTTTCAGATCCAAAGTGTACTGGAAACTCTGATAGAAGCAAAGCATAGAGTGTACCAGGTATGGGCACAAAAGAAGGAATGGCTGGAGAAGACCCATCTTTTGCAGATATTTTACCGAGACTGTGAATACCTGGACAACATCTCAAACTCCCAGGAGGTAGTGCTAGCACTTGCTTTATTGGTGCTTTAATTCATTATAAGGTGTACTTTAATCTATTAAGTACTTAATCTCTTCCTTGTGTCCTATGCTTCCTTGTGTCCTATTCCTTCTATCTTACACATGGGTAGTTGCATGTATAGAAAATTAGTATCATATTAGTAAGAAAACATTTGCTTTTGATCAACCTTATTGTTATCCCTAAAAGGAAATCTGGTTTCTGACTTTTTAATAGCATGGTCAATAATACATCTGTGCAAGGATACATGATGTGAAATTAATCCTTTGATTCTAGAAGAAAAAAAAACCTATCACAGAATAACAAAATAATAGAATAACAGAGTTGGAAGGAATCTTGGAGGTCTTCCAGTCCAACCTCCCTGCTCAAGGAGGAGATCCTGTACTATTTCAGTTAAATGGCTGTCCAGTCTCTTTTTAAAAGCCTCCAGTGATGGAGCACCTACAACTTCTCAAGGCAAGCCATTCCACTGGTTTATTGTACTCTGTCAGGAAATTTCTTTTTAGTTATAGGTTGTTTCTTTCCTTGATTAGTTTCCATCCATTGCTTCTTGTCTTGCCTTCTGGTGCTTTGGAAAATAGCACAGCCTTAGGCATTACAATCTGATACTGAGTTTGGTTGATGTAATGGTATTAAGTATTTGCTTTTTAAGTTAGCAGCTGCAAAGGAAAGCATCAGGAATTAGCTGTTGTAGCAGATGAGAAGGAAGAGATTATTCCTTTTCTACATATCATGGTTCAATTGAAAATTACTTCCCTGGTAGCTGCTATGTGTCCCAGAAGTGAAGAAATTGTTAACTGCTGATAGTTACTCTCTGGTTAAAATAGCAGTTTCTGCTTGTATGATTATCGTGTAGAAGGTTTTTCTTGAATCCATGATACAGCTCAGAAAATCTTGAACTCATTTCCACCTGGGTTATAGTGCAAGCTCATTCTATATTTGAAGAGGATAAATTCTTGTTTAATAGGAGTTTTTTTGTTATTGATCTTTGGAAAGGAGACCAAAAGTCTTTTTTTAAAAAAAAATATCTTTATTAAATATTTACAATAAAATTAACACACAATAATGGTTGAAAAGCAATATAGGAAGTGAAATATAGAAACACATAAACACAGGACTAAAACCAAACAACAAACATGACTAACCAATTAATATTAACTAATATCCAATTAATATTAATTAATATCATCCTAGCCAAACATTTCAATGCAATCATGTTCTTTTTACTAACTACAAAACAATTGAGACCAAAAGTCTTTCATCTAAATTCTTACATTTTCCTGTCTCATACACCAAAGTTTCAGATGGAGCTTTCAAGCAGCTTTATCGTAGCCAGGTTAACCCTTGTTAAGTTGCACAATGCTAGCAGAAAGCAAGCATGTTTAAAACTGACAGGCAATGCACCGTTAACTTTTCATCTGTATCTGGAAAAGGGAGTTTGTGGATGGTGTTAACGGCATGTGAATATTTGTCTTTTATCGCAATGGATCTTGATTGAACTGAACTGTGTCTCTAAATTTATATAAAGGCTATCCCAGCAGTGGCATATGAAAGAAAGAAAAGCATAGGGTCGTGTTCCAAAGGAGAGTGCTTTCCCATTCATTCTCTGTGCCAGTGTGCCTGGCCTTGATTTTATGCCAGCAGCTTAGGTTACATCCAAATTACTTAAGGCTTCAGAAGAATTCAGCAAGGTTTAGTCTAGGATTTCTCTGTCCTAAAGTAAATAACAGCACATATGGAGGAAATTAAGCAAGTATATATCTGTCTTTTTTATTACTGACTCCGGGCATGCCATTACTTGGAAGAGTTGTAGGAAATTTTTCTAAGACTTGTTAAACAGAGAAGCTGCTATTCCTTGTGCGGATTGAGAGAGGGATAGAGAATATTATAGCACAGCTCTTTAGCTTTTAGCACCAGTGGAACATAATCTTGTCTTTCAAGGCTATAGAAGCACCGGTGAGTTAATAACTTTTTTAAAAAAAAATCTAAGAACTGTTAATTAGGTCTTGGACTATACATCTGGCTTCTGCCTCATCATCTTGATCGTTTTTTCAGTCTGCTGCATGCTCCTATTATTTTGCAGACTGAATGAGCAGTCGTGCCAATTCTACTACGTCTCGTTCTTAATCAAATACAGATGCCTTCGTTATAGAAATACTTCTTTACATTTCACTTATTCACACCAGAGGAAGAATGGACATCTCTACTGCCAAGCTAAAAAGGATGAAACATTTCTTTTAAGCAACAGCTCAGAAGCAGAGACTGCTTTATCTTTTCAAACCATAGGATTAAAAACTGCAGGATGTCATGCAGATATCTTCCTAACAAGACTTCAGACACACCCATCTATATTTCCACAGTGGAAGTTACGTTGTCTTCTGCCAGAGTGGTTCCATCACCGATCTCCAGAGCTGCTGTTTATGGTGCTTCTTTCCAAAGGATGCCACCAGCAGAAAATACATCAAACTCAACCTGGTATTTTCCAGATCATTCATCATCTGCAGAGACCTTATCAATAAGTGACATCTTGCCTTCTCCCTGCCTGTCTTCAGAGGTTCACAGCTCAAGGCTAGATATAGTGTTGGCACACTCAAAAAAGAGGAACGGTTTAGAGAAAGATAACAGCTGTATTAATTCCTCCACCTTCAAGTCTGCCTGTCCCACACTTTTGAGAGATACTCAGTGCAAAGGATACAAGAGCACTGATGCTCAATCGATGCTTGTCTCCTGCAGTGGAGCAAGTGACTGGAAAGGAAATGACTGGGGTGCTTGTCATTCTTCTGCAGCAGCTTTCCATTCAGCTGCTTCAAGAGCTCTACCATGCTGGACATCACGTCTAGATGTTTCTCTTTGTGCCATTCCAGGTGCTTCATCATCTCAGAATAAAAATCTGTATCGAATTCTTGCACCTTGCAACTCCAAGTCAACAGAACAGAACTATAATCAGTGCAATTCTCAGTTTTCAGATCTCCATGCTTCAGTAAAACTCTATATTTCAACTTGCAGTGTTGCTATCAAACCAATTAGAGCTGCTTATTCCAGTGTTCTATTACCTCATCTGAAAAAGATCTCAACTACATCTCCTGGTCTTACAAGAGGAAACCAGAAGACTCATCAAGTTATCCCTTCTAGAAACTCTGCAGAGCACCAGGTTAAACAACTTCATGTCACTAACCCCACTAAGTGTCCCATTCTTCCTCCACAGACAGTCTTCAAAGAAATATGGTTGACTCCATCTACATTAGCTAAAGCAGATACCCTTCTTGGCAAAAGAACAGTTAGGCATTCACCATTCGATCCTGATATGCTCGTCTTTCAGAACCATCACTCAGCTAGCAAAGAATTTGGGAAGACTTCTAGTATTGGAATAATTCCTGCTCATCCCAAGATTTCCAAGATATCTTTAATACTTGCCACCCCTTGGATATCCTTTCCTATTAAAGTAGTAAGAGAATTCAGAAAACAGCCAGCTCCTTCAGTCTTGATCAAAGCTTCATATTCCGATATGGGTGGTTCTACTTTACAGTCAAATTGTAAAGGCTCTAGTATCTTATTGTCCATAAATCCTGTTTATTGTCCTGAATACCAGCCTTCACAAGAGCATCTTCAGGATCCAGATGCTGCAACGAATGCAAGTCAAGCTGCCTTCTTAACAAATATGCAGACATCATCTCATCGACATGGTGAGAATACATGGTGTCCATCTATCTCAGTAAAAATTGCGTCCTTTGGAACTGGGAGAAAAGTGGTGAAGATTTCCATTCCATTTTAGAAAAATGTACCCTCAACTGTACTTTCTTCTGGGATTAGTTTTAACTGACAGTATTATCAATTCTTATGTTAATTTGTTGCAAAAGTTTCTAGGAATGGTAAAGCCTTCAAGAGTACTTTTGTTTTCTTAAAGCAGAATGATTAGGAACTGTAAGACTGTGGAGGTGGGTTTGTTTCTTCTTGACATTGGAAGCCTGTTTACTACTTGTTGCTTAAATTCTACTGTTTCAAGCTTTCACATGGAGTAAAGCAAGTTATGCCTTCAGTGGCTCTGTGTGTGTGTGTGTGCTTGCGCAGACACATGTGCGCACAGAGCAAATGCCATTCACATTTGCTGAGTCTCCCAATGGTATGTGTTTGTATGTTTGTATTGTATATAGGTATGTATATACTCTCTGTAAACTGTCATCTAATTATTACTAGTAAGAACCATGAATGGAGAGAGAGAGGGGGGGGGAGGGAGGGAGGGAGGGAGGGAGGGAGAGAGAGAGAGAGAGAGGGAAAGAGACTGTGTGTGCATAAATACACATATACATATATTTTCAAATCAATAATATATTAAATCTTTTTTTCTAAAAATGCCTTATTAGTTTGTCAGCTTATACCAGGAAAAAATAGATTTGGAAATGGATCTGGTTTTCGGACAAGGTATTAGAGCCCTCCAATTTTTAATATTAGTTTTAGCTGAAGAAAAATACAATAGCAACAAATGAAAAAATCCACTTGTGTATTATGTAGTATACAAAAATGTAGGTCTTCTATTAGGGTCGCATTCTGACAGCAGATTGGTAGAAGTTTTAAATAAACTTTTATTTTAAATTATTTAAATGGAGTTTTAAATAATTTCTATGAAGGAAAAAAAGTTACTATTTCTTAAAATAGTTTTATTTCAATACAGAATTCAGTCTGATTTGAAAAATACATTTCTAGTTGTTATTATTCTATATATGCATTTTTGCTCACTAAAAAATGTCTTTTAAAAGATCTCTTGATTTCTTTTAAATTTTATTGTTTCTTGATAAGATTTAGTTGAAAAAGATAAACAGTAAAATGATCTGCATTTCATTGTCATGTAAATAAGATGATAAATCCTGACATTGGTTCATGTGTCATACTTTGTGGAATATTTAGATCTTATGGAGAATATTTCAAAAATAAATATTGTTTAGTTCTAGAATGCAGAATCCTGCTTTCCTACCTGTACAAAGATTCTATTCTATTCCTTTTTTTTTTTTAATGGAAAACTCTTGTGTATTATTGCTACAGGACATCGGGCATACCATTCTTCAGCCTGTGATAAGCTGACAGATACTTGAAGTAATGACCTCAGGAGCCATAATGTTAAATATGAAATGCCACTCTGAGTATCGCTTTTATTAGTGGGCTGCTCAAATTCACTGCCGTATTTACATAGTGGTGCAGCTGTGCTCTCTGAATCTGCAAATTGTCATCGGCAATGGCAGCTACAGTTTGATATGTAAATATTGTGCTTAAGATGGGATTGAAACAAAACAATTCCCCTTTCCAATAGTCACTCTTGTATCGATACCCTTCAAAGGGGTGGGTGAATGGCAACACCGTAGAATCTAAAAAAAAGTTCTGGACAGAAGGTCCTGGCTCCAGCCTGCATTAGGGTGTAACTCAATATGTGAAGAAATCTCTTTGGAACTGCTTGACCTGTTGTCTTCTAAGGTATCATCCTCAGATGAGACCATGACAATTTGAATGGATTCAATTTAGAATGGGTATCTGGCAGTGGTGGGTTTCAAATTTTTTTACTACCGGTTCTGTGGGTGTGGCTTGGTGGGCGTCGCATGGCTTGGTGGGCATGGCTTGGTGAGTGTGGCAGGGGAAGGATATTGTAAAATCTCCATTCCCTCCCCAATCCAGGAGAAGATTACTGCAAAATCCCTATTTCCTCCCAATCACCTGGGACTTGGGAGGCAGAGTCAGATGGGGGCGGGGTCAGTAGTTCTCTGAACTACTCAAAATTTCCGCTACTGGTTCTACAGAACTGATCAGAACCTGCTGAAACCCACCTCTGGTATGGGGAGAAGAACAAGGAGAGGTTCTGTTATGTGAATAGGCCTCTGTTCCAGGCTTGGTATTCACTTACCTTTGCTACCAGTTCGTAAATGTGAGCGCACGTGCCACCTTTGTGCGTGCACAGGACCTTCTGCACATTCACAGAGCATAAAAAATGGGACGTGATGACATCCAGGTGGGTAGACGGAGCCTCCTGCAGCCACCGCTACAGATTCGCCCAAACCGGATAGAACTGGCTGAATACCACCATTGCTCTGTTCACAGGACACTGGATGGAATCCCTTGTAACACATATCTTCATATTTTACTTAGAGTATTCAATTACCTGTGTTATAAATGTTTTGCAGTTATTTGCTTTATGAGCACTTGCTATGTAATATAAAATGATTCACATAAAGGTACAGCTACTATCATTTTCATATATTAAAGATGGTAATTTTAAAGAAAAGATAGCAGTGTAAAATACTTACTTGCACCAGGGGGCATTCTGTTCTCATCTGTGTTCCACTTGAAAAAGTATTTATCTACCTATTTTATTTATGGAATTACCCAACTTGGTATACAGGGAAAGTGGGTATAGCAATCGGTCTTTGGGAATGACGCCAGAGACCACAAGCATACAATATTAAAAACAATAGAAATCAAAATAATATAAAAAAGAATGTCCTTCTTAGGACATTTCTTCTTTTCTTCTTAGAAGAAAACATTCTAGCAATATATGCAGTCCCAGAACAGACTTGCTACTCACTCAAACCCAAGGCCTGAAAAAAAGCCAGGTTTTCAAAGACTATTTAGAAATAGTCAGACTGGGGACTTTGTGGAATTCTGTTCAGAGGCAGATACTGTACCATGACAGAGAAGGCTTCCTTCCTGGAACCTATCAGGTGACATTGTTTAATCAAAGGGACCCGTTAAGCACCCACTCTCTCCAATCTTTCAGGCAGGCAGAAACTATTGGAGATAAACAGCCGTCAGGTAGCCAGAGTCTTTAGAGGTGGTGACCAGCATCTTAAATATCATCAGAAGCTCATTGCAAACAATGCAGTTTGTTGAGCAGCAGTTTACTTACATGGGTATATTATGGCACACTCATCACTAGCAGTGTGCTGCAGCTGCCAAAAAAAGCCAACACAGTTCTAGGTTGCGTTAACAGAGGGATAGAATCAAGATCACATGAAGTGTTAATACCACTTTATAATGCCTTAGTAAGGCCACACTTGGAATATTGCATTCAGTTTTGGTCGCCACAATGTAAAAAAGATGTTAAGACTCTAAAAAGAGTGCAGAGAAGAGCAACAAAGATGATTAGGGGACTGGAGGCTAAAACGTATGAAGAATGGTTACAGGAACTGGGTATGTCTAGTTTAATAAAAAAGAAGGACTAGGGGAGACATGATAGCAGTGTTTCAATATCTCAGGGATTGCCACAAAGAAGAGGGAGTCAAACTATTCTCCAAAGCACCTGAGGGCAGGACAAGAAGCAATGGATGGAAACTAATCAAGGAGAGAAGCAACCTAGAAGAAGAAATTTCCTGACCGTTAGAACAATTAATCAATAGAACAAGTTGCCTCCAGAAGTTGTGAATGCTCCAACACTGTAAGTTTTAAAGAAGAGATTGGACAACCAATTGTCTAAATAGGGTATAAGGTTTCCTGCCTAAGCAGGGGGTTGGCCTAGAAGACCTCTATGGTCCCTTCTAACTCTGTTATGCTATGCTATGCTATGCTATGCTATGCTATGCTATGCTATGCTACGCTACGCTACGCTAAGCTACGCTATGCTACATTCTGGCCAGCTACATAAATTTCAGAGGCAGCCCAGTGAAGTGTTCATTACAAAAATCTACACCCAAGGTGACAAGGACATAAATGATCATTTGAGGACTCAGGTTGGGATTATAAACTGTTTGGAATGTATATATCTGATTTATTCCTGTGCCTAATTTTCAAGATTTATTCTTTTAGGGATGGGTGGCATATAAATGTAATCAATAAAACAAAAATCTTTATGTTATCTGTTGAACATGGTTTTCTATTTGGAATTCTTAAAAATAATATTTACCAAAAAAAAAACCCAACCTCCAAATAGGCTACATTATATGCCTCTTCTCTTGATTAATCCAAATATCTGAACTAAGAAGAGGCCAGAGCTGTGTAAGAAACACATCTTGTAAATCTCTTAAAGTAATTTGATCGTCTGATGTTTCTTGAGTTTCATTCCAAGAAGCAACAGACTTGGACTCATAATTCCATGTATTTTTTTAAAAAAGCTATATTGCCAAAACTGATTCCAATTTTTCACAGATGTATTTGAAAAGCTGTGATTTTGGAAGCAGTGTGGATGAAGTGATACAGCAGATCAAGAAACAGGAAGCTTTTGAGAAGATTCTAGCCTCTCAGGAAGAAAAGGTAAAATCTTTATATATACTATATAAAGAAAGACATGGGCAAATAACCAGGTAAAACCTGATGTTTATTCGTTATCTTGATGGACTGGAAAAGTACTGCAACAAACTTGCGAAAGCAATTCAGACAATAGATATAACATTATTTTATAGAAGCTGCTTTATAGGAACATTTTGAAGTGTTGATTTTCAAGAAATATGGGAGTTCTTCAGGCAAAGTATCTGGGAAATTTTACCTAGGGAGAAAGAATATCTTAGTTTGACACTAAATATTACAGAATACAAAATATAGTGAATTTAACGATTTACCCTTAAATAAAATTTCCCAAATAATATTTCAGATAATATCAAAAAGGTAAGAGGAGGTTCTCAGAAAGCTGTACTCATTCATATCACACAAATACACATCTGAATATTTTTGTTACTGGTGTTTGGTTATGGACAATTTTGAACTTCCAGTAGAAAAAAATAATATTTTATGTATGCAACCTGTGATCAGTTAACTGTAGTTGTGATTTTAAGTGTTGGTCTTTCAGGAACTCTCTCTTCAGGAGCAAATGGAAAAATTGCAACCAGGTAGTGAGTTGGAAGTAACGCAGATTCAACAGAGGCTCAGTGTGGTGTTAAAGAAAAGAAGATGCATCAGAGATCTTTCTCAAAGTAGGCAAGAAAAATTGCAGGCAGAACTCCTGCTAGCTCTATTCTACCGGAGTCTAACTGAGGTGAGAATAAATTGTGTATTAGTGAAGCATTGTCTGGGAAATAAAAACGTTCATTCTCTTTGCAAACACCAACTCTCCATTCAGATTGTGTAGTCAGGTAGGCCCCACTTGCAGTGCATTGTGCATTCCATTGCAGTTGGAACCAGTAACTCTGTCACTAAAAGATGCGATCGTAAAATGAAACATCACATGACTGTTTAGATGTCAGTTCCAGCTGCAATCATGAAGTAAATCACTCGTGGTGATTAAGATAAATTTAGGATTTCCTGCTGTTTCCCCATTGACTTTGCTTGTTAGAAGCTGGCTGTGAAGGTTGCAAATGGTAATCAGATGACCATGGGATGCTAAGATAGCCCAAGTTTCAGAAACGATGATAAATCTCCTTTTTCAGTGTTGTCATAACTTTGAATGGTTGCTGAATGAACAGTCATTAAATGCCTTTAATGGTTAATTGTAATGTGTGTGGATATAAAAAGGCAGCCTGCTTCAACATAGTAATCAAAATAAGCATTCTGCTAAGCAAATAATTGAGGCAGAATAATTAAAATATCATCTGGAAGTAATCACTACATCTCATTTTCAGAAGAGGTAATAGCAATAGTACTTAAATTTATATACCGCTCCACAGTGCTATACAGCACTGGTGGGTTGCTACTGGTTCACCCCAGATTGGGCGAACCGGTAGCGGCAGCGGCAGGAGGCTCGCCTACCTGCCCAGATGTTTCTGTGCACGCACAGAAGCATCGTGCGTGCGCGCATGAGCGCGCCCATGAGCAAACTGGTAGCAATGGGTTTTGAAACCCACTTCACAGTGCTTTACAGCCCTCTCTAAGTAGTTTACAGAGTCAGCATATTGCCACCAACAATCTGGATCCTCATTTTATTGACCTCAGAAGGATGGAAAGCTGAGTCAGCCTTGAATCTGGTGAGATTCAAACTACTAAATTGCAGGCAGCCGGCAGACAGTAGAAGTAGCCTGCAGTACTGCATTCTAACCACTGTGCCAGCATGGCTCAATGGTATTTCTGAAGAAGATCAGACACTGTCATCTGCAGTGACATTGCTTGCATCAGAATGACAAAAGCGATATTATGACATCATGCCACAAACTCCAGCCTTTTGGGCCATGCCTGCAGAATTACAACACTGCTTCTGTCAGTCTAACCCCCACGCTTGCCCACCCCACCAAGACATCTGTGATCACCTGGCCCTCTTCTGACCCTCTTGTATTTTCCCACTTCTTTTTGAGTTTTTTATTTTTCTCACATATTTTAAAGAAAGAAAAATCAAAAGAGCTATTGCACATTATTATAATTCTGAGGCTTTGTGTTTTGGACCATGATGTTCACATTCCATGTATTCCTATATACATTTAAACATAAACAATATAATGCAACATTTAAATGCTACAGCAGCTTTCCCCAACCTAGTGCCCTCTAGATGTACTTAGATTAGCCTCTAAATCAAAATTTGTAGCCACTGTGGCTATGTATATGGGCTATGAATTACAGCAATAAAATCCAGTTCATCTGGAGACCATAAGTCTGGGAAAAGACATATTATATTGGTACTAGAGAGCTACTATTATATCTCATTCCTCTACATTTGGAAGAAATCCAAGGTATTTCTTTATCAACTAGCTGATAGCCCTAATTTTATCAGTATTTTTTGGCCTGACTCAGTTCTTCAGGAGAGCCAACTATAGTAAAACCTGAAGGAACGTTGCAACCATTAACTTCCACTTGGCTCTTCATAGTGGATCTCAAGTCTTGCAAAAAAAGGTACACTGCATTAATTTAAGTCTGATCATTTTTGATGTAGAAAATTAAGGGGCTAAGCAAAGCTTTTGTCTGCAGCTTTATTTCAAAGCTAGTTCAGTTACATCATGGGTGTCAAACTTGCGGTATCACGTTGCCATCACGTGACGTTTTGCGATGTTTTTCCCTTTCGCGGAGCTGGGGTGGGTGTGGCCTGTGCATGATGCATCCAGCCCATGGTCCGCCAGTTTGACAGCCCTGAGTTACATTATATCACATCTTTGAAATAGCAAACTGGCTTACAGATTCAATACTTTTGCAAGAGACACACATCTTTAGCAAATCTACAGATTTGAAATTCAGGTCACGCCAGTGGTGGGTTTCAAAAATTTTTTACTACCGGTTCTGTGGGCATGGCTTGGTGGGTGTGGCTTGGTGGGCACGGCAGGGGAAATATACAGAAAAATTTCCATTCTCTCCCCAATCCGGGGAAGGTTATTGCAAAATCCCCATTTCCTCCCAATCAGCTGGGACTTGGGAGGCAGAGAATAGATGGGGGCAGGGCCAGTCAGAATTTTTACTACGGTTCTCCGAACTACTCAAAATTTCTGCTACCGGTTCTCCAGGACTGGTCAGAGGCTGCTAAAACCCACCTCTGGGTCACACGTTGGGCTGAATAGACCCTTGAACTGAAAAGCAAATTTGATCATATTAGATTTGCACATACTACTCTTAGCCTTACATGCAGTGATAATCGTGTTGCTCCTTTGGTGACAGGCAGAGGGTTGGATTAATGAACGCATGCAGAAGATGAAAGTTCCTTCTTTTCAAAACTTCAACAAGTCATGTGACAAAATGAAGCTTCTTCAGAAACATCAAGTCTTTGAGGCTGAGATTTTGGCTCATAAGGATATAATTGCAACTGTTAAAATGGCAAGTATTCATAGCTTACGCTTTGTGTTTTTTGGTTCCTGTGAGATTCTTCTGTAGCATGAGGTCAAACCATAGGTAGATAAAATACATAGAAAAGTTGGATAAATGATGGGTCAAGTGTTTTCCATCTTAGCTTCATTAAACAGTCAGATCAATCTGTATTGTAAACGTTAGAAAATCTCAGTAAAAATCATGAATATGCAGCCTTAAATATATTGATGTCTCGCATCACCTTGGCTGTCTTCTGACAGGTAGACAACATTAGACAGGTGTAATCTTTCTACTTCTCTCTCATATCTTGAATAATTTACATGTCAAATTAATCAATCCCTCCATCTCTGCTGGATACAAATCTGAATCAGATATCCTGAAACCGGACTTAAGTATACTATGTGTTTAACCCATGAAAAAATTCAAATATTTTTACTACCGGTTCTGTGGGCGTGGCTTGGTGGGCATGGTGTGGCTTGGTGGGCATGGCTTGGTAGGTGTGGCAGGGGAAGGATACTGCAAAATCTCCATTCCCACCCCACTTTGGGGCCAGCCAGAAGTGATATTTGCTGGTTCTCTGGACTACTCAAAATTTCTGCTACCGGTTCTCCAGAACCTGTCAGAACCTGTCAGAACCTGCTGGATTTCACTTCTGGTTAAACCTTTGCCACTGGCCTTCCAATCTTTTAGAACCAAGTTGGTTAGAAATAGCATAGAGATATTTCAATCTTATTAATTATTCCTTCTTAACTAATTAAAGAGAGGCGAAGCTCTACTACACCATAATATTCCCCAATCGGAAGAGATCCGCCAAAAGATGTACTTGCTCCAAGAACAGTGGGAAATGTTGAATCAGGCTGTTGCTGCCCATGGAAAAATGCTTGAGGAGAGCAGGGATTTTCTTGAATTTCTACAAAAAGTCGAGCACACAGAGGCTTGGATCAGAGACAAGGTTAGTGAATTTGCAGACCACTGTCTCTGTTTAGACAACACATTTATAGCTGAACATTTGTAAAATGGTAATTGTAGCAGAAAATGTATACTTTTGTTTTATTTTAAAAAATAAGTGAAGTGTTTTCCTGTTTCCAAATATGTGAATATAAATCAAGCCTGTATTACACGGAGGCTGCTACTGTGTTCTATATGCATGGCTCTCCTTCTAGAGAATATTAGTTTGTTATGCACTAGAAATTTATTCCAAAAAAGTGAGCAATACTCAAAAGAGTACAAAATATACATCTTCCAACCATTAACTTGGTAATCATCAAGGGGGAGAGATTTCTTGTTCCAAAATGTATTAAGACGTTTAATGCTTTTGTTAAGCATTATTGTTCATTTTATCTGGGTATTTTAGAAAGTTTTATTTTGCCTAAAGAAAACTGTTATGTAATTTTATGAAGTGCAAGTACACATTTATTGGACTCTGATGTTAGATAATTGTAGGACTAACTGAAAATATTTAATATTCCCCAAGATTCAAGAGTAACCTTAATGTTATCATGAACCTTTTTTCTTCATCAAACACATTTTGCAGTCATTTTGTCTGCCACTGGTTGCAGGATTTTAAGATTTTAAGAATTAAAAGTGTGACTGGAATCAAAGGTTAGGATTACAGATGTTTTAAATCACAATTCATTGATATGTCAGAAAAGAACTACTAAATCCATTCACTAAAATGTTGCATTTATTCCTTCAAGCGTCTGCACTGATTTCTGGATTGTTTTACTTTCATGAATACAGTACTTTTTAAAAGATCCAATGAATCAATTTGCATGAACTTTTCAAACAAGTAACAAGTACTGTTATCAAAACAATTCGTAATGCAGGAGTGTGTATGTTAGTTAGCATGTTATTGATATTGCATTTAGGGAAGCAGATTGCCACTCCAAAAATAAACTTGAATTCAAGTGGGAAAAAACGTTAGATAAACATTGAAAATTTCATTGTGTTTTAATGGACTCCTAATGATATTGGTGTCGCTCACCAGGTCGTCATGGTTAATATTGGTGATGTGGGGAATGACTATGAACACTGCCTTCAGCTTTTGAAAAAATTAAATGAATTCCGAGGAATGTCAGAGGTAAGTGATATTGTTTCCATTAGCTTAATAAATAACATTTCAGGACATTGGTATTTTAGAATAATTTGATTGATGAAAGTTTGTGTTACGTCAGAATTGTTGGGTTTTAAAATCCTGTAAATTGTTGGCCTTCTAATTTACCATGTGAATATAAGAGTTAATTATTTCCCTGAATTACATTATACAATAAAGAGACTTCAAAATGATATGCATGGCATTTCTTCTCATAATCCTTATAATAATCCTCTGAAATAGGTTTGGTTTAGAGACTGCAGTTGGTCTAGAGTCACGTGGCTGAGTATATTTCAACAAGAGGATTTTGGGCTGATTAGAAAACTGACATGGGTCTTTATGTTTCATAATGTCAGGAAGGTTAGAATTCATTTATTTCTAGATCAAGTGTGATCTATTTGAAAAAGCTGTGTTTCATTTTGTTTATAGAAGCTGTAGCACTGTTACAGGTAGTCCTCAGCTTACAACCACAATGGAGCCTGATATTTCTGTGGCTAAGTGAAACATTTGTTAAGTGAGTTTTGCCCCATTTTGCAGGTTGCAGACCCCTGACATAGACATAGATGTAAGACTTAACCTCCTAGAAGGAAGGAGAAAAGGGAGGAGAGAATGAAGACTCCCTTTGGTGGAGAGATTCCCTCTCTCCAGTGAAGGGAGGAGAGAATTAAGACTTTGCTTTACTATCGGTTTTCTCTTTGACTTTCGTCTTATAGGGGGTAACAGTGGATGATGCCCATATCAAAGGCATCAATGCTCTCGCTCTGCGATTGAAGAGGCAGAATGAGGAAGAGATGAAAATAATATACCAACGCCGAGAACAGCTGAATGAAAGGTGTGTAGATAAATTCTACTGACCCAAACAAATAATGTTTAATCAAATCTGACTAGAGCCAGAGAAAAACACTGGCATTCCGTTGTTGGTGTATACATGGAGAAGACTGATCTTCTTCTTTCATTTATCATCTTCAAGTATAAATGAATTGTTATAATGGGTGTGTAAGAGTAAAGAGGGAGTGACATTGAACTATTTGAATTTCATTCCCAACGCCAGTTAATAAGTTTTGTTATAAACATCACTGAAACCTAAATTGTTAAGGAAATGGCAATCTTCTAGTTAGGAATAAATGTCAATGTAACCTCAAGCTACTCAACCCACATAAAAAGATATATTGGGAAATAAGAATGATTTCAATTAACTTGGTATTGCCTGATTAAAATCCCTCTGGTGACAGAAAACACTGGTCAGCAGAATGGAAGTCAGTACTATTGGGGGGGCGCAGTGATTCTCTCTCCCCCCTCAGCCCTTTTATTGCTATCCAATCAGATCCAGTCTTGTACATTAATCACTTTTGATGTCATTTTGTTTGTGCTTGGGTAATCACCTAGATAAATAAAGTTGGGCTGGTGGGAATCATAAACCCAAATATACTGTATAATTGTTTTATTGCTCTAATCCCATATTCAATCTATTTGATCTTCTCAAATAAAATTAAATGTTTCACTGTCAGGTGGAACAGTTTCCATGGTGATCTTAAAATGTATAAGAGGAAGTTGGAAGAAGCCCTGCAGATCCATGCTTTGATTAGAGAAATTAATGACATCACAGAGAGAATTGGTGAAAAGGTGATTTATTTTATTATTTTTAAAGGTGCTTTTTTTTTCTTGACAAGTTCTCCAGAGTGGATAAAATTTCAGAAAACCAAATAGTAATAAAATATCAAGAGGGAATTTCGACAGTCAGAGGTACAAAGAAAAGAAAGAGTCAGAAAAACGTTCCTAATCATTATCATACACAAACAGTATTGAGATGCTCTCTGTCTCTTCTTTATTTTAACAGCTTTTTGTGAAATACTCTGAAAATGCTAATACAATTAGGCATATAATTTTTTTTCAGATGCATAAGCTTTATTAAATTTGATAATTTTGCTATTTTTTAGTCCTGTAAAAAGAAAATTACTCAAACGGTTTTCAATATTTTACTACGGTATTAGAATACATTTTATTCAGCAGTTCCTGAATAACAAATAAATAAAAACAAATATGCATGAAAATATTAATTTTCATAGAAAATGGATTTAGTTTGAGGGTGGGGAGGGATTGATTTTTCAGATTAGAAAAATTCTAATTTTACTTAAATCAGGGGCAGTTAATCCAAAGCTTCAAAGCCAAAATTATTATGATTGGTGGTACATTCAACCAAATGTTTAAACTGGATTTGGGATTTTTAGCCATCTATCAAGTTATTTTATTTATTTATTTATTTATTTATTATTTATTTATTAATTTAGCCACCCAAATCTCAGTGATGCTCCAATACATCTAGAGATATACTCTAGATAAGAGGTCGTCAAATTTGGCAGCTTTAAGACTTGTGGACTTCAACTCACAGCTATGCTGGCTGGAGAATTCTGAGAGTTGAAGTCCACAAGTCTTAAAGCTGCCAAGTTTGAAGACCTCTGCTCTAGATATATTATGCTATAGCTAGACATAATAGTATATACTGTGGATGTACTATTATATTTGGTTGTGTTATTTTATTTCAAAGTGATTACTCAGTGCCTAATAACTTGATCTATAGATATCTCATAAATCTTCATATTATATAAAGATGTAAAGTTTAAGTTAGAAGTATCAAAAGGATGAAAATATTCAAAGATGTAATTTTGTAAAAAATCAAGTTATCATCTTTTCTTAATTTTTCGTATTCCTCAGAGTTCACTGATACAAGCATTGGATTATGGAAAAGATGTTGAAAGTGTAGAAAATCTACTTCGGAAGCATGATGAAATGGAGAGAGAAATTGGCATCATTCAATCCAAGATGGAGGTAAAACATATAATTGATATTTGAAATATAATTGCAAAAAAAGGAATATAAATCCTGGAAATTTGCCCTGCATATAAACTACTTAGAATTGTATAGTAATCTCATTTCTATAATCTCAATCCCAAAATTTAGTTCTTTTCAGAAGTTTGATTTATTTTGCAGTTTTTGGTTGGGAATCAGAATATTATGCATACAAGCATATCACCTCTAGATTCTACATTTGAAACCTTAAGAATAGAATAGTGGAATGAAATTTTTTTTTAAATAACAAATTACATTGCAGCCTAATACAGTTATTCACTTTCAGGGATGAGTGTGATTAGTTTCCTTTTTGGATGACACAAATATTTTTACACTGAGTCCAAAGAATGCCAGTTTTATTGTGCCTTTGTTTTCAACACAGAGGTGTAAGTAACTTGGTAAATCAAGGTGTCCCCATCATTCAAACTTCACTGCCAAGTCCCCCTTTGGGACACTGCCATTCTGATGGATGAGTTGGGGAGAAGACTATCAGGGTTGCATTCAGTGGTGAAATGTAAAATTTGTTACTACCGGTTCTGTGGGCATGACTGGGTGGGCGTGGCCAACTTTTTTTTTTAAACTTTTAAAACCATTTTTTCTACAACCTCTTCGGTTGAAGAGGTTATAAAAAAATGCTTTTAAAAGCCTCTGACGATCAGGCAACTCAGCTGGGATCATCAGAGGCTTTTAAAACCTTTTTTTCTACAACCTCTTCGGCCGAAGAGGTTGTAGAAAAAATGGTTTTAAAAGATTTTTTTTAAAAGTTGGCCACGCCTACCCAGTCACATTACACGCCCCTTTTTTTACTTTTAAAAGCATTTTTTCAGCTGAAGAGGTAGTAGAAAAAATGCTTTTAAAAATTAAAAAAAAGCCTCTGATGATTGCATGGCTTAGCTGGGCATGGGAGCAGGCAGGGATGTTTGCTACCCGTTCTCCAAACCACTCGCTGCCATCGCTACCGGATCAGGCGATCCAGTCCAAACCAGGAGCATTTCACCCCTGGTTGCATTCCTTGCATGTTTTTGCTTTTGCGGTAACAGTGTGGGATTTAGGGAAGGGGACTATATCAGAGAGATGATGGACTTCTAGCCTGACACCAAGCTTGCTGCATTCTGGGGATGAACTACTATCAAGCTAATGCCTCAGAGTTCTCAAAACACCTTTTCAGATCTGTATTGGCTACTGGTGCACTGATGAAGGGGTGGGGTTTTGAAAGGGGAGGAATAGCTTAACGCTTTGCACAGGAACATCAGATTCTGCCTCGCTTCTCCGTAATCACTTTCTCGAAGTAAAAGTTCCTTTTCATAACTACTTGTTTCAAGAGTCATGCTTTCCTGAGGGAATAGCTAAGGCAGGTCCTTACATTTACATTTCACTTTGTGGAGTGGCTTAAAGATGTTTACTTATCCTCATGTTTATACTTATTCCAAAACCGGGTCCCATAAGAGAACTCCAAATGTTACTGGGTGAGCCATGCTGTCCTGCTGCATCAAAACCAGTTGCAGAACTAATAATGGATTTCTTAAGAACAGCAAGAACAGCAGGTTCAAGCAGGAAGAATGCTGTTATCTGACCCATACCTCAGCTAAGCTTAAAGCTCCAAGGCAAAGCCAGCCAGCCATGGGAAATATGCAATCTACCAATGATTTGCTGGGAAAGCATGTCGGCCAAGCCTTATTCTGTCACAATAATGAGGCCGGTGAGCAATGTAGCCCATACAGTTTTAATAAAGGACAACTTAAAGATACTTATTGATGGCTTCCTTTCCCATCCCATCAAGTGCAACCTACCAGTAGAAAAAAACCAACCACCAATTGTTCTTTTTATCTTGTGGTAGGAAAGGGCTAGGCAAGCGTAGGCAGGTGTCTTGAACAGCAAGTTTAATTTCCTGTCAAGTTGTCTAATCAGATGCTCCACGCCTGTAACCAGTCAACCAAAATCTATCTGTATTGGATACATCCCAGTCCATAAAATTGTTATTTCTTTTAATGGTACAAAATAGGGAAGGGACAACCCAGTGTCCTTTTTATCCCATCTCTGTTCTGCTGCTGTGATGTAGATGAGAGTTAAATCAAGAATAATGAAAGGCTATTCTCTAAGACAGGGGTGTCAAACTCGATTTCATTGAGGGCTGCATCAGGGTTGTGTTTGACCTCCAAGGCCCTGGTGGGTGTGGCCAGGGTGGGCATGTCCAGCTCGGCATTACTCATGTCAGGGGCATCTGTGGTGGCATGAGGGCTCTGCCAGTGAAAATGGAGCTCAGGAGGGCAGCGTGCAGCCCTCCTGAGCTCCATTTTCACTGGCACAAGGCTGCAGGAGGCAGTTGCAGCTGAAACGGAGCTCAGGAGGGCTGCGTACGGTCCTCCCGATTTCCATTTTCGCTGGCAGAGGCACCACAGGCCAGTCTTTTGCTGTTTCCAGGGTGGGCCCATAGGCCAGATCTAAGCACCTCATGGGCCGGATCTGGCCCACAGGCCTTGAGTTTGACACCCCTGCCCTACAAGATCATCCATGCTAATTATCCTCTATATATTTTTCATAAACTCTGGAAATGTCTGTGACTTTTTGATCTATAAATTGAGATATGTAGATTATTGATATTAAGTTCCTCTGCCCTTTTGGTCTTCTATCATATCTTTCTTCTACTTTCTCCCTACCTTTGCCTGCTTTTTGTCCTGATTGGTTTTTTTATAAGTGGCTGGTGTTTAATAAATACATAAATATCAAGCTATATGTTTGGCCAGGTGAATTGAGTGGTATATGTGCTTGTTTTGATTTGGTTACAAAGATTGTCTGGAAATGTGGCTGGGTGTGAGCTAAACTGACTCTCTCTCTCTCTTTTCATTCTGATAAGTTTTTTGAAGTGTCATGAAAAGAAAAGCCTGACACAGAATAGATTTTTAAATTAAGAGCAGCTTCAGAAGGAAAAGCACGTTAACTAGACAGAGTGCCTGTTTTTCTTTTAGTCACTGGAACCAGAACTATGTCAAATTAAAAGGAATCCATCTACTATAAGTAACAAACTGACTACAAAACAAAAGGAAATGAGAAACCACTGGTTACAACTGCAGAATCAGACCAAACAAAGGTAAATTCAAGGTGCTGCTATTACCTTTAAAATGCTACATGGCATAAGATCAGGTGACCTGTGGGACTGTCTCTGTCTGAGGACATCTGTATGCTCCATTAGAGTAGACAGGATAGGCAAGCTCCATGCTCCTTCCTTTAACGTTGTCATCTTATAGGTCCATGGAAAACTGCCTTTTCCATTGCAGCCCCTGCCCTATGGAATCAGATTTTGTTTATCAGACCTATGTCTAGGGCTGTCTGATATCAAACCTATGTGGCTCTTCCTCCTGTCTCCTCTGCATACATTACATCTTCAATCTGTAGATTTCTGTGCTTTAGTTTGTCCTGTTTTATGCCATTATTTAGTGGAAATTTAAAATAAGACTTCCAACATTAAAATCCACAAACGCATTCTACAATATATTAATAGGTGTGTTTAATCACAAAGTTGAGAGGAACCTTGTAAGTCAACTAATTTATTTATTTATTGTATTGGTTTGATTTATATGCCACCCTTCTCCGGAGACTCAGGGCGGCTTACAATGCATTAAGCAATAGCTTTCATACTTTTTGTATATACCTGCTTAGTAGGGCTTTCGGGGCCCCCTAAGCGGTGTTCTTTTTATACAAAGTCAGTTTCTTGCCCCCACAATCCGGGTCCTCATTTTATCTACCTCGGAAGGATGGAAGGCTGAGTCATTCCATCCTGAGTCTGAGCCTGGTGAGATTTGAACTTGGAGTAATTGCAGGCAATTTTTATGCAAAGGTACAGAACTAGGAGTTCTGGCATTGATATTCCATCCTACAAAGGTACATTTCTTCTCCTTTGGGACCTGAGTATTAGTTATTTTGGATCACTTAGTTTGGTTCCTGTTTGGGGCATAAAAGTGAGTAAATGGATTGGGGGATAGGGGGAGAAAGTGAATCTAGCCAAATTCTGGCAACAGAATCCGATTGGCATGTACAATAATAGAGTTCTTCTCTCTAGGAACTTTAATGTTGTTAAAGGAAAATATATGGTTTGAAAACTAGAAATGTGAAAAGCCCACCATGTCTAAGTATGTATTCTTACATTCCCCTTTGAAATAAGTAAACAACAATTTACAAGCTTTCTGTTTTCATTAAACTCAATTTTATTCCAGCAGATTATATTTAGTAAATTTCAATTATGTTTATGTTCTTTTGTGTACAATAGGGGTGAGAAGCTGATAGCTTCTTACCAGTTACAGAAGTTTAACTCTGAACTGAAGGAATTATTAGACTGGATTCAGGAAATCAAAAGTCAAATCGAAATTGGAGATCTTCCTAAAAGTCTAGCCGAAGCAGAAAGCCTGATAGAGGAGCATCAAGAAATAAAGGCAAGTATGAATTATATCAGCATAGCATTGCCATCTTTATAATAGTTTCCATTATTTTAAGAAGTTCCTAACGAGCAATTTCAATACTTGACAACTGAAATAACATTGATTGTAGCACTACACATACCAAGTTATTCCTGTGCTTATTTCTGTAGCAATACACACAAACTTATTTCTGTGCTTACTTTTTGAGCTGGAACATTCTTTTCTAAGCTCAGATGTGGTCTGTTCTCTCTGTAAACCTGAGTTTTATTTGGACATTGCTAAAATTCATAGCAGTGTAAACATGAGTCATATAGTTGGTTTAAATAATTTTGCCACTGAAGAGGCCTACATATGCCCAAATGCTCAAACAACTGTTGAAAAAAAAGAAGCTAATAAATATCCTGCTCAGGGTGGGTGCTATTAAGCCTATTGAAGTCAAGACAAGTTATAGAGAGGCTCCCTTGGAATATACACATTTGGAATCCCAAAGGTGCTTTTTCAAGAGGCAACTGGTCTAGTTCCCTCTTGAAAAAGCACCTTTGGGACAACCATGACCTGGATGACTGAGAATCTCCATACACATATACATTTGGAGCAGTGGTGGGTTGCTGTCCGGTTCTTTAGAACAGGTAGTAAAAGCAGTGGAAGGCTCCGCCCAGCTGGACGTCATAATTGATGATCTGTGCATGCGGAGAAGGGCGCGCACTCCCGTTGCAAACCAGTAGTAAAGGTAAGTAGAACCCACCTCTGATTTGGAGGTATCGTGCTAAGCTTGCGTTTGTACTACAAACATTCTTCTGAACCACAGAGAAGGAAAGGAGAAAAGAAGGAACATCAGGGGTTGATAGTATTAACACATGCTCTGAGACACTGAAAGCTCCATGAACAAGATGCGAAGTCTCAGGAGGAAAGGAGGGAGAAAAGAGTAATTTCATTTCCTGAAGGTCTTCCACTCGGAGATAATGTTCAGAAGTTCATTTGTTCAGAGAAATAAAAGTGAGGGGGAAAGTTTCTCTTTTGAGGAAAAGATGGGGGCAGGAGGACCATCCGCACCATAAAAATGGCCGGTGAGTCACATAATTTACTAGCAGAATTAAAAAGACTTCTATAATGTTTCATAGTATCCAGAGCTTAACTTAGAGGTTCTTATAGTGGAGGTAAATGGAATGTATTCTGGAGATGATGGAGCAATTTGTAGTTGCTTATTTGTGAGTTATGCATCTAGTATGTGACAGCTGTCACTAAGATGCTTCCGTAAAATAGCAGAGGCTGGTTTTTGTCTTTTTTGTTTTGTTTTGTAGGGATAATGACATTATTCAAGACTAGGAAAAGGGATAATGGGTCAAATAGTTTAAAAATCATTGATTTCACTTCTTTCATAAATTTGAAATGATGGAAGATATCCGTTAAATAAACACATTTGATGTTATTAATATTAACATTGAGAATACAATCATGAAAGTGCTTGTTATAATGAAATCTGCTGTAAGCACAAAAAGAAAATTGAAATTTTGGGGATATAGTTTACCTCTCTTATGAGTGCCACTGTTTGTCTTAATAATGTGCAATTAAAAACATGTTTCATTTATAGCTAAAAGTTTCCAGATTTAACTAGGGTAAAAACTTTGCTAAGGTGAAAGAGAGAGTAACTTTTTTTCAAATTCTGAAACCTTCCTTCTTTCCCAAACCAAATTCTCCTTACTTTCCACATAAATATTAATGGTGGAAGGTTGTTGAATAAAGCCTACTTTTATTTTCCATAAAGCCCGAATATTCATTCTGCTTAAACATTTACCATCAATCTGTCTGACATCTTTTAGGCAGAGATTGAAGCTCGGGGGGAAAGATTTGGTGCTCTTAGCAACTACGGTCAGAAACTTGGCAATTCTGGCCATTATGAGGCTCCTGAGATCCATCATTCACTCATCAAGTTACAACAAGCATTAAATGAAATGATCCAGGCCTATGAAGAACAAAGTCTAAAATTACATCAAGCCAGGGACTTACAGGTAGGTAAAAAATAAAAATAATTCTGGAGTAGCCCACAAGAATAAGAGTAAATGCTGTCAGGAAGGTTTCTGATTGGTAGTTACGGCATGGCAAATGGAAGCAAACAGTGGTTGCTGGTGGATAGTCTTTAAACATAGAATCCTCTCCAAAGAGAAGTATATTTATATTTCTTTTCTTTTTTTTAATTTGGATCCTGAAACAGCTCTTCAGCTCAGCCTCAGCCTTTTTTTGGGTAGTTTTGATTTAGTGGGATAATTCTCCTTAAATGCATTGTCGCATGGTTTCAGTTTTAAATAACAGGAACTGGAACTTTTGGTCTACTCTCCCTGTATGGGAAAACCTTGAAAGAATGGGTATGTTTAAGGATCCCATTTTCTTTGAAATGGTGTACAAATCAAGGAACAACTGCAGTATACTGAAGGACCACATAACGCATGCAGAAATTCTTGATTCAGTCCCTGATGTTCCCAATTAAAAATTAAAATGCTGAGTTATATACCTGAGCTAATTCTTTTAAACCCGAGAGAACTGATTTAATCACAACTTTCTGTAACTACCGATATCATATCTGCCCTGTTTAAATATGGATAATTACTAGATGGCTGTAGATAAAATCAGTAGAACAATGATAGCCACCAGTCGTGGTGGATAAAATCTGTTTACAATATGTATGCAATCTTGCAAACTCAAAAAAGGCAAAACTGCCCAAAGGAATTGCTTATCTACCACTATTCTGAACCTACAAATTACTCCTTTGTTAATACTGCAATGGCTCAATGGACAGCTTTTATATACTGTACTATAGTGTTCGTCTGTGGGTCCAATTCTAAGCACTCTTATTTCCAACTAAGCCCCATTGAACTATGAAATGTAATTACATTGGAAAGTGACAGAGCTTTTTTTTTCTCCTAAACAGATATTCTTTGGTTATGTGGAAGAGAGTGAAAGTTGGCTAAGCAGCAAAGAGGCCTTCCTAACCAACAAAGACTTGGGGGTAAGTGAAATAGACTATTCTCACTCAAAAGTGGAAAATGTAGGCATAGAATAAAAGTGCAGAACAAAACATTTTGGAATACTTACTTTCAGGTTTTTTTCTATCACAGTCCCACTGAATTTCTCATTCTATCATGTACCTTTTGGGAAGCTTAGCAAGATTATTGGATTTTGCCTTCTGGTCTGGGGTATCATTCTCCAACCCAGTTTTGCTGCCATATACTCAAGAGAAACAGAAATACGTGCAAAATGAGAATTTTTGAAAAAAACTGCAGCACTCTAAAGTTTGTTTGTTTATTGATTTAGTTATTAAATTTATATTCCACTCATCTTACCGATAAAATGACTCTGGACAGTTTATTATATCTGAGTTTTATAGACTTGAAAGTAAACAAAGGTTGTTTGGGAAGAACCGAATATTCTTTGATTTCATATTAAAAAGGAAGTTTCACAGAAATAATATTAATCCTGTTTAGGATAGTGATCCCCAAATCCTTCTCTTCTTCTATGCATGCATGATTTATAGACATTTAGGCAGTTTATAAACATACTGTAACTCTTCTAATGGGGAATAGATTGGAGTAATCATATGGCATTAGATCAGCTCTTCCCAACCTGGGCATTTTTCAGTTGCAACCAACTGCCAGAATTTTTATCAATTGCCATTCCATATTACATTAACTTGTTCTAAATTGATGCAGGATTCGATATCCAGTGTGGAAAGTCTGCAGCAAAAGCACATGCAATTTGAAAAAGACTTGAACACCCATCTGATGAAGATTGATAATATAGCTATCTTTGCTCAAAAGCTGAAGGACAGTCAGCATTATGATTCAGAGAATATAATGACTAAGTGCCAGACTGTGTTGAGAAGGTACCATTCAGGTTTTTTCTCCCTTTTCATCTCTATATCCTATACGGTTTAACCACACCACCCCTCTCTTAATTGGTTTTTTTATTACTTGTCACTCATTAACTACATTATTGTGTGCTTCAAATAAATCCCTAGGAAAATACAGTGATTATCCACCCATCTAGTCACTCTAGAAAGAAGATAAGATTTTTATAATGGGACCATTTGAGGAACAACTCTGCTGTGGCATTTCCTGTTGCATTTCCTCATGCTGTGCTTTTTGGGTTTTCCTTCTATTGCCCTGGCAAAGATTAAGCTTGCATTTATAATCAAAAGCAGAAATGAAAAGCAGTTTAACAAGCTGTGTTGACTTATATCACCAGTATTATTTATTCTTTCTAGAAAGGAAAAACTTCTGGAAATTGCTTTAATGCGGAGGCGTCTGCTGGAGGAGTCCTGGCTGTTACAAAAATTTCTGCATAATTCTTTTGAGGTATAATGTGTTCATTTAATTTCCTGATGCTATATATATGCATACATATGTAAGTATTTCTATACCACAGAAGTGTCAAACTAAAGGCCTGGGGGCCGGATCCAGCCTGCAGGCTGCTTAGATCTGGCATGCAGGGCCACCTTAGAGACAAGAAGGACCGGCCCACAGTGCCTCAGCCATCAAAAACAGAGCTCAGAAGGGCTGCGCACAGTCCTTCCAAGCTCCATTTTTGCTGACAGAGTGCTCAGGCCACCACAGGTGCCCCTGACACGAGTGATGTCGAGCTGGCCACGCCCCCACTGGCCATGTCCCACCAAGGTCAAACACAACACTGACGCAGCCCTCAATGAAATTGAATTTGACACCCCTGCTATACCAGAAAAAGAAATTTGAAAACTTCTAATACTCAACAAATGCCATAAATCCTAGCCAATATAGCCAATAAGAACAAAATGTGGTACATTAGTATAGTCCAAGGAATATAGAGAGAGACCAAATTGCTTGTTCCTGATTCTTGGTAGACTTGCAGTTCTTTCAGGGTTTCAGATGGGAGACTGTTCCAGGTCCTGGAACTATTAGGAATTGAATCTAATCAGCCATCTGATAACTGATTTTCTATCCAAAGATAGCTGCCTGGATGAGTGAAAAAAACAGTATTGCCCTTGATGAGAGCTGGAGAGATCCCAGCAATCTTCAAACTAAACTACAAAAGCACCAGACTTTCCAGGCAGAGATTGTGGCTAACAAAAATCATCTCAACAGGATCAAAACAGTAAGTAAATACCATGTTTGTTATGTGTTGTGTTGTATTGTGTTGTGTGTTGTGTGTGTGTTTTGTGTTTTATGTTTTGTTTTGTTATGTATTATAGTTATTAAAAAAATAATTCAGAAGAGATAGTTCAGTACCCTGTGACTATGATCCCATTACCATCTTAAAGCAGCTATGTCTTTGGTATACAAAAAAAATGGCTCCTTTAAGGAGTTTCATTAGACATACAGCTACTTTAATGAACTGCTTCATAAAAGTAGCTATCTTCTAAGACTTATGCAGAAATCTGACAAAAGATGCAGCTTCTTTAAAGAGATGCTATGCCCTTGTTCCTATACATTTTGAATAATTTTTGAAGCCTGACCAGCTTCAGTACATTTCAAAGAATGAGACTTTCTGAAAAGGTGTTTCTGGAGATATCTTAGTTAAACAAATAATTTTCAGTCTTATCTTAAGGGGAAAAAAATTAATTTAAATTTTATTATAATGATAAAATTGTTGGAACGAATAGTTGTTTAAAGACATCATATAGAAAGCTAAGCCACAAGAGATGACTTCGAGTATCTTTTTTTTTTTTGCAGGAAGGAGAGAAAATGCTCCATGAAAGGCATTATGCTTCTGATGTCCTCCAGTCTAGACTCCAGGAAATAGATGAGCTTTGGGATGAGTTGCTGGAAAACTGTGAGGAAAAGAAAAGAAAAATTCTGGATGCTTACAAGGTAAAACACAACAGGAAAGAACTCAAGGCTTTAGTAGTAACTTAGTTATTCTGGAAATTCCCCAAGCTGGTTAACTAACTTTCAGTTAGCCAAAATCAAAAGGACTCAAATAAATGTATTGTGTTCATGTGTATGCTTGTGTGAGGCTGTTGCAGAGACAGAATTGATCAATCCACACAGGATACAGTGCTTAAATGTAGCTACAGTGTTTAAATGTCATTATTTATATGAGTTTTTCCCCTCTGGCTTCAGGCTCTGCAATTTCTACATATTGTGGATGAGGCTGATAAATGGTTGGAAGACCTAGACAGAGAGATGAAAATACCAGAAAGCAGTGATAATCTACTGATTCTAAATGATCTCCTAAAGAAACAGGAAGAATTGGAAGCCAGCTTTGCTGCCCATAGGGATCATTTCCAAAGTCTGATCAACAGAGTGCAAGAACTCCAGGAGGAGAAACATTTCCTGGCCGATGAGATAGAGATAAGAGTGGATCAGGTGGTACACAGGTGCTTAAACTGTTCTGCAGTTTCCCCCTGCTCTGCTTTCCCTTCTAAATATTCTAATTTTCACCTTTAATAATATTATCATTCTTCAGTTTATCAGCCTGGTATCTTTAATTTTAACAGTCCATGAATGCTAGTCCATAATCTTTCTTCCTAAAAAAAAAAAAAAAACAATCAAACCCACAGCTTCATTTTGAATCTCCAGGTACAAAAGTTTTAGGGAGCCACTTCAGGAAAGGCAGCAGCATTTGGAAGCCAACAGATTGCTGTGCCAGTTCCTCCAGGAAGTCAATGAAGAGTTTACCTGGATTCACGAGAAACTCCCTCTGGCATCTTCCAGAGACTATGGTCAGTCACTAGCAACTGTTCAAAGCTTACAGGAGAAGCACCAGGTAAAACAGCTGGAGTGACAAAGCAGGAAATACTGGAGCCGAGAGAAATTCTTTGTCACTTCTTTCATTGATTTATTTGTATTTATTTTAGCTATCTTACCTCAAGGCCTAGAAGCTCACTTTCTGTTCTTCAGAAAAGTGCACGTTTTTCACACTTCCACATCAGAGTGAAGTGAATTAAATGAACAAAATCTTTTTCTACAGCAGTTTTTCCCAAGTTCAGCAAGATTAAGGCGTGGGAATCCTGGGAGCTGAAGTCCTAGAGTGAAAGTTGCCGAGGTTGAGAAACACTTTTCTAAAGGAAGAGTAATCTTCTGCAACATGAAACACCACTGTCACTTATTTCTGCTATTATTCAAGCTATCAAGAAATATGTCTGCGCCTTTTATCTGAATACAAATGAATATTACATTCTCTGCATTGCATCTGCTATTATTTATTGAAAAAAAGTTAAAGACAGTAACAAAGAAATAAAAATTGTGCTAGCCTGTTGGATCCATAATTTAAAACAGTGACAATTTTATCTATTTGTTTGTTTAATCAGTTTTAAGCCACCTCGGTCAACATTGTGGTGTATAGATTAACAGCAAAAATAGTGTAAGCAATAACAGCAACAAATACTACAAATCCTACAGCAGGGCCATAATTCATTCATATTTAAAGTATTACATTTTTTTCTTGTAATTAGCAAAATAAGCTCGTTTGTATTCTAAAAAAGAAGCATATAATATTAATTAGGTGGTTTCTGTGATGGTGACAAGAAAAGTATCTAAATCTCCATCTAAAATTCCCAGAGCAATTTTGCATTTTTAAAAGATGTCCTTCTATTTATTAATAAGGCACAACTTGCTTCTAACCTCTTTAAATTGATAGCTAGAGAAATAAATTAGGGTGTGCTAACCTTCTTTACATTCCTTTTGGTATAGGACAGTTCAACTATTAAAGAGACTCCACCAAAATAAAGGCTTTTATTACACTCATTTGAGTAGACTCTTGCTTATGTTGACAAAACTCTACATGGGTATTTAAAATTGTTAGCATAATCTAAAAGAGGTGTGCTGCAGCTTGACAACCTAAAAACATAGACATATTGATGAATATATGGAGAAAATCCTTACATTTTTAAAATACATGTATCTCTTATCTTATATTTTCCAGAATTTAGAGAATGAGATTAACAGCCATGATGCCTTGATTAAAGCAGTTATCAGTTCTGGGCAGAAGCTAATACAGGAAAAGCAGGTTGCTTCCCAGACAATCTTGGAACAAATAAAGGAACTGATCATTTCCTTTGAAAATCTGAAGGATGAAGCTCAGGAAAGAAGATGGAGGCTTGTAGAATCTCATAAAGCCCAGCATTTTTTCAGTGAGGTAAAGTAGCAATGGAAAGCCATTCTCAATTTCAACCATATAGATCATTGGAATTATAACTGTTTTGCCACTTCTTTTCCAAACCAACTCAGCTGAATTGACCAAATTTCTTTAACCTTGATGCAGTTCTTCTCTTCTAACCCCTTCCCACTTCAACTATGTTATCCCAAAGGGTTCTTGCAATTCAGGAGCATCTTTCCATCATGGAAGCCATTTGGTGTGAGCAGGCCTCTGTTTGCTTGTCTCTGTGTTCAGATATGTGGAGAGTCAGATATTTTCCATTAATTTAGTAAATACATTATTAGAGTCTGAATGGATATTACTGCCTATCTTTTATTAAATTAAATGTTAAATAAAATGAAATGAAATGAATGAAAAGAAATATAATGTTTCCTCTTTTTGGAAAAGTCTGACTCCTCAAAAGTCAAAGTATTGTACTGCTTTTTCCAGTTTTGTTCCTTTTCCTCATCTGAAGCAGAATGCTGTAGGGCTTTCCTCTTCCTTGGAATTTTATGGGAAATCCTGTCAGCATTGAGTCAACATGTTCCATGTGTAAACCTTGCATCTTTTTCTGTGTTTAGTCTACTTCTTTCTTCTTCCCTCCTCCAATTCTGTAATGGACAAAAACGGGAATAGCTACACAATACCTTTGAACGACCAATGCTAGGGACTATTAAACAAATATCCTTAATCTAATATTCCTTGGGCTTTGTAGAAATTTGTGTACAACTATTGCATAGTTTTTGCATTAAAAATAATGTGTCGAATACTTGACAGAAGGGACTAATATATCAATAGTGGATCACTATTGATATATATATCAGTAGTGGGTTGCAAAACCCGTTGCTACTGGTTTGCTTCTGTACATGCGTGCAAGCGCATCCATGCACATGTGGGCAGAGTCTCCCACCACCACTACCAGTTCGCCAATCAAGGTAGAATTGGTAGCAACCCACCACTGATGTATATATGCTACACTGGTATGGATAGAATTTTCATTGATCCATATATTTAGTTGAGAGCATGCCTCGTTTGTTTTGTCTCTGTTGAATATAGTTCTGTTTCAGCAGATTACAACAATCTGTTTCATGTGCAAATCCCATCATCCCTGCTTTTCTTTCAGCTTTTGGAAGTGGAATCCTGGATGTCAGAAAAAGGACTTCTGCTAGAAACTCCAGATTATGGGAGAAATGAAGAATCAACTCAAGCATTGTTACGTAAAATGGAAGCTACAAAGCTTGATCTGGAGGGATTTAAATCCCGAATTGAGAAGCTGAAGGAAACAGGAGACTATTTCTTGAACAGTAATAACCCAGAAAGGTAGGTGTCCATAAACCTTCTAGAGGAGAATCAATTGTAAAACAATTTCTGTTATCTTCAAGACTTCTTCGGCAGAGGTGGTATTCAGCTGGTTCATACCAGTTTGGGCAAACCGATAGTGGTGACTGCGGGGTGGGACCACCCATCGACCCCAGCATAATGCTGTTCTATTTAGCCACATTTTCAAGGCTGGGCACATGCGTGGAAGGCATGTGCAAAAGCAAAGCACATGCGTGGAAATGCGAAAGGCATGCACATGAAACAAGCATGCATGCGCACTGCGAAACTGGTGGTAAGTATATATGAAACCTACCACTGTTCTTCAGGCATTATTTCATAAAGCCCCTTCTGCGTGCAAACATTTGTGCTATTTGAATTTTTGCTTTGTCACAAGCATATGAGTTGTAAAACTTAAGAACAACCCTGTAACTATTTGATTGAGTTGATAAATTTCAAATGTGATCTTATCAAATAAGGATCTGAAATCTTAACAAGTTTTCTTAATGTCACAATAAGGTTTATTGTGTTTTCAAGAAGGTCAACAGGAAAAGTTTTCACTGGCATGTAGGCACAGATTCAAATGCGGATCCTCTTACCTATGGCAGCTGTTAGCTGCATCAGATGGGGAGGAGGCAGTGGTGGGATTCAAGTAATTTAACAACCGGTTCTCTGCCCTAATGATTTCTTCCAACAACCAGTTTGCCAAACTGCTCAGAAAGTTAACAACCGGTTCTCCCGAAGTCGTGCGAACTGGCTGAATCCCACCACTGGGAGGAGATCAAAAGGCAAGGAAGAAAACAGACAAAAGAAATTATAGTTTAGCCAGTTGCAGACAGTTTCTAATGCCTAGCAATCACTTCTTAATAGATAATCCCAGAAATGCTATTAAGATCAGGTTGGCTCCAGAGGATATGAAGATTCAAGAAGCTGTGTAACCATTAGCATGAATAAGGCAGATGTTGCAAGGCAAGGGAAAACAGATCAAGAGGCTGTTTATCTCTTAACAATTTTTCATATTTGCATACTTAATTAAGCCATCTTCAGTAAACTGGATGGGAACTCCTTTGTAATTGGAATTTTTGTATAATGAAGCATATGTATTTATGCATAAACAGCTGGGAATAACAAGCCATGTTAAGATTTCCATATCAATGTATTCTGTTTTTTCTGGATGACACAAATTCCAAAAAAGCAATTTCATTTCTTTACTTTTAATTCTTACATGTCTCAAGAATTTTAAAAACTATATACGTGTTGCTCTAGTTCAGATTTATGAATGCAAAACATCAGCTTTGTGGTGTATTTATTCATGTAATATTTCTGATGCTTGCAGACTCAACAAAATGACAGAATCAACCATAACAAAAGAAACAGCTTTATTATGCATTCAGGCTTCTTGATTGATAATTTCTTTGTTCAGAATCCATGTTATTATTTAAGTCCAGTTGACATCTGTATGAAAACTGCATGTTCTTATATCATTTTACCTTTAATAATCAAAATTTGAAATTCTACATATAGGAAGTTAAGTAGGAATTACGAATATCCCTTCTGATTGATCAGGAATAACTTATTTATTTACTTACTTAAAATATTTACATCTTTAACAAACTCTGGTAAGCTTGCAATCAAAAATCAAAACAACATAAAAACCATATTAAAGTTATAAAAACCAAGTATATTAAAAACAAAAACTTAAATATTAAATCACATATTCAACTAATACCTTCTTTAAAAAATTAACACATATTTACTTAATCAAAACAATTATCCTTCTATTAACCCACCTTAATTCTTAATTCAATTAATAACTCATAATACAATTCTTACCCTAAATCCTCACTATTAACAATACAATTCAAACATTGATATTTCATTATGCTCAATAAATCTTTATTCCATTATTACTTTATCAAATTTAAATCTTATCTTTTTAATTTTAAAAATATAGCAATTTAACATTTAAACATAGTTCTTAGTTCAAATAATGCTCTTTAATACAATTTCCCAATTATCCTAAATTCTGTCTATCAAACCATACCATTTATATAATACCAATTAAGTAATTTTTGTTTACAAATCATAATCATGTTTCAGTTTTCTTTTCTTTTTCACTTAGGTAATAAATGTTCAAATTATCACAATTGTTATATATATTTAAACAATATCCCAATTATTATAGCTATCAATTTTCTAATTTAACCTTTTCTTTTATCCTTCCACTGTTAATCCCAATGTACAAAATACATCTTTATTCCACTGTTAATCCCAGCATAATCATCTTTATTTTTCTCACTGCTAATCTCAGTGTAATCATCTTTATTCACTGTTAATCCCAGTGTAATTATCTCTATTCTTCTCACTGTTAATCCCAGTGTAATCATTTTAGTTACTGTTAATCCCAGTATAATTATCTTTATTTTCCTCACTGTTATTGGAAATAAGTGCTATGGCAAAATAGAATAGATAAAATTTTGTTAAAGATTTTGTTAAAAGTTGAACAAAGTAATGATTGGATCAAAGCTCTGTTCCAGAAGGATGTAATTTGTATGTTTGGAAAAAAATAAAAAAAACTTTTTTTAAAAAAAAAATCTGGTGCCAAGTCAAGCTTTCAATATGCAGTTACCTCATCTTATCCTGAAAATTGAGAGAAAAGCCAAGGTAGAAGTCCTTTTCTCTATGAATAGAATGCCATCAGGGTACTTAAAAAGTGGTCATCCTGCTCAGACTTAAGCATGGCTTGGATTACATCTGGAATTAATTAAGACCCTGAATATACGGTACTAATTTTGCAAACAATGGATTTCTCTGGAAACAAATAATATTCATGCACATCTTATATGTACATTTTCACATTTCAGACCATTACTAATAGAATAAAATAGAATAGAATTTTTTATTGGCCAAGTGTGATTGGACACACAAGGAATTTGTCTTGGTGCATACGCTCTCAGTGTACATAAAAGAAAAGATACATTAATCAAGAATCATAAGGTACAACACTTAATGATAGTCATAGGGTACAAATAAGCAATCAGGAAACAATACCAATATAAATTGTAAGGATACCAGCAACAAGATTACAGTCTTACCGTCATAAATTGGAGGAGATGGGCGGTGGAAACGATGAGAAGATTAATAGTAGTGCAGACTAAGTAAATAGCTTGACAGTGTTGAGGGAATTTTTGTTTAGCAGAGTGATGAGGTTCGGGAAAAAACTGTTCTTGTTTCTAGTTGTTCTGGTGTGCAATACTTTATAGCGTTGTTTTGAGGGTAGGACTTGAAACAGTTTATGTCCAGGATGTGAGGGGTCTGTAAATATTTTTACAACCATCTTTTTGACTGTACATTTTGCAATATACAGGTCCTCAATGGAAGGCAGGTTGGTAGCAATTGTTTTTTCTGCAGTTCTAATATGTAGAATGACAGAGAAATAGGTAATAAATATAAATTTTTAGTTTGAGTTAGACAAGAGCTGTATATGAAAATTGCTGGGAACAGGGATAGCGATATAAATGAGTGATGACTATTTTCTAAACTCTCTTCTCTGTCTGTATCTGTGTCTATGTCTGTGTCTCTCTATCTCTCTTTATAGTCCAATTATCCTGCCCAAACTTCAGTCTGTTTTAGAACAATACCTGTCTCTCCAGGATAGAGCAGAGAGACAAATAACAGCTTTGCAGGAACAATCACAACTGCATCAATTTGAGAGGGAAACCCAACTGGTGGATGCTTGGCTGTTGAGCAAACAGAATATGGCTGAATCAGATAACTATGGTCAGGATTTGGAGAATGTGGAGGTAAAGCAGATGTTGTCCTTAGAATACCTCAACTACACTGTTTTATAATTTATATTCTATACTTCCTGATGTTCCTTGATTTTTAAAAGTTACATGAGACTGACTACAGGTAGCAATGGTTTACATATGCTTATTGTTATTAGTTGTTAAGCATATACCTTTTAAAAAATGCTTAGTTACTTTCCATGCCCTATTTGCCACTTTTTTTATATTATCTCAAGACTAATATCAAGAAATAAAAGGAAGATTTTGAATAACTCCTACTGCTACTTCTTTGTTGATGCTACAGGTTCTAGAGAAAAAATTTGAAGATTTTATGAAAGAGGTAGAAACTCTAGGCCATACCAAAGTTCTACTGATAAACAATCTAGCATCTCACCTTAGAACTGTGTGTCACAATCAAATAAGCCACATCCAGAAAAAAACCCAGGATATCCATGACAGATGGGAGAGATTGCAACAAGCTGTCCAAACAAGAGTAGAGGTAAGCTTCCTAGTATCCAGATGTGCTCCTTAGGACATGAATGAGCCATGTATGGGTCATGTATTACATATCATCCCAGTCCTTTGTTGTAGTTTTTTTTTTAAAAAAAAATTAGATCACCCAAGATTGGCAGAGAGTTTCCCTGTTATTCAGTTATATTAAGTAAAAGAAGTTTGCTGAATTTTTATTAGGCTGTATATATCTTTTTTATCTTTGTATCTTTCCCAAACCTCCAAATATGAAAAAGTTTAGCCCTGACTCTCCAGTTAACAGATTATTGCTCTGCCCTTTGAAAGACCAAGTCTGTTAAAATGTAATCTCTGATGCCCACAAACTGGCCCACTTTTGCATTATCGCAGTGTTGTTATGATTGAAAATTGTTGATTATACTTTATGAGTTACTATATATAATCAAAAATTATGGACAAGCTGATTCACATTTTACTGTTCTTGATTATATAATGCTATTACATTGTTTCCCCAAAAATAAGACATCCCCTGATAATAAACCCAATCTGGCTTTTGAGCGCATGCGCTAAAATAAGCCTCCCCCTGAAAATAAGTCCTCCCAAAAAATATTTAAACGCAGAGCTGGAAATCAGATAAGATGGTAAGAGGAACCCCATCTTGCTCCATGTACCCCAAAATAATAAGACCTCCCCGAAAATAAGGCCAACCACTTATTTTGGGGTTCAAAAAGTATAAGACAGGGTCTTATTTTTGGGAAAACACGGTACAAGTACCACTGATAATGCACATTTATTTATTTATTTATTTATTTTATTCTGTCAAGCATGTATTAGATAACAGATATAAGTATAAACATAATTATGAATACATGAAATGGATATGAATAAAAGTGCTTGATAGAAGCATAACTTGCCTCTGTATGATCTTGTACCATTAGAATAAGATTTGTTGACTAGCAGTGACTGTGTCAAACAACCACAGCATTTTCCTTAAAAAATGAAGGAGATGTAACTGAAACTGATCAGATTATTTAAAAGATAATTTATAACACACAAACGTATGATACTACAGCAATGTGAGCAGTAGTGGGGTCTAACCAGCTTTACTACCGTTTCTCTTTGTGCATGTGCTTCGCGCGCGATCTCCGCCAAACTAGCACTCTGCGCAAGCGCATTGGGAATCTGCCCAGCTGAGGTGTGGCAATCCACTCTGCCGCACCTATCAGCTGGGCTAAAAAGAAGAAATAAAAGGTAGAAATAACGCTGGGGTGGGTGGGAGGTCCCAGCTCCCGGACAAAGAGAACCGATTCGGTAATGTCATATCGTCACCACTATCGGCTCAGCCGAACCGGGCTGAACCGGGAGGAACCCACCACTGAATGTGAGTCAGTATCTCTCACTTGTATCTGCCTTACATCATGAGCAATTTTAAACTGATTTGTTAGGGACAAGTCTTACTGAAACATTTTTCCTTTCACCAGAATCTCAGAGCAGCTCATCAAGTTCATCAATATGATCGTGATGTGGATGACCTAAAAGGCTGGATGCAGGAGAAAGAGGCTGTTGTGACCAGAGATTATTATGGTTATGACCTACTTGGAGTTCAGACCCTCCTTAGCCAACATGAAGGAGTGGAGGTAAGCAGAAACAGTCACTTTGAAAAAACAGACTTTATAGACAGACAGACAGACAGACAGACAGACTTTGTATAATCAAAAGATCTGACATTTCAGTCTGCAGAATTTTCAATGATGGGATTATTGTTCACAGCCTTAAAGAAATTGGCTGCTCTCTTATTATAACTCTCTTACTTACTCTTAATAGCAATCTACTCAGGGTTAGCTTAACCATTTATTTTTTATTTATTGTATTTCATATTGCTGCTTCTGAGAGATATTTGATTTTTTTAAGAAAACGATAAAATATTTGATTTTTTTAAAGAAAGTGATAAAATCATTCCAAAATAGAACAAGAGTAAAAGAGTAACACTCACAAACAACATAATAAAAACAATGTAAAAGAGTATAAACGTATATTAACATCAAAATATCAAAGAGAGTTAAGACTACTCTTTTTTGCCAAATCAATGCATTTTTTTCAAGTCCCTGAGTGGGCAGTTTGTTTTGCCCTGACAGATTATCACTTCCATCTTCAGTGAATGTACTGTTATCCTAAAAAGTTTATTTTGGGACAAGTTAAAGAAATCAATTGATACATTTCCTGTTGGCAGGAAAAATATCTGTCATTTGCTTTTCTAATGTAAGTAAGGTAAGTAGGTAAGTATTGACCAAGCTTGTGATAGGACTTTTACATTACCCACCTCTCTGTTAGATGATCCATGGATGCCATCTCACATTGGTTTTTTTCACTGTTCTCTCTCTGTTCTGACTTCCTCTTTTTCTCAGATTGTTTCCTTCTTCATGTTGTTTGAGATTGTATTAATGACAAGTGATTCATTTATTTTTATTTAGTTAGTTAGTTAGTCAAACATGTACGAGACAACAGGTATAAATATAAACCTGGAAATGAAGACAGGGCAGGAGTACGAATAAATGGGGACAGAAGGATAGGGACGGTAGGCACACTGGTGCGCTTATGCACGCCCCCTACAGACCTCTTAGGAATGGGGTGAGGTCAACGGTAGATAGTTTAAGGTTAAAGTTTTGAGGGTTTGAGGATATAACAACAGAGTCAGGTAATGCATTCCAGGCATTGACCACTCTGTTGCTGAAGTCGTATTTTCTGCAATTGATTCAGATTGCAGCAAACTGCAAATCAGATCCATCTCACTCTACCCAGTAAAAAGATATGAAGCCCTATGGGAAAGAAGCAAACAAAAGGGGTCTTGAATATTCCAAGCTAATTAGTTTTCCTTTGTGTATTTCAGAGGGAACTAGCAGCCATCGCAAAGGAGTTGGAAAGGGTTAGAGGAGAGGCCTGGCGCTTGGGCCGCCTCTACCCTCTACCCAGGGAGAACATGATGAACAGACTTTCTGAAGTTGATGAGTGCTGGGAAAAATTAGACAAGAAGTGTGTGGAAAGAAAGCTGAAATTGCAGCAGGCTGAACAAGTCCAAATCTACTTCAATGACTGCAGAGAGTTGATGTATGTATGAATTAGCCTGAAAGAGCTTTCTTTCATAATATTAAAGGCTGGGGGGAAGGTGCAGATGAAATCTTGATACAGCAAATTTTAAAAACTTTTGGATACATGTATACTATACTCATATCTACATTGCTTTTGATTATAATACAGTGGAAACTAGATTTCACATTTTGACTTGTGCATGGATTATTTACTTACCATGTACCCAATGCATCTCATAAAGTAATAATACCACTTTTTAATTGGGATTTTCGCAGAGCCTGGGCAAGAAAGATGCATTCCCTGATTGTTTCAGAGGAGGTAGCAAGTGATCTTCTGGGAGCTGAATTGCTTATTAAACGCCACAAGGAGTACAAGCTTGACATAGACAAACAAGGGCTGAAATATGAAGATTTGGAGCAAACTGGAAATAATCTGGTGAAGGAAGGACATTTTATGTGCATGGAAGTAAGCTACTGATTAAAGAAATCAATAAGTTGAAATAGCAATTATAGCATGTTGTGAAGCTTCAGAGTATACACACAATATAGTTAATCTTTTTGCTTCTTGTTATTTTATATTTCTGCATTTTCACCACTGTTGTGAGATGCCTAGAACTTCAAGAGAATGTACTTTAAATGCTTTAAATGAATTGAAACAAGGAATGCATTTACTGGCATTAAAGCACTTGAATGAGTGAACTATGAACTGCCTTTTTGCAACCAAGTGTTTGCGTCAGTAAATCGGATAACATAAATTATTATTACTGCATACACATGTACACAATGGGAGGGCTGTAGGAAAAGGAACTAAGACAAGACAGGCTTGTGATTAAATATAGGACTCTTCTTTCATCATAACAGAAGAGTCTGCATGTTTGGTTTCTACCAGAGGTGGTATTCAGCAGGTTCTAACCAGTTCTGGAGAACCTGTAGCGGAAATTTTGAAATACCACCTCTGACTGGTCCCCTCCCCATCTATTCTCTGCCTCCCGAGTCCCAGCTGATTGGGAGGAAATGGGGATTTTATAGTATCCTTCCCCTGGAGTGGGAAGAGAATGGAGATTTTACAGTATCCTTCCCCTGCCACGCCCACCAAGCCACACCCACAGAACCGGTAGTAAAAAAATTTGAATCCCACTACTGGTTTCTGCACTTAATTTACAAACATACTAATCTTCCCAGCTGGGTTCAGAAATTAGCTGTGACCCAAAAGCAAGAAAAAATTAGGAGCATGACATCAAGATCCATGCTGAACCCAAATAAAACTAATGGAGTAAGTTACTAGTCAGTGAGATATCAAAGCTCCCCTTAGAATGTGCTAGGCTAGAATAAGCATTAGTGTGTATGTTAATGGCTATCTATCTTCTTGAAAAACTAAGTTTTCAAACCCTTTTACACTGAGCTTGATTCTTGAGCAGATGCTAAACAGTTGCAAATCCTATGCATTTACATTTACTAAAAAGTTTGCAATTGCCTCACTTTCTAGCTGAAGCTGGTATTCTCTCATTTTCTTATAGGGCTTGTCAGGAGATTTCTTTCTCCTATTCTTTCAAATAGGCTGCAGAATATTTGAGACTTGATTCTGTAACATTTTTATAATGCAATCTGGGGGGAAAATAAAAACTTTAAAGCGTTTAAAAGTTTTAAAACTGAGGACCTCATAACATTCCTTTGAAAACTGACAAACTATGCCCCGTCACCAAAGTGAGCAAAAAACAAGCTTCCCTTATGCCAAACATTCAGAAACTATATGCCCTTGCTTACTTTATCTTTTATAAACTGACATATGAATGGGTTTTTTTTTATGCAAAGGCAGCCCTGCCTGCCAAGACTCTCAGTTCATTTAAATTGGAAAATTATGGGAAACAGTTCAACAAACTAGGATATTAAGAAAGTGTTTTAATTGGGTTTAACTCACACTACAATGAACCTTAGTTCTACGCATCATAAGCAACGATTCTTGGAGATGTGCATGCATGTAAATTTTGTATCTTTTTTTTCTACAAGGAAAGCCCAGCCTTTCCTAATCTGACACTGTCCAGATATGTTGAGAGTGCAATTCCAACAATATTACCTGGAAACTCTGGAAATTGCAATTTCAACTCATCAAAAGGATGTCAGGTTGGAAAATGCTGAAGTGGTTAATTTAACTTGTTTCACTTCTTTAAAAATTACTCTGAATCTTGTATCTAAGTTGACTTCAACAAACATTACCTAATTATTGCACTTGCATCTGTGGTATGGATATAGAAATGATTGAGGAGATTCCAGTTTAATTTTCTTTTCAACTGCAAGAGTCACTTGTCTTACCCTCTTTTCAGAGTGATTGAGAGGATTAAAATAGGGATGGCAGAAGGCATCTAGATAAAGTTTCAAAATAAATAAATTGATCTTGTGATCTAAAAAAAGTACAAATAGCGTAGGGAGAGAATAAGATGGTAACTTGATATGAGACAACCCAGTCAGGCTCAAGGTTTCCAGATCTAAATACAACATGTAATCCTTCAGACTATATGAAGAAAGAGGGAAGAAAAGAACAGGATTTGTTTGAAAAGTTCCCTATGGTCATGTTATCTTAGTAACTTCATGTTGATTTTTGTAATGCTACTCAGCTTGCCTTATGAATTGTAAAAAAGATCTGAAAATGACACAGGGGAGTAAAAATTGTTAAAAGTCCTATTACTAAATATGAATTTTGCTCATTTTTAGGAAACTATTCTATTTGCATTTTTCAGGATAAAAAATTAAAACTTATTGCAATCTCCAAAAACAAATTGGTCAAGTCCTCAAAATATTCACAATATTGTGGATCTGCAGGACTTCCAGGCAAAGATTATATTGTACAATTGATCCACCTCATTTTTGGCATTTAAAGCCAAGCCTTATGTTTGCTCTTCTCTTTGTCCATCTTCTTCTTTCTTTCTGCCATGGCAGAAAAAGTAAACACAACTGCATTTTGCACCAGCTGTAACTTCCAGATATTCTTCAAGAGCCGCTGCATGTAGACCATGTTATAGTAACCCATTCTAGAGATAAATAGGGCATGTAGTTCAGGAAAATGTGCAACTGGTGTACAACTCAAAGTTATGCAAAGGTCCTCCTATCCATGTCTGCCACCTGCTCCTCAAGCAGGAATCATCAGTTTAGAAGGATTGCACCCAGATTGCACACAGACTTTGTCTGTGCCAGATCATGAAGAACTGATCCAGAAGGCCCCAAAACCAGAGCCACTCGGTTCTGTTAGGGTTCAGCTGAAACCTGTTGTTTCCCTATCCATATGTTACTATATCCATTTGTTATTATTCCCTCAGTTACTTAAAATATGTTATTAAAGACTATGGGTAACTATACTCTATTTTTTATTGGTTGTTGGCATTTAGTGGGTATTGTACATCACTTTGAAAAACTTTTGAAATTCTTGTTTCATGGGGGGAAAAAGACAATTTCACTACTGTACATAATTTAGGACTGAATCCCCCAAAACAAAATACTGTAGCTCAAGAAGTTTCCTGAAACTCAATTTATGTAATAAATGAGAAATGAAATGATCATTTTTTTAATATTTTTGTTCCCCTCCTTCAATTTCCTTATGGGAATTTGTTTCTCTAGATCGAAGAGAAACTCTCTGAATTATTGGAGCTAATGCAAAAAGTGAGGGAAATCTGGGACCTGAAGAAGGATTTGTATGAGGAAAACTGGGAGATCCAGCTATTAAAAAGGGAGCTGGACTTTGCTGAAACCTGGTTGACAGCAAAGGAGAGTTTTCTTTCAGATTCAAATTATGGGGTAAGTAAGCATAGTATAGTGAAAAATGCCAAACTCAAACCTACTGTACCACTTCTGAAACATTTTAATTATATACTTTTATTTTTTAGCTTTTCCCCAGAACACTGGGAAATTTGTTTTGAATTTCTCTTATTGCACGAAATCAGGAAGGATTTTTTTTTTATTTGATTTATATGCCGCCCTTCTCCGGAGACTCAGGGCAGTTTACAATGTGTTAAGCAATAGCCTTCATACTTTTGTATATTTATACAAAGTCAGCTTATTGCCCCCACAAACTGGGTCCTCATTTAACCTACCTTAGAAAGGATGGAAGGCTGAGTCAACCTTGAGCCTGGTGAGATTCGAACTTACAGTAATTGCAGTCAGCTGGTGTTAATCACGATGCTTTTAGTCTGCTGAGCCACCAGGCCCTTCATATTAAACATCTTTCTATCACTCTATTTTTCCCAGCTGCCATTTTGCCAAAGGATAGAGAAGTTTGTGTCTGATTTATAGTCTGCCTTTCCTTCAGGAACTCAAGTAAGCTCCCGTCATTTTGCCCTCAGCCACTCTGTAAGATTAGTGCTGAGGCAGAATGAACAACTCAAATTCAGCCAATGAGTCTTCTAAAAACAAACCCATGAGACGCAGGCTTATGGCTTTTTTAAAAAAAATTTGATTTATATGCCGCCCTTCTCCGGAGACTCAGGGCGGCTTACAATGCGTTAAGCAATAGCCTTCATACTTTTGTATATTTATACAAAGTCAGCTTATTGCCCTCACAAACTGGGTCCTCAATTTACCTACCTTAGAAAGGATGGAAGACTGAGTCAACCTTGAGCCTGGTGAGATTCGAACTTACAGTAATTGCAGACAGCTGGTGTTAATCACAATGCTTTTAGTCTGCTGAGCCACCAGGCTTAATTGTATAATACTGAAAGAATTCCATCCATAGCCACAGTGACAGCAAAGCTGACTTTCTAGGCATGCAGCAATGTTGCCATCAGGAGAGAGGAAAAACTCCCACTGATATGACGGCTGGGTGGGAATTTCTACTGAAATTGCTGCAATCACTGCATGCTGCTGAGCCAATAACTATTGCCACCCCGCCCTTCCCCTAAACAAAATTCCTTCAAAATTGAATGCTCTTATCATATAAATCAAGTAAAGACACAAATCTTGTTGCCTTCCAACATTCATATTCCAAATATAACCTCGTTAATGAAAAAATGGAAAGAGTCATCTGTGCTTCATTTGCTGGAAAGCTTCATAGCCATTCCTCACAACCAACTTGGATGTTTCTCTCTCTCTCTCTCCCTATTCTGCTCTTTTCTCTCCCCCTCCCCACCCAAAATGGCATTTCTATATTAAATAATTGCATTTATTGACTTCATTCCTAGAATTCTGTCTCTGATGTTAAACATCTGTTGAAGAAGCATCAAGACTTTGAAAAAATGCTAGAAGCCCAAGAAGAGAAGTTTGCACAGTTGAATAGAAAGACAAAGGTACTGTGTTAAACCCAAGGAAGACATTTGGTGGACAGACCGTATATAAATACCTTTCATCATCTTTCCCAAACCCAAAGCTTAAAAATACTTAAGCTTAATAATAAGGTGGCAATTCACTCAAACTTGGTTTTTATATTATGCTAGGCCTTCTTATGGTTATGTATAGATTACTATGTGCAACAATAGCCCAATGATTTTAAAAAAGAAAAGGACAGTCTTCTAACCACAGGGGTTTAAAATACAGTAATGATGGAGGAGCATCTTTAGTTGTTGTTTTTTCCCTCAGTTGTCTGGCACATGTGCACTCTGCTCTTCCTTTATAGAGCAGTGTGAAAATTACAGAGCATGACATCATCCACACTTTTCATTTCCAAGTGGATATCTATAAGGAGATGTCTGTGTAAGTAGACTGTCAGGTTCTGCAGCCTTTTCTTTACAGATTATGGCTGTCATGTGGCTGTCAGAGCCAGAAGTGCTACTTAATGGATGTATGGAGAGATCTATTGTTCCAAAGAAGTGATCTTGCTGGGGGGGGGGACCAATTTAAGACAATGGCAGTTAAGGAATGGATTGACCTCATCCTGCCCTGATTTTTTTTTTCTTCCCTTAAATCCCAGCTTTCAACATTCTTACTGGTTTTTGTTCCTTCTGTGAAATAGCTACCATGGAAGGTCACCTCAAAAAGCATCAAATCTCTTTGCCAATTTTCCAAGAGGTTTCTTCCTCTGGGAAAAGATTAATGTTTTTCTACATCGTTCTGAAAATGCTTTAAATTTCTTTGGGTTTGTTTTTAAACTGTGTTATTTTTGCAAAGTAATAGAGTACTCTAGTGTGGTTAATCTTATTCTCTCTGTAGCCTCTGTGACTTCTACTTCTCAATATTTGGCCAGCATTGTGTGATTATTATTATTAATAATAATTTTATTTCTATACCGCCCTTCTCCCGAAGGACTCAGGGCGGTGTACAGCCTGATTAAAAGCACAAAGACAGACAAAATTTAAAAATTATTAAAATTATTAAATAATTGGCTCAATTATAAAACCCCCAAATTTAAAATCCCACATTTAAAACCAATTAAAATCTTTACATTGATAGCCCGGCCTGGCGGAACAACATGGTTTTGAGGGCACAGCAAAATACACGGAGATCAGAAATTTTACGCATTTCTGGGGGCAGTTCATTCCAAAGGGCAGGGGCTCCCACAGAGAAGGCCCTCCCCCTGGGTGTCACCAGCCAACATAATTTGGCCGATGGCACCCTGAGGAGACCCTCTCTGTGGGAGCGAACTGGCCGGTGGGAGGCTACTGGTGGCAGAAGACTGTCTCGAAGGGTTCTGTTAGGATCTGTTAGGAATGTGTATTTGAGAAAAGAAGAAATAAGACTGTTTTTCTGCCTACATTGTTATATATATAATTGAAATCAGGAAAAATATAAAAATAAATTGAATGCAATGGCAAAGAATTACTTAAGAGGTGTGAGTAGGAAAAGAAGACATAAAGTCAAGAATCAATGGATAAAAAGTGAGCGTACAAGGGAGAGTGATGAGCATGAAATCACATTGCTAATACAGAAAGAATGAATGAAGATGAAGATCAAATTGGAAGGTAAATATTTGAGGAAAGAGCAAGAGAAAAGAATTGATGAGATTTTCAGTTAGAGACAAATGAGTAATTTAAAAATAAAAGACAACACATGATTCATTACCTGGTTGTAGTGGAAGTAAGGATGGTTTGCAAGGACCCAAAAGTATTAAACAGGCTTGATATAAACAGTTGTTTAATTAGATTTCTTTTCTCTTATTTCACATCTTTAATTTCGTTTACCCACTATTCTTCACTCTTTGTTTCATTTTGCATAAGTCACTCTGAAAGTGTCAGTGAAAATTGCTAGTGACTATTGGTGTACATTACAGCCAAAAAATGGCAATAGTGACAAAATAGTGATGGTAATAGTGTAGTAGTAGTAGTAGTAATAGTAGTAGTAGTAGTAGTAGTAGTAGTAGTAGTAGTAGTAGTGAATAGTGAATTAGAGGAGCTGTTACCCAGTTGTATGTTTTCTTTCACAATTGGAGCAAGGACAGGAATGAAAATTCAACATTCATACTCCATTGTGGTTTCCTAGTGGTATAGAAACTATGTGAGACATTTGTAACAAACTTATATACAGGGATGAAATCTTCCATACTCATATGCATATGTGTTCAAGGAATGAATAATTCTACATGCAGAAGCCTAAAAATCATTTGATAAAGTAGCCAGAAATTTGCAAATTTCATGTAGAACTAATGATAGATTTTCAATACAAAGCAGTCTTTTGTGTGTCCTCCCACTCATTCCAAATTATTTTTTTCCAGAGAGAATTGAAGCTACTGAAACAAATGACTATAGAAGAAAATGAGCAAATGACCACATTGATCAAAGTCCCCTCACTAAGAAGGCGACATTCAGATAAAAGAAGCACAATATTTGAGCCAAAGAAAACTCAGCAAGTATCACTTACATCCTCAATTCCCAATTTAAGAGATCCCTTCAATGTCTCTCCTTCCCAAAACTCTAAAGAGAGTTTGCACCAAATCAGTTCTGAAGAAGACTTGATGTTGATAAATGATTCTCCTGAACCAAGAGTGCTTGGCTTAGAAAATTCCATGCCAGAAACTGAGAATTCTTTATGTCCTTTATTGACCTCAGATTTGAATATCCAGCAATCTAATGTTGGATTTTTGGAGTCACACAATAGTGATTTTAATCCATCAGATGTGATAAATAGTTGTGAAACTTCTACCTCTGAGTTAGAAACTAGTGAAATGAAATCTCAGGATGGTAAAGGTTCCCCTGATGATTGCCAAAAAATTTTGCGCTCAGATTTATCATCAGAAGGATCAGAAACTACTTCCCAAGTAAGTTATTCCCTTTTGTGCTACCCTTTTGTTGACTGAACAATGATGTCATTACTTATTTTTATATAAAATAATGTTGATTCATAAGAAACATTCCAAAATGGATAATCAGGTGAGGTCTTTCTTCAAAACAGCCAAAAGTATTGCCAATTGTGAGCAAAATTTTCCAGTCTCATTCTTCTTTCATTTTTATGGGTCAGTGTCCTCCAGGATTATAGCACTGAAACTCAGCTGCAATCTATTAATGAAGCAGAAATTCCTGCCAATTTTTAGCAGAAAACCCCTTTTGATACCTATCGCCACCCACCCCGAAATTGAAGGGGAAAAAAACCCAAGGCAAAAATACTGATCTTAACACCTCAATTATGTAATTTGGTAAGTATCATATATGGCTTTCAGCCATCAAAAATGGGTTGAGGGATAATGAAAATGTTAGTCATTGCCATAAAAATGTTGCTTCATATTAAGAGAAGAGAAAGACACTCAAGCTGAAATAACCTATTTTTTACAAGGTCATCATTCTAGAATTCCTAGTAGGTATTTTAGAATTGCAAGTTTTAGGTTCATCTAGGACTGGACAAATAATGGTTGATCTCTCAATATTCAAAACTCAGTATTTACTTATATTTGATTCAAATCTTAGACAAAATAGTTTACTTTTCTTCTTTGCTTTTTCCAGAAAAGAGGATTGCGGGCTATTACCAGTCATAGGTTCCCATTCTCTCACAAAATAGATTGTTTCTTTGCCCTTTTGTGCTTGGTACCATTTTTCTGTGGCTGCATGAGATTTTGCCACATATGGAGAACTTTCTTGGCCTCACTGATTAATGTTGCATAAGTAGTTTCATTGGCTCTGATGATTGGCCTAAGGCAGTCTGTGTACCTGTTGTCAGTATATCTGATCTGTCCTACTATCCATCTATCCCAGTTTAATGATAAAATATCAGGTCTGAATAAAAAATCTTGCGAAAAAGAAGGCAACCATGCTAGATCAGATGCATTCAATTTACTGTATTTTACTTTGTCGTGGTCATGGGAAAATGAGTGGGTCAAAGGAAACTAATAAACTGGGATGTCCTGTTTGCAGAATGGCTAGTTATCTGAAATTGTTCATAGTAATTTTATGTGTTGAATATTAAAGAAAACTGCAAGCCCAAGAATAAATTAGACATTTTCTAAATTGCATATAAAACACAATAATCCTCAAAGATCCACCAGAAACATTCTAAAATCCTCATTCTTAAGCAACATTGTTTATTAGCATAGTTGTACAAAATTGTGCACGGAGATACGTATATAGCATATAGGTGCAACTTTTCAAACCAAAGACATATTTTTCTTGCCAAGAAGTGTAGCTCCTTTAAGGAACTATAGATGTTGCTTGAGGCTCTGAAGGTTTTTTTTCCATTCAAATCCAATGCTGAACAGCATAGTTATAAACATGCACACACATGCAGCAGAGAGACAAAGACATGCATATACGCATAAATTCAAAAGATCAGGATAAATGATATTTTTATCATTACAGTGTATGATAGAAAAGACAACAACTGTCATCTACTTTTCATAAAAGAAAGCACACTTCCTCTTTAAACGTACAGTTCTTAATGCTAAAAAATCTGCCATTTCTTTTTCTTCTGATTTATGGCATCTTCTAACATCATCCAGCCATCAATAAGGCAAAATATAACCTATCACCATTAGTCTCCCTTTGGCAGAAGGATGGTTAGATTAGTTGGATGATCCAATGAAACTTTATAAATCATTAGTGAGAGCAGTAATCTCCTTTGTCTCGACCTTCGAACCGCTACACCCCGCCGCAGGGAGGCGGAGCCAGTAAGATGGTTCCGCCCCAGGCACCTGATGGAACCTGACAGGTTCCAGATGGAGCTTGGGCCATTTCCTGAGGCTCTGGCACACGCCTCGACTGGAGACCTAGTGGCCGCCTGGGATAGGGCGGCCGCTGGAGCTCTGGACCGGGTCGTGCCTTTGCGGCCTCTGACCCGGCGCTGATCTCATTTAGCTCCCTGGTTCACTGAGGAGCTGAGGGAGTTGAAATGCCGGAAAAGACGCCTAGAGAATAGTTGGAGGGCCAGTCTTTCTGAATCTGACCGGACACTGGTAAGATCTCATATTAGGAATTACCTAGTGGCGATAAAAGCAGCGAAATGTAGCTATTTTGCTGCTCTTATTGCATCATCAGATAATCGCCCAGCCGCCCTGTTTAGGGTGACCCGCTCCCTGCTCCACCAGGAAGCGCGGGAGGACCCCTTGGAGGGTAGAGCCGAGGATTTTGTTCAATATCTGTATGACAAAATCACTCAGATTCGGGAAGATCTGGACTCCGACTGGGTAGTCTCAGGGGGAGGGACTGGGGCAGGTCTTGAGAATGTTATCTGGGACGAGTTTGATCCTGTGACCCCTGAGGACGTGGACAGGATTCTGGGTAGACTGAACGCAACCACTTGTTTATTGGACCCGTGTCCCTCCTGACTATTGGGGGCGAATCATTGGCCCCCACGGAGAGGGCTCGCAACTTGGGCGTCCTCCTGGACTCACGGCTGTCTTTAGAAGAGCATTTGACAGCCATGACCGGGAGGATTTTTCATCAGGTTCGCCTGATCCGCCAGTTGCATCCCTTTCTGGATCGGGACTCCTTACGCACGGTCAATCATGCCCTCGTCACCTCCTGGACTATTGCAATGCTCTCTACATGGGGCTCCCCTTGAGGAGCACACGGAGGCTCCAACTGGGTGCGCTTCAAGGTTTTGGTCACCACCTTTAGAGCCCTCCATGGCTTAGGACCTGGTTATCTACGGGACCGCCTACTACCACCAATAGCCTCCCACCGGCCAGTACGCTCTCATAGAGAGGGGCTCCTCCGGGTGCCATCAGCCAAACAATGTCGACTGGCAGCCCCTAGGGAGAGAGCCTTCTCTGTGGGGGCACCTACCATCTGGAATGAGCTCCCCCCGGAGATACGGAGGATCCCGGATCTGCACACCTTCCGCCACGCTGTGAAGACCTTTTTATTCCACCAGGCAGGCTTGGCCTAATCTTCTCCCTCTTTTTAATATGTAAATTTTAATCTGTTTTTAAATTATTGGGGTGTTTTAATTTGTCTGGGCCAAAATGGTTTAATTCGATTTTATCTGGTTTTTAAAGTTTTTGTATCTATGTATTTTATTGTTTGGCTGTTCACCGCCCTGAGTCCTTCGGGAGTAGGGCGGTATACAAATCAAATTAACTAAACTAAACTAAACTAAGTAGCCCAGTCAGAGGCCTCTAGGATATCAAATTGCTTCAGTAATTCAGTCTTCATTATTCAAATACATAAAGATTAATATTTCCAAGCCTGGAGACTTAATTATCTACTGATTTTGTATTCCCTAAATAAAATGTTTACTTAGTTCCATCTCCTCCCACTCTATCTCCCACCTGTAGATTGTGTGCATGGCATTTTTTCTCTCATATTATTGTAGAAATTTATGAATGAATTATTGTATTCAAGTTTTCATCATAACAGATTAAATTACCTGCATGGTTCTTATGCATTTCAGATTTCTGCAAACCAATACATTATGGCAGGTTTTCTAGAAAAAAGAGACCAGGTCCTTTCAAGAAGGAAAGAGGTAAATGTAAGTAGAATACCTGCATGATGTGAATGAAAAGTTAAGATAGGGCATCCCTCCCTTAATACGGCTAACAAATTGATATGTTGTAAAGATAATTGTATGGCTCCATTTATTCAATGGATAGAAGATCCAACTGCACTTGCCACATGAGCAGATACCTGCTTATGCTTATAAGTCTTTGATTTCGTAGAGACAGCCGTCTTTGTACAGACGTGAATAATGAAACATGGGACGATGTCAGCACTTCAAGCTGCATTTACTCTAGTGCTGACAGAGCACTAGAGGCTCATTTATACAAAATATAGCAGGTTTTAAAAAATGATTGTATAAATGTATTCAAAATCTACACATATTTAAATAATATTTGCATTAGATGAGTATATAGAATTGTAAATGTTTAATGTTATAATATAATATGTACTAGAAATATGTTTGGATAATATTGCATTAGGCAAGTATACATAGAATTGTAAATGTTTATTCTTATAATGAAATAAGTATAATAGGAATATATATTGAATAATATGTATGTATGTATCTATATATGTGTGTGTGTGTTTGAATATATATGAATATATATATATATACACACACACATATATGTAAATGTTTATTATAGTGAAATATATCATTTTTTCCTTTGTTATATTTATTTCCCTTTTTTGTGAAAGCACTTTTATGTGCTCTTTTTTTCTTCTCTTTGACTATGTATAATAGTATCTCCATCACTCTTATCTTCATGTCTTGTCCTTCTTTACTCTTTGTTTTGATTATTAATTAAAAAGCCAATGAAATATGATAAAAGAAAAAAGTTAAGGTGGGACATGATTAGCCTGAGATTATATTAAACTAACTGGATTTTCCTTTTTTATAAGATTTCATCTGAAAAAACTAAATGAAGGATAATTCTAGGTATAATTCAAGGATTGATGTCTTTCTTGCCATACTTTTCTCTTTCAGAAATTTTCTTTCTCCTTTTTCCCCCTTCATATTTATTCTAGCCTGTCCTGTTTCCTCTCCTTTTGGTATTCCTAACACAATACATGTATAAAGTTAGCTACAATGCCAAAATGCTACTTCATTAACTTAGTTTTGTTGAATTGCCTGAGCCATGGTGTCACAGTGGTTAGAATGCAATATTGCAAGCTAACTCTGCCCACTGTCAGGAGTTTGATCCTGACAGGGTTCAAGGTTGACTCCTTCCAAGGTCGGTAAAATGAGGACCCAGGTTGTTGGAGGCAAGATGCTGACTCTGTAAACCATTTAGAAAGAGCTGTAAAGCAGTATGGAGTGGTATATAAGTCTAAGTGCTATTGCTCTTTCTATTTTGCACATTTATTTATTATATCACTAAAAGCAAGACTTGAAATTTACAGATCACCTTTGCTCATATTACTATTTGTCAATATATGAAAACTAAATTCTTACAAAGATCATTAACATTTAGCTTACAAAATCTGACCCCGTTTTACTACCACCAAAAGGTTTGTTTAACAAGAGAAAGAACTACCAATTATGTAAACTTTATTACATCTCAGGTGGATTTCCCTTGGCTCAAAGATCTACATGGGACCCCTCAAAACTAGTTTTACACTGTGGAGTCCCAGACAGCCCTGCCTACTTTTTTCTGAATCCCTGCTTCCTTATTATTAAGGGAATCAGGGAAACAAGACAGTCAGTTTGGTTTAGAAGTTAAGGTACAGCTGGAAACTGGGAGACCGTGAATTCTGGATTTGCCTTAGGCACGAAGCCAAATGGGTGCCTTTGTCATTCTCATTCTCAGAGTCATTCTCTCTCAGCCGTAGGAAGAAAGCAATGGCAAACCACTTAAGAAAAACCTTGCCAGGAAAAACTGCAGGACTTGCCAGATAACTATCAGGAGTCAGTGCTGAGTTGAGGATATACAAAAAAAAGTATGGCTCAAGAATTTTGTCAACAGTATTAAAGCAGCATTGTGGAGCAGGGTCATTGTAAAAGCTTTGCCCCTCACCAAGGTTAGTCTAAAGATTGTGTATATGTGGCGCCTTATACACAGAAGAAGAGGCAAGCTCTAATTACAGCAGAAGATTGACTGTGGCCTCAGGACAGAAAGAATTACTCCACCCTATATTAGATTAATGTCAGTTATTTTTTTTATTTTTTATTTTATTTATATGCTGCCCTTCTCCGGAGACTCAGGGCAGCTTACAATGTGCAAAGCAATAGCCTTCATCCTTTTTGTACATTTATACAAAGTCAGCTTATTGCCTCCACAACTGGGTCCTCAATTTACCTACCTTAGAAAGGATGGAAGGCTGAGACAACCTTGAGCCTGGTGAGATTCGAACCTGCAGTAATTGCAGGCAGCTGGTCTTAATAACAGGGTGCTTTAGACCACTGTACTACCAAGGCTACTTCCATTTCAGAGTGGAAGCAATCTACTAATGGATGAATAATTTTAAATAATGACAAGATTGATCCATGCATAGTATGGAAACAGTTGTTTTATTTTATATTATTTCAGCCAAAGACAAGGGCTTGGAACACTTTTTATGTTCAACTTCGAAGACATAAACTTGACTTCTATAATGATGAGAAGGAAGTAATTCAGGTACTTTATTTTATAATCATTTAGCTCACCATCTCTCTGAAATTCCTAACAAAAATCAAAACTGCTGACCTGTACCATCAGCAAAATACTTGATTAAAATATTTCTGGATCAAATTTGAAATACATCTATAGATTGATTGGTTGATTGTTACCATGATCCTTGGCAATGTTTATGGAACAATGCAGAAAATTATGATATTGTCATATTTTCTAGAATAATGTTTTTGAAAGTTACATTTTGAGAAAAATATTTAGGCTACAAAGTTTGCATGTCATATTTCAGGAGGCACTGTTATTTCCTTTGAAGTATTAGCAAAATTGCTAAAACTCACTTCACCTAGTAACAATGAATGAACATTCTTTTGCCAATGTGCGTAACAAATGTGGATAGATTAAAATAGACAGGCCCTGCCTCAAAAATGCCTGTTTCCCACTAAACACATTTTTATTTGAGAAGTATTGACGGAATTTTACAGTTTGAAAATCACTGCTCTAAAGGATATGGAATCAAAAGGATAGGGTAGAAAGTCTCTGCTTTTTATGTCTTGTCTTTCTCCTTTTTTTAGAAAATACCTCCAGACTTATCACTGAGCATAGCTGGAGCCAGGTGTGAGAGGCTAACGAACTATCCCAGGAAAAAATATGCTTTCAGCTTAAGGTAATCACTGTTAATTAGAATAAAATGCAGTGCTCTCATTTGGGTAAACTAAATACTGCTTAGCTTAGAATAATTTTGTAGAATTGGATGCTGCCATTTGCACCATAAGTATCAAAGTGCAAATAAAAGTACCCACAGAAGGTGAACGATATCACACTTGTCAAGATCAGAAGAGTAAAAAATTTTACTCAAGGGCAAAAGGACTTTCCTCAGTTTTCAAAGATTGAGCTACTATCATTAATCATCCTGAAGCATAAATTCCTCTATCAGCTCTGTTCACTAGATTAGAATTCATTAAACCATTATTGCATTTAACAAAATTGAGAGAGCCTTGGGTCTGAACTAAGTTATCAATTTTATTTAGGAATTACAGGACAGAATTTATCTGAAATCAGCGCATGAGAAGATTTCTTGGGGTTTGCTGAAATACAAAATCTACCACTTAAATTTGTTTTCTGGTCTGCTAATGTTAATAACATTTCTTGTAAGAAAAAGAATGGGGCTTTTGGTGGGTTTGTTTCTGTATATATTTTCTTGTGAAGATATATCAATTAATATATCAAATAAATCAATTAATTCCATCTTTAATGCATGGTTTACAGAACAAGTGATGGAGCAGAATACTACCTTGCAGCATTGTCTCAGACATTAATGGAGGATTGGATGCATGCATTATGGAATAACTTAGGTAAATTGATGTGGTCTGAGGAGTCAGGAGTATCTCAGCTTGCCCAGGAAACCCTTATGAAAGAATCAACCCTGGAGATCAATGGGGTGACAGATGTTGCCCTCATATCCTACAAAAAAATAGAGACAGAATATTGGGCAAAAGAGGAACGTTAATGCTAAATTTTCAGATTCTTCATAATCGTATTTTCATCTTTTATTCCTTTGATTTCTTATATGGATTCCTGAAGATCATAACAGTAATCAGAAGGAGGTTTTAATCGATGCAAATGTGGTGAAACCTCAGATAAAACCTTGGATTTCTGCAGCTGGAACTTCTACTCATAAACAGACTAGCAAAGGTTTCCTTCTGAGGTAGGCATGGGTTTCTGTTCACCTGATTATATTTGATTCAATATATTAAGTTTGTATCTTTCAAAAAAAAATCCAGATAAATTATTGCTAGTTTTTTTCAATGTGCTCAACAACATTAGAATATCAAGCATCATAGAGAGCCTTGAACTTTGAGGATAGTATTTGTGTTTACAGCACTAAAAGAATAGAAATTGTTCCATCTAGTTCTGCTTTGTTGAATAGACAAAGTAGAGATTTCAGTTTAAGAAAGGAAGAAACAAAAAAAGATGAAAAGCTGCTATATTTTTATTTCCTTATGGTTTTGCTATGTGGTTGAGCACATTTTTATTTCTTGATGTTAGCTACCATGAAAATACTTATAGTTTAAGATAAAATCAATAATACTGTATTTATGTATTTTAAATTTAAACCCTTATCTACAGATTCAATAAAGAAAAACTAACTGCTGTCCAGACTTGCATTTGTGAGATGGGTGGCCATATAAATCAATTTTATTTAATGAATTAATTCTCTTAATCCTGCTTGGCAACAGGAAAACTCCTTCCTTCAAAGCTAATCGAGAAAAAAGGCTTGCTGGAAGTTCTGTTAAATCAGAAACATTGACGCAAAATTTCAAAACCCCTGCTCCGAATTCAGAAGATCCTGGTAATAGCAGAATCTTTTTCTTAAGATATATTTAATAAAATAATATAGAATGTCATATAGAAGTTGCTCAAAGTTTGATAAAACAGAAACATCATGCTGTGTTTAGGATTTTTTTAAAAAAATTACTACAATCGTTTGATGACAATTCAGTTTTCTTTTGTCACGGATTATTATAACATAGAGGGCATTTATATCGGTTTAGAATGGAAGCTCATAATTTTCTCTGTGATGTATGCATAGTTTTGAGTTCAAGATCAGAACAGGTCATTTATGGCTTGCTTAAAAGGTTAAAAGATTTGGCTTTTTATTTTTAATTCTCATCATTTCCCCTATTATAAAATATTTAATGAAAATGAGGAGTTATAGATGTTAATCTATTATGAGATTTAGTTATGCAGTACATGTGATAGTAAAAAAATAGTGAAATTTTATCTATTAGTTAATCAATGAGCCTTGGTGGCGGAGTGGTTAGAGTGCAGTACTGCAGGCTACTTCTGCTGACTGCTGGCTGCCTGCAATTTGGCAGAACGAATCTCACCAGGCTGAAGGTTGACTCAGCCTTCCATCCTTCTGAGGTGGGTAAAATGAGGACCCAGATTGTTGGGGGCAATATGCTGACTCTGTAAACCGCTTAGAGAGTGCTGTAAAGCACTGTGAAGTGGAATATAAGTGCTATTGCTGTTGTTATTAAACTTATTTTAAAAGGGGAATGTGATTAGCACGTGACATACTGTAGATCAGGCCATCATAGCTAGTGTTCAATCATGTGAATGCAAGTCAGACCAGCTGTATGACTCGCTAAATGTTTGATGATTGTCCTAATTTTGCATTTTCAAATAACAGCAAAATGATGATAGAAGAATAGAACCGTTCTTTAGGCCTCACTTATCTTGCTTTCATGGCAACAGCATTATTTAATTCAAATACTTTATTCTTAGTTTGTAACTTTAAGTGAACAGTACAAATTCAGAAACATTTTAACATTTTAAGATTTGAGAAACAATTTTTAAGAAGATGTTGGATTACCATTTGTCTGAAGTGGTGTAGGGTTTCCTGCCTGGGCAGGGGGTTGGACTAGAAGACCTCCAAGGTCCCTTCCAACTCTGTTATTCTATTCTTTTCTATTCTATTCTATTCATCTATTCTATTCTATTCTATTCTATTCTATTCTATTCTATTCTATTCTATTTCTGCTAACTGGTTTTTATTCTGCACAGAGTTATGTTATAGGGGAGGTGGGTAGCATAAAAGTGTAATAAATAAATAGAGTAAATAAAAAACAGCAGGACTATAAACTGACAATTCTGAGCTAGATAAGGTGCTTAGATTTGCTATAAAGCAGTTTCTTTTCTTTTCTTTTTTTTTATTTGATTTATATGCCGCCCTTCTCCGGAGACTCAGTGCGGCTTACAATGTGCTCAGCAATAGCCTTCATCCTTTTGTATATTTATACAAAGTCAGCTTATTGCCCCCACACCTGGGTCCTCAATTTACCTACCTTAGAAAGGATGGAAGGCTGAGTCAGCCTTGAGCCTTGGCGAGATTCGAACCTGCAGTAATTGCAGGCAGCTGGTCTTAATAACCAGCTTAATAACAGGGTGCCTTAGACCACTGTACTACCAAGGCTCTTTAAAGCTCTGTTTACAAAAAGTGAATATACTAGCTTTCTTTTTTTCCCTTCTTTCTTTTTCTTTCTTTCTTTCTTTCTTTCTTTCTTTCTTTCTTTCTTTCTTTCTTTTCATTTATATAGCTGCCCATCTTAAAAAAACTTTGGGTAGCTTACCACCAATAACTTAAGGCTTACGATCCATTGATGCAAAATATACTTTCTACCACTCAGCTACAGACATATGACTCAGCAGAAAAGTCATGAAAGGGTAGGATTCAATTGGCAGCAGTTTTTAATTGAATGGTTTGCCATACAGGTATTGTAAAATATCTGTTTTATTTTTTTTATATACAATTTCTATTGCCTTCTGTTTCCATAGAGTCTTTCTCATCCAATGCTAATCATTTTTTTTTTCCAGGCAGCAGAACTGAGCCCATGGTGAACACAACGAAGTGTGTAGACAATCTTGATGCTGCAGAGAGATCTAGAATAGAGACAGATCTCAAGAAACAGAAAGGGATCTTTAAATATCTTTTCAGGAAGAAATAGAAGCAATACAGTTTGCTTGAATTTCCTAAAGATGCTAGGTTCTTCAGTTCTTTTCATCCTATCACCTTTACGATTAATTTAAGAGGTACGGCTGAAAGAGAAATCTGGACACTATCTATTGAATAGGCATCCTACACAAAATGTACATTTATATCCCTTCAATATTTCTGCCAAAAACAATTGTCACTTAAATTGTGTAATGCCAGGAATTTATAATTGTATGCATTTGAAAGCCATGAAAGTTTGGTGTTAATATTGGACAACCATGAGTATATGCTGTCGTCATCATCATCATTATCATTATTTAGCATGAACATGAGGAGACAAAGCTTTATCCTGATGTCCCATTTTACCCATTAAAGATATGAAGTGGTCTCCATGAATACAAGAACTTCTGGGGTCAAATATTAGCCATATCACCCTCCTTAACATCCATAGGAGTTTGAAGAGGGAAAAGTGAGAAGTAGTACTTCCATTTAATGAAAAACCTTAGTTGTATGGGGAGGAGGGGAATGCACTGCAGATATCTCTCAGCAAATACTTCTTCTATGCAGATATGAGGGCTAGAGAAGTGTCATAACCTTTCCAGGCCAGCTTCTAGTATTGGGGAGCTCCTAATTACTGGTTTTTAAAAGGATACATCTATCGTCATTAGGTAAAGTTAATTAAATCTATAGCAAGTAATAAAACCAATTGTGCCTCTCATTTTGTCTACATTTAAAAAAACAATACTTAAAAAATTGAAGTCAGTGACACATTAGCACAGGGCTATCAAACTCACAGCCCGTGGGCCGGATGCGTCACAAGCTGGCCATGCCCATACCTGGTTTAATAGAGGGGGGAAAGTCCCAATACGTCATGTGACACCACTGTGACGATATGAGTTTGACACCACTGCACTAGCACAAGAAATAAATTAGTATATATTTTCAAAGTTTGAAAATTGTTTTCTAAAGAAAAAATATAGTATAGAAACCAGATTTCATTCAGGTCTTTCCTTAAATTAATAAACATGTTTCTGCATTTCTCATATAAATCCAGTCACACACAAGTTTTGTGTATTTGTAAACAAGTATTTGTTTTATTATGAAATAGTGTACTGTATGTAGCACTGTATACTGTTACATACATTTTTAAAGTTTTTTTTCACAGTAATAGGGTACAGAAGTCTCTGGTAAGGAGAATTTTTGAAAAATAGTAGTATTTTCTCAGATTAATCTTAAAAGATTTATGTTTTTCATTCTACAATGGATAAATGGGTAAATCTTTTTCAAAAAAAAGTTTAACAACATGTGTCATGGGAGAGGGTTCAATAAATTAAATCACCAAAAATAGCAAACCAATAGCTGTCGGGCAATAGCTACCAAGAGTTAAACTCCCATAGCTGAAGTCAGAATTTGATTCAATATCTGTTGAGTTACACCAATGTGGTTTTAGAATTTCAAACATATTAATACCAATGCCTCTAATTTTATTAAACTTCTGAGTTTTAATTCAAAAATCAGTCATATGGAATTTACTAAACTTATTTCCAGGTAGATTTCCATTTAAATAATAAAATAATTTTCATATTGAACTGCTATCATTTACATGTGAAATGTGTCAGTCCTTTTAAAATAACAAAGAATAACTCTCATTTTACAAAGTAAATATTTATCCTTGTTTATATACTGCAACTATTTACAGCTGATACAGAACAAAGTCAAGTTAGTTCATGCTTTTCTGCAAGTGTTAAAATCCAACCACATCTCATCATATCCAATACAGTGATAGAGAATAAGTTCTCTTACAATGTTATAAAGAAACATAATTATGGTTCAATTATTTCAGAAAACAGTATGTCATCAATTTCAGTCAACACCATCTCTAAAATCACTTCTAACAGTAAATGTTGGATAACACTAATAGGTAATATTTGAATGTATGTCTTTTATTAATCTCACCTTTATAAGAAAATTGAAGAAATAATAGAATTAGAAGTACTAAGAGAACAAAACTGATCAAATTATAGCTTGATTGTACAGGCACACAAACTAGAGTTTACCTGATGCAACATGGCTATTTCAAATAAATTAGGAGTTTAAAAGCCATTGGGCTTCGGGTATAGTGACCCTCATCTAGAGAACAGATTTCTTGATGTTTTGCCAACAACTGTGTCTTCACAGTTGCATCTGTGTCTTCACGTTGCATCTTCAGAGGCAACGTGATCTCTCACCATCTCTTAGCTCTTACCAACCTGCCCCAATTGGAAACCTGTTCTGCTAAAGGCCAAATAGTCAGGATGCCTGACTATAAAGTTAGGATCCCTGTCAGTCCTTGCTCAGTGGCCTGTGCTTCTGCTTAGCTGACCCCTTTGCCTCTGAAGGCAGAGCTGCTGTTTAACATAGAACATCTGTTTTATAGACCACGATCACAAAACTCTGAAGCCCATCACTGCCCAACAAATACCAGCTGTGAAAGCTTACAGCAGTATATTTAGTTTTAAATCCACTTGCTAAATCAAGAGTGAGAATTATCCAAGCATCCAACAAACTACAGCATATTGAAAACCAATTAATATTGCTTCAAACAATGCATCATGTTACATATTGGATTTCTTCTCTTTAAAGAGACAAATAATTATTGTTTATCATTTCTGGACCCACCATGCCGTTTTTTCTGCAAAGCGCTTTGAATGGTTTGGAAGATAATGTCTTTGCTATAAAGAATATTGTAGCTGCATAAATGTATTAGTTTGTCAAGGTTTTCTTCAGTATAGTTTATATCAAGGGTCTGATAGGGTGAGACTTCTTCTTCCAGATTGACTTTACCTTCTTGCATTTCGGAAGGAGTGCGTTTGACCCCTGAAAGGTTAAAAAAGTGAGTGAGTGAACCTTATTTGAAGCAAAACAATGCCCTGTAGGTAAAGATTTAAAACATTTGATACTTAGAAGCAAAATAAATTATTTATATCAACTTATCTATTTTGTGCCCTCGTTTTCTGGAGCTGATATAGCAATGGTATATTGATAGGCATTCTCCATTTTCCTGAACAGTGGAAGTTAAAATTATCTACTATAGAGAAAGCACTTCCGTTCTGGAATATTACTGCAATATGTCAGTAAAACTCCAGGTAGAAATCCCAACAGTCAAGCAGGTTTCTCTGGAAACCCTCTTTTTCCAATCAAGAGGAAAAAGGAGCAACATTTTCTGTCAACATTTTAAAAAATCTGCCATATCCCAGAATATAAAATATTGCTCTGAACCCTTGCCCTGACTGATGTACACTATCTTGCTGGTGAAATTAACAGCATGGAAAAAATTCTTTTTTTTAACTATTAGTGCCTGTGAAAGAAATAATTTCAATCAATAGTTACCATGGGTAGCCTTTTGAGTATTTAAAGAATAGTTTTTTAACAGCCACACATAGTTTGCAGGGCTAAGAAATGCTTTCCAATCTTGGTGGCAATATTATGGGAAATCCATATTTTTTTTTAATGCAAATTGAAAAGCTACTTCAGAGTGTACTTGAAATTAGGTATTATTACAGCTATGCCAATTGTTTCTTGCATGACCTGAAACTGAGAAATCCTAAAAGGGCTTGAGGAATTATTAAGCAACATGTCCTTTTCTCCTGTACTTGCACATCTGTTTCAGTCTGAACCCATGCCAGAGAAATAAAACTTGAAATGCCAAGGGTGAGGGTGGAGGTTGAAACTCTTATGATTCAAAGCTTTTGCATATTACAATATGAAAATGTTTGCAAGGAATCTATACTATGTGGTTTTAAGAGTAATCTTGGAAATGATACATGTAATCCTTACAATCACAATTGAGCCCAAAATTTATGTTGCTAAGTGAAACATTTGTTAAGTGAATTTATCCCATTTTATGACTTTTTCTTGCCACAGTTGTTAAGTGAATCAATGGATTTGTTAAGTGAGTAACCCAGTTGTTAAATCATTGCATGTATCTGTCCCAGGGGCCGTAGTTTGAGGACCCCTGATTTAGTGCAATATAAAAAATGCAAATAATTTTTCTGCAGAGCACCAAAATTTTCTCACGGACCACCAGTGGTCTATGGACCACCAGTTGGTAACCGCTGCTCTAGAGGGCCAATACCAATCTGGGTTGCTGAGTATATTTCAGGTGCAGATTTAAAAGCAAGAACTACCTAAGCTATTTTTAAATAGAATAATTCAATAGTGTCTTCCTCTAGTTCAGTGTTTTTTTTAAGATGTGTGGACTTAAGACGTGTGAACATGCTGGCTGGGGAATTCTGGGAATTGAATTCCACACATCTTAAATTTGCCATGTTTACTTGATTAATATTCAGAAAACAGAACAATGTCTGTGTATGCATACATAATTAATGATCACAATTTGAAAATGTGTGTGTATTTGCACAATTTGAAAAGTGTAGTTTTCTTTAAACCTTGGGAAATGCCACTGCAGAAGGGATTTCGGTCAACATGTGAATTAAAGAAATCACTGAAGAAACAGTAAATGCTTAAATCAGCTGAATTTACCTGGTGCTGAGTATTCTTGGAAGGTGTGACAGACCAGTGGAAAACAAATTACTATTGGTGCTTTGGGATTATCTTCATCTGAGAAAACGTAGCACTCCTTCATATTCTTTCGCTCTTTCTCACTCGTATGAACCTTTGGAAAGGGAATGCCTTGGATTTCACAGTATTCAGCCATCATCTTCATTTGCTAAAGAAGAGACCAAAAGAGAAAAATCTTCCCAAATATATTCATTTTGCTTCCCATATGTAAATCAGAAACTTCCCTACCGAAGAATCTGTAATTGTCTATGATAAGCAGTGTAGAAGATTCAGTGCTCACCCTTAAGATTCCAGTCATCCCATAATCCAGAAGAATAATTATATCCACATTCCTTTCTGGCTTGAGAAGTGATATACCACTGTTGTTCATAAAATATCCTACATCTATTAAACAGAGGGATTTTGTGTTTGGTGTCAACTTGTTAGAAGAAGTGTCAAATATAGTATCTGAAAGACAATTGATACACTTTTTTTTCAACCAACGTGAGATAACTCCAGACAGTCTTTCACCAACAAAACCCTGTGCTGCCTCACATTGTCTTAGAAAGGAAACAATGATAAGAGATATGATTGAGATGTTCAGAATTATATATGGTGTGAATAAAGGAGAAACTTAATGAAGAAATCTCTGAAAACAGACTATTCTGAAAATATAATAGTGGGAACAACTCCCATTTGCTCCAAATGTGTAATGAACAAGAATTGTTTTGTGGCTCATTGGCCATTGGGAATGTAAAAATGGGAAACCATTCCAGAACTAAATGAAGGCCAAATTCAATCTTCTACAAGGTCATTTCCCAAAAAAGAAACAAAATAAGCTTAGTGTGTTTCAATAAATATTCCCAGGAGCAAAATAAATATTTGTGATACTTCTTTTCCTCTAGAGAAAGTTGTCTTCCCTATAGTGCTATTTCAGGAAGAATAATTGCATGTCACCTACCTCCAAAACACACTTATTATTATACCTCTTTTGTAATACATGAAAATATACTCTCATCTAGTTTATCTTCTTGCTAGTCATCTCTCTTTCATTTGTAAGATCTAGATCAAAGATCTCCTTTTAAGGAATAGATATCATAGGACTATATAACTATCACTTTTGTACCTCCATAGTTATGAAACTGAGATATTTCTGAACTGATTCAATTCTGAACATTTACAGTGTTTCTAGAAATTATCATTCTCATTTACCACTCCATTTCATGAATTCTTTCTGATCCAGATAATCTTTATCAAAATCAAAGCTTTGTAGGAAGTTATAATTTTCCCCCCTTAAAGGACGATCAGTTAAAATGTCATTGAAGATTTCACAAAGTTTTCCACAGGGATAACTTGGAGGCTTGTAGACCGTAGCAGGATAAGGACTTGAAGAATAATTCTTATCTGAAACAAAATATAGAGATACTTCATGTATGGCACTTTTACTTTTATTTTCAAAATATAACACTTCTGGATTAGTGAGGCTTTTTTTAATGTAGCACATTCCATTGAAAATAGTGCATCAAAAAGGAATATGCCCTGCAAACACAGACACAAATCTGAGTCACAGGAGCTTAAAAATGAGCTCCCCTCCTATCACAGGCTCAGCCTGCTAATTAGCTTTTTCTCCAGCACTGATTCCAGGTGGAACTTTTATATGTATTACCCACATATGAGCAGGAGAGTAGGCAATAAATCAAAGTTGTGCATAAGAAAATACTAAACAAACAGCTCATTATTATAATTCCACAAGTACACCACCATCACTCATCCACTGTCAAGCCCTAAAGAATAGCCACATAAGTACAATTTTCTTCAAAGGTGTCATTGTTTATAACTGTAATTTTGGGCTAAGAGGCAACAGTTTCACTGCTGGTTATGAGCAGGCACGGAGAAATTTCATGTATCTACTGAGGAGAAATTTAAGAAATATATGACAGAATAAAAAAGGATTCATATATTTACATTTCTTTTTCATTGTTATTATATGCACCTATTGCAAAGATTACAATGATCTATATCCAATACATAACCCAGAAATGTCATTTTCCTTAAACATCAAAATATTCATAAATCAGAACAAGTCCCTATTTTCTTGACTAACTATAATTTTTGAATAATAGGTTATAATAGCTGCAATTGTCCCATAATTAGTTCCTATCTGATTGAGTAGGTGACCAGAAAAAGAAGGGATAGAATGTCTCTCTCTTTTATTTTACTTTGCAAAAATTATTTTAAAACTCTGACAATGCAAAGACTAAAATAGTATTGAAATTCTTACGCTTTATTGACATGTCTTTCACCCATCGTTCCCAGAATTCTTTTGGTGTTGTAGCCCAGTACAAACAATCGAGGAGATTTGGACTGAAGATGTTAGTCCAGATACCTACAAGACCAACCACATTGAAGACGTTACATGAACTCAAATTATAGTCCATCTCAACTGTATCAAAGGATATAGGGTCATTAGACTGAGAAACTGTGATAAATATTTATTACTGCCAGCTAATTAAATACTATAGACACAATTTAGCATCACAGTATTAACAAAACCATTATGGCTGATAAGAGATTCTGTTGATAGTGTCATATCCACTGTTAACACAGTAACAAAGCACAGGTATTGAGTTTAGATGACACACTATAGCCAAATAAATAAACAAAGCATATTATGCTTTAAAATGATCGCAGATTATGCTAGGACAATGGCTTGGTCCCCTAATCAGGCTGAATACAAATCACCCAACCTCATTTTAATCTAAACTATTATGCTATACAAACCCAGCCATTATGACAAGAATAAAAATAGGAGAAGGTATTACAACACAGCTGGATAACCTGAAGGAAATCCTAACAGGAGTCAAAAGCCAGTGATATCAAAACCAAAGCTACCACCTTTTTTGCTAGATGTTTATCCAATCATCTTAAATTTGCACAATGTATTGAGCTAAATTATGATTGGCTGGTTTAGGTTCAGGGTGTGTGAGGTGAACACAGTTTCTCTATTTTTCACCCACCTTTTCCATTCATACCTCCAGTTAGATTCAGAGCATCGTGCTGTTACGATACATGTTCCATCCTTTGGTATTTGCAGTGTGATTAAATACAGATATGCCTCAAAGTTGCTGTTTGCTGCACAACACTGCTTCCATCATTTTTTTTCATTGAGAAAAATGGGAAGTCTCAGCAGATTACCTATGCAAGTATCCATACATCCCCACCTATCTTTCTTTCTATGGCTACCTCTCTCTCCATACAATTGTCCCTCTTTGGCCCTGCCTCCAAGCAGTCAGTTTCTTGAAGCCCAATGTTTGTAAGGAAAGCAGGGATAGAACCTGAAGGCCATATGAGGGGATTTATCAGTTGAAGATTCCCTCATCTCTAATTGCCTATTTGGACACAATGCTCTCTGGACTTTCAAATGGTGAAATGGTTGCCAGAAAGGGCCTCAGGCATAAAAAAAATTAGTCCAAATCCTGGCTGCTGAAAGCAGAAGAACTAAAATCCGAATGCAAATTAGCACAGGATGCATTTCTGAATCCCTGTTGTAGAAAATGACTTTGGTCTAATGGCTGACTCTCATAGTCTTCCTCCACTTGGTACTTTCTGGTAACTAGCAATTTCCTGGTTGGAAATTAAGGAAATTGTGATCCACCATATCTGAAGGATATTCACTTTGGGAACGTTGCAATGTTCAGTATTTTCATCTGGTATGTGTTTACAATAACGGTGCAAGACTCCACCAAAACTCTGTAAAAAAAAGTAGTCTGAAGGAGAATGAGGGCCCTAAATCATCCAGCAAGCTCCTATAGAACCTGAATGCCTCTGGTCCTAATCCTAATCCAATACCTTAAGCACTACATCATATAGGCTCTCATGGAGGGATGTGCCTATATGCACTCCAGTGCTCCAAACTAAAATGTTATACATTTTATCATTCATTTATTTATAGTAGTGGAACCCTGCACTGAATAGGGAGTTGGCCAAGGCAGACTAAATTTCTTCCAATGCTGTGATGCAACTCATGAAAGCAACTTCTTGGTGACAAAGGGAGCAGGAAGAAACTTTCATGAAATGCACCTTTAGTTTAAAATAAAAGCATTTTTATTATTATTATTATTATTTATTGAATTTCTATACCGCCCTACTCCCGAAGGACTCAGGGCGGTGTACAGCCATGAAATAAAACACATAAATATACAAAATTTAAAATCGAATAAAATAAATTAAATAAATTTGGCTGAATTTAAAGGAATCCCAGTTTTGGTTAAGTTGCAATTGTTGTGTTTTCTATGTAATGCCCTACATATGTCAATGTTCAATGCTGAGATTAAACAAAATATAACACAAACAGTGAAAGGTACATTGATCAGTATGAGTCTTTTACAGATTCATAATCTTACATGTTGTGTATGTGTGTGTGTGTGATATATCATTTTAGCCATTGTCTATCCACTGCAGGATGAAGGCCTCTCCTCTTCCACATGATTTTAACTTTAACTTTTTTTTAATATTTTAACTGCCGCAATGGAGCTCTGATCGCTTTGGAGTAAAAGTCTAGAAGTCTAAGACTACCCAGGAAGACAGGATCTTTCCAAGGTTTCACTGAGAAGCTCTGCTGTATTTTCCTTTAGCTTATAATTAAACAGATCACCTTCCATATAGCAAATCCGGGACTCTGGGATCTTCTTTACCATTCTTCCCATGAAGAATTCGCTATCAAACTCCTCTGAGCGAATCTGTGCACCATATTTTAGGAAACCCACTTCGTAAGGATTGAACTCCACCCATTCTGCAACAAAGGGGTGCACAAAAGAGTGAAAGACAGCTTGGTTGGCTACTGATCCAAAAATGAAATCGGAAGGAAGGAAGGAAGGAAGGAAGGAAGGAAGGAAGGAAGGGAGGGAGGGAGGGAGGGAGGGAAAGAAAAAAAGACAGACAGACAGACAGATAGACAGACCTCCAGGGAGATTTCTTGTAGAAAAAATAGCATCAGACAAACAACCATCTTGTCCCAATTACCTTTATCAATTTTGTGACATCTTCCACAAATCTAAGTGCAAAACATGACAAACTAGAAGTTTGTATTTAATGAACTACTTGCATCACTATGTTTATAACATAGAGAACAATGAAAAGCTGTTTAATGGAATAATTTATAACCATTTAAATAGTTATACAAATCTAACGCATAACTTTTTAGAAGAAATTACTAGAACTATCTATAATCCCTGGCCAATAAAAGATAATGTCATTTCTTCTTATTTAGATGTAGATTTGAATCACTAGCTTTCAACATATTATATTTTGGAGGTTAGATGTGGATGCTAAAAAAAAAAAGAAAAATGCCTAGTTGCTCAGCAAAAACAGAAGCCTATCCTTTCAAGCAAATATTGATGTAGAGGAGAACATTTTTCATTATCCTAAATAATAATGCAAGCAGAGATAATTTAGATCAGGACAGGAAACTGGTACCTTGCTGGATGTTTTGGGCTTCACCTCTTATCAGTGCAAATTGTGCATATCTAACCTATCAATAGCTTAAATATTACAGTACTATATTTTTCTCTTTGATTTTCTGCGTGATCTTTCTGCCTTGGTGAAATTGGGTGAAAATGAGTATAATGCAACCTTCCCTATATAATCCATGTAGAAGTACTGTACTCTGAGATTCATGATAAATAGGAAGTACTCGTTATATTAAATTCAAGGTCAACATTTCATGCTCTTCCCTTTTTCTCCTCTCTTCCAATGCCTAGAGCATGCGATCAAAGCCCACGTTTCCACCGTGGAGAGACTGATATGTGGGTACCCACCTCTAAAGTCAAAAGTGTTGATATTTTCTTCTTTGACATTGATGGCTGCGTAAATAGGAAAAGGGTTTTGCCCCTGATTCAAAGCTTGTTGCTGGTCTGAGAGCTTACAGGGATTTGCCTTCAATCAAAGGGAAACAAAATAAATATTTTAATATATGTATCATTCAATAGAAGAGAATACATGTAGCTCAGGGTTAAACTGGGAAATCCTTGGTATTCTCTGAGCTTGCTTGCTTTTTTTGCAGATGTTTCATTACCCAAGTAGATAACATCATCAGCGTTCGGAAGTGTGAGGCAACCCACACTCACCAACACAGATGATGTTACATGATGTAACATTGCTGCTTCAATAGGAGAAACTAGGGATCACATCTTTGCTGCATAACAAATAATTAACATACTTCATTGTGGAGAAAAGCTTCCTGAATAAGGGCCCAGAGTGCTGTAAAAGATGAAAGATGACCAGCTTTTATCCGCTTAGTTAGCTCCTTGTGAAACTGCTTCAATCTCTCAGTAGAAATAATATTATTTTTGTTCTTCAGCAACTGCCTTTTTATATTATTGATGTGCTCTTCAAAACTTTGATGTGACCAGTCAATATGATGATACAAATTTGTCAGCGTCCTGCAGTAGTGAGAAAAATTATATTTAATAAAATGGAAATTTCTCCACTATTATATATTCATAGTATATTTGCAAGCATTTTAGAAACTGTTCTTATAAAGTCATCATTCTGATGTTGGTATCTAGTTTTCAAGTGGAATTGCCCAAAGAATGAAATCCTGATGGTTTTAATTAACTCTTTGGACATATATTTTGAAATAGAAAAATTTACTCTTGTCCTTTATTAAATGCTGACATATACTGCACATGGACAATTCAATTCTAGTAATAATGATAGTGATCCTTAACCCAAATTTGAAGTTCACCTTTTTTTCTGGCTAAAAGATATGGTTATTCACCTTGATTCTCAACTTTTAGTCCAGCCTCCAATGATATTGTTAAATCATTTTACACTCAGAATTGGGGTGGTGGAACATTTCTGCTCCAACAGGGAATCCCTTCTGCTCTTTCTGCTCAGTAGAACACTGACTTTCATAGTCCTACTCTAATGAAGGAGTAGAGAGAGTGAAGTCCCAAAACCACTCATCAATGAAAAGCAGGGTGAATGATGTATTTTTCTAATTGTGTTCATTTCCATGGACATAATTTTCTCAGCCTTGAGCCCAATATAATTGGAATTCTAATTAAATGTAACACATTCCCCTTAGTTTTTACCATGTTGATCCAGAAGCACTGGTGATATATGTAATGCAATCCAAAAGGTTCAGCTTCTGGAAGGCTGAGAGTTGAGCATACAAGGATGACATGGCTCTGATACCACCTCCAGTTGCCAAAAGACCAATCACTGGGACCTGTTAGAAATATAAGCAATCACTTCATTAATAATATAAACAGTGACTTTGGCCATAGAACAATCATAGACTCTAGAAGATAACATTCCAACCCCAAATTATCTTTTAATAGACCAAATTGACAGTTCCAGTTTGCAGTGGAGAAAATAGCAGCTTAACCGTCTCCAGAGGGAAACAATGACATAGTTTTTTTTCGCCTCCAGATTTGGGGGGGGGATTTTTTTTCCTTCTAGATTTAAAGAGGAAACTTGAAATCAACGTATGTCCTTCATGCTATCACTCATCAAGAATAAGTCGTGGAAACAGAGTTTTTTCCCGATTGGCTAGTGAGTTGAACAACAGATAGGTGAGTTCAAGTGAGTTCACAGCTGAGTCACAGCCTAAATTTATGGACAGTAAAACTGACATCCCTTATTCTAATTTTTGGATTATAATTCCTTTTTCAGTTAAAGAGATATTTTGTTTAGATATGGGTGTTTCTCTTTGGTGATTGTCATTATTTCTGGGACTATAATATTTAGAAATGTCTGAGAACTTGATTGATTTTTGCTTGCCTTACAAAAACTAAACTAAAAAGATTAAAATAAAATAAAATATTTTTTATTTATTTAAAATAGAAAAAGGAACTTTTCTTTGTGAAAGCGTGAATAGAAAAAACTCTTCTGTAGGAAAGCTGTCTTGTTTATATATCAGTTGTAAAAGAAAACCTTAAAGGTCTATTACTAGAGCACAAGATGGCTACTTTAAAAGAAGTATTTGATTTATGGAATGTGAAGTGAACTTTTTACTGGAACCACAAGTTACAATTGAAGATTAACAAATCCTTCTGGAAACCGTTGATTACAAACACAATTAGATGTTCAAACATTGAAAAAGACATTGTGGATTACCCTTTCAAATTGAGATATAAGAAATTTATTGGAGTTACTTCATGGAAATTGCAAGTGGACTTGAAAAATGATAAAAATTTCAATACAAGAAAAAAATATTCTAAAAAAAACAGGAGTCAGAATTTTATTTATGGGATTTAAGAAAGGTAGTAAGAAAGGAAAAAATATATAATTGGTTAATTTGACTACCTGGCTAAATAATGAGGTCTTATTTTTGATGATGTTGAATGGTTATATGGATTGGATAATGTTTTTTTTAGAAATAACTAATGGGGTAGCAGATGAGTTTTTGACATCTATATAAGGAGAAATTATTTTTGATAAAGTTACATTAATTTCTTTTTTATATTATTTAATTGTTAAAGAGAGGCATGAGGGGAGCATAGAGTAAATGGACAAGAGAGTTATATATTTATGTCATTAGATATTTTTGCTAATTTTGATCTTGGCTAAGTAAAAAGAAGAGCGGGAACTTTAGGTGTGTGTTTAAAAGATTTATAAAGTTTTGGCTTCTAAGTAAGCAGATGGACAAGTCTCTCCAATTTTCTTGAGAAGGTTTTTCAGAAGTGGTTTGCAATTGCCTCTTTCCTAAGGCTGAGAGAGAGAGACTGGCCCAAAGTCATCCAGCTGGCTTTGTGTCTAACACGGGCCCAGAAAGAATACCTTCTGACTCTGAGTTTCTAATTTGGTGCCTTAAACACTACACCAAATTGGTTCTCTTTATAGGATTTACATCTACATCAGCTTATATGTAGGATCAAGCTATATACAAACAGAAGCTTAGCTTATGGTGCAAATCCAAAATGGATATCCAGAAACCAGATTTTGTAACTTTCTATGAATTTACGTAACAAGGCTGATTTCTAGAAATCCAATATGGCTTCCATTTTGTGTCCAGACAATCTCTGTTAGAATCATACACATGGCAGCTCCTGAACTTACATTTTCAATCTAATGTATTGTGCAGGCACCATTATGCTTGTCCATAGATGGTAATTAATCATTTAACATGCAAAAAATTACAAGAAGTCCACATACCTCATCCTCTTGTAACTTCTCTCCTAGATTAAAAAGCTTATACAGGGCATCTGCAACAACCTTTTTCCTCTTGCGCAGAAAATCCTGCTCACCAGGACAAAGTTCATAACCCAAGCGCACATCAAGATTCTGTGACCTGGGACACCGAAACAGCCATATCACTGCTAAGCATAGACAGTTGTCCAATCATTTCAACAATAATGCAGTGAGCTGAATATCAATTCACAATTTACAGCCCTTTACCAGATATGGTTTCAGATCTCTATGGAAATCAAAATCAGCCCCATGCCAATCAATTGAGGATTGCTGGATGCTCTTCATTGCACTAAGCCTTGATTTCCTCCTGCTTCAATTGAACTGTTTTATGCAAAGGGAGCACCTCGGGAGAAAGTCCAGCCTTAGAGCATTGAAGAATGACCAGCAATACCACCAATTCATTCATTAATCCAGCTGGCTTCCCATGTAAATCTGAATTTATATCTGAAGCCTATAGTAGATTAGACTACAATTAGAAAAACCAAGTTCTCATTTAAGGAGTATTGAAATAGAGAATATTTGAAAGGTCAGAGGCTACATCTCAGCTTGTTAACTCCAAGAAGGGCTGTGGCTGAATTTTTCCTTTTCCTTTTCAGGTTTGGGAAAATTATTTTAGGCTTTGGGGAAACTCTTTGTGAAACGTTTCAGGGCAAAAATGAGATATAGGGGGAAACTGTTCTCATTCCCACTTTTCAAACCACCAAAGGAGTCTGAAATCAAAGCAGTGGAATATGGTAGTTTTGCTAGTGAATTTCTGGAGAACTATAAATGAGATAGTAGGGAATTACATACAAGCTTCAAATTATGCACAAATGGTGCACATGTCATTCATGCTGAGGATAAACTGTCTTTCCTTTGCATTCACTCGGTGTATTAACTGTGCCCCAAAAAATAGAAAGAAAATACCTTACCGGTCAATTACCTGGAGATACAGCTCCAAGGTACTCCCCTAAAACCCCAAAAACATGCATTAGTGAAGACAGTGAACTAAAAGGGGTAGAGAGACAAATAAGTTGGGCATGTGAAAAAAACAACAAATGAACTCTTTAGATTTGTTCAATCAAGGAGTGCATAGGAGTACTTATAATCAATTTATCAATCAATAAAGAAACACAGAAAGTACTATATTAGACTTAAGACTTCCGTTTTTCAATGTATGAAAAAGTGTGAAACATACATGTAATAAATGATCACGGGAAAGATTCAGTTTGCATATTTGTGGGAAACTTGCCATTTTCTGAGTATGAAAAAGATTGGGGGGGGGAGAAAGAATCTTTGTCTTGTCTTTCTCATAAATAATGCAAAATAAGTAAAATGATCCTTGGATGATGTTCCATTGTCTATTCTTGAGCCAATTAACAGCTCGGAAAGTCCCTTATTCTTGAAATTTCACTAATTCGTGTTTTGAAGCCAGAATAGAGTTTCTAGTATGTTGCTCCCTACTTCAAAATAAGAGATTCCTATTAATTAATTAATTACTGAAAGCAGTAATTGTGTAGTTTATGTATGAACTACATAATATATGTATGTATGAACTACAAAATATTATATATGAATATTATGTGTGAATATTAATATGTTTGTATATATATATAACATTATGTATGAACTACATTATGTAGTTTATGAAGAGCCCTGGTGGTGCAGCAGACTACAGCACTGTTATTAACATCAGCTGCCTGCAATTACTGCAAGTTCAAATCTCACCAGGCTCAAGGTTGACTCAGCCTTCCATCCTTTCTAAGGTAGGTAAAATGAGGACCTGGATTGTCGGGGCAATAAGCTGAATTTGTATAAGTATACAAAAATATGAAGGCTATTGCTTAATACATTGTAAGCCGCCCTGAGCCTCCGGAGAAGGGCAGCATATAAATCAAATAAAAAAAAAAGTTTATGTATAATTTCTGACCAGCAGTCAGTTACATTGAATCTATGGGGGAAGGGGAAGCAGCATTTTCCTTTATATATATATATATATAAACATAGTTTTTAACAGAACTTTACAGAAAGTTTAAATGATAGTTTATTTTTTTCACCCAAATATGCTTTAAAAAAACAGCAACAGTATCAGGAAAGGTGATCATTCATTTCAAGAATCAAAACTTGCCTTCCCTGTTGGTAATTCAACTTTGACTTGGTTGCCAACTGGAAGCAGTTTCAAAGGCAGAATTAATGAATAATCAGATTCACTGGCCTTGTTAGGTATAATGTTCTGGGGAGAAAAAAAGATAACCCAAATAAATAAGATGTAGGATATTAAAAATGAAGGTTACTTCTTACTTGATGATGATCATGATAATAATGATAAGCTGGCCTTTCAATCTTTGAATGTCTTTTTATTCAGGCAAATTCCAGGCAAGTTGAAGTTTTACATTTAAAAAAACTAGCTGAACCGTCAGTTCTTGGACCTCAAGAATTATTCTGTCTCTTTTCTTATATTTTCCTTTAACTGTTCTGAACCTTCATTAAATTTACAATAATTCTTGCTGGCTCCACGGAAAACTTTTTGCCATCTAGTACAAGTCTTGGATAAAGAAATATACATATTCAACAGCTAGTTGGAAGCAGACTATCTCATTGTATTTTTGGCTACAATTTACAAATTATTTCAAAATGTCTATTTATTTAAATATTTTAAAAGTATTTAAAATTAAAAGTATAACATATTTTTAAAATATTTTTTTAAAAATTAAAAAGTAAATATTTAAAAAGTGAAAATGAGAAAATAGCAAATTACAAAAATGAAGAGTGAAGATGGTCAGAATAACAAGCCCAGATGGGGGAAAAAAACAGCTCACACAATCTAAAAGGCGGGAGCTCTGGTGGCTCAACAGATTAAAGCACTGTTATTAACATCCACTTACATCTGCTGCCTGCAATTACTGCAAGTTCAAATCTCACCAGGCTCAAGGTTGGCTCAGCCTTCCATCCTTTCTAAGGTAAGTAAAATGAGGACCCAGATTATGGGGGCAATAAGCTGACTTTGTATAAATATACAAAAGTATGAAGGCTATTGCTTAACGCATTGTAAGCCGCCCTGAGTCTCCGGAGAAGTGCAGCATATAAATCAAATTAAAAAAAAAAAAAAGGGCCCAGGTGAAGAGCCAAATCTTCAAGATCCTTTAAAACATCACCAGAATGGTACTGACGGTTATTTATTTATTACTACACTATAACCTGATGGATAATTGGGCGTCCATGGAAAAGGGATACATTTATATTTATTTTCCTGTGCTGCTGTGGGTTCATGATAACTGAGACCATTACCTGAACTTTAACTTTTAGTACTGGTCCAAAGCTTTTTATGCAATGAAAGCGGAAGGAATCTAAATTTTTGCTTGTCTTCTGTGTTCCTTCATAAGATTGATCGACTGAAAAGACCACATTTTTATTGGCTAAAATAAAACAAGACATGATAAATTAAATTAGATGTTAGATATTTATGCGTCTAAAAATGTATTGTTAAAAACTTCATTTTAGCATAGACACTTGTTGTTCTGTATTTATAAACAATATTTTATATATTGTTATATAGCATATTTTTTCAAATGTATCAAGACATACAGTAGACATAGAACCCCATGTCTCTTTCATACATACAATATTTAATATCATTCGTATATAAAAAGATATTCAGCTTACAGCTTGTGCATACGAAAGCATAGTAAGATTAGGTCAAAAGACTTGCTAAAATTTAGATAATTTATAACCAGGTATACATAAGCTATACAGTATATCCTGAGGAACCTAGTATCAGATGATGCATTAAATTTACAGAGCTTTTTTCTGTTTTTATAAATCTGATACAAAGAAAATACATCACTTTAAAAATATTGAATTCCAGCTCAAATTCATGTTTTGCCAATTGCCATTCACATTTTATAATTTGAATATGAAATCAAGGATTTTACACTACTTCCACTTTAACATTCAGATACTTCAGATGTGATAGACCTGAATATTGATAGGGATCATGAACTACCACTGCACACTATATCAAATACAGCCTAATCTGAATATTAGTGCATACCAAGAATCAAATAACACAAAATACACAATATTGAAATAGAATAGCCTTATAAGATTATTTTTTTTATTTATTCTTAAATTTATTGGCCGCTCATCTTACCACAGGGTAATTCTTATTATAAGATCAGCCTGTTGCTGTCTTGCAATGCTTATTCAGTAGTCAAAAGAGGGATGCTAAATACTGCTGCTATCTGTGATATAGGATATTCCCCTCAAAATATCTCTCATAGAGAGGGATCTTCAATCTCAAGCAAGCTTACATCTTCAAGAATTTGGGGGGGGGGGACCCAGGAGGAAGAAACACCACCATTTGTAAAAGAATTATGGGGAAGATTAAGCAACCTCTTCTCAGTTGTGATGCTTTGCCTTGTTTTAGAAAACCTTCCCACTGCCTCAAGAAATGTAAGTTCAGTGATAGATGCTTGACAGAGTAAAGATGTGGCTTCACCTTTAAGAGGATATTTCAAACTTTCAACTGACGACCCCCAGGGGGAGAGCCTTCTCTGTGGGGGCACCCGCCCTCTGGAACGAGCTACCCCCAGGAATATGACTGATCCCGGACCTCCGGACCTTCCGTCAAGCTTTGAAGACCTTCCTATTTCAGCAAGCTGGGCTGGCTTAAAATTTTAATGGGTTATTTTAAGGGTAATGGGTTTTAATTTTTAGAAAGCCAATTCGATTTAATTCTGTTTTAAATTATTTTAAATTTTATATTGTATGTATTTTAATTTTGGCTGTTCACCGCCCTGAGTCCTTCGGGAGAAGGGCGGTATACAAATTTAAACAATAAATAAATAAATAAATAAACTCAAGAGAACAGCTGGCAATAGATAAATATTCATAGCTTCTTCTTTAGCCAGCTATGTTAATGAAACAATTGGTAAACATCATCAAATAGTAAGCATGTAGGAAAACCATCTACTAAAAAGCGAAAGGTCAGCTCTTCATGGCTTTCCAGAAAGCTAAGAAGATGGACACTGCCAGTTCTCATGGGGAAGGGCATTCTATAATGGCAAGGACTCTTACAATAAGGGCATACTTCCTTGACCCACTGGATGGAACAACTGAGGGAAGGGACTTGGATTGTCCTACTCTACCCAGCCTAGTGGGGTGGGCAGATTACTTGGTTCTGTGCCATGTAGGGGTTTAAAGGTAATAACCAGCACCTTGAGTTGCATCTATACAGCAACTGGGTGCTAATGCAACTCACAAAGCAGTGGTATAGCATGGGCAAACTGAGAGGTACCCAATATCCTGCAATTTGCTGTATTCTGAACCAGCTACAATATCCTGATGACCTTCAAGGGCAGTTCCATGTAGAGTCCAACTAGGAAGTGACCAAGACACGAGGGAATGGGAGCAAGACCTTTCAGTGCAAGAATGGGAGCAATTGGCATGCAAGATATATTTGTGCAAAGAAAGCAGGAATCAAGCAAGAATCGTGAGTCCGGGAAGACTCCCAAATTGTACAGTAGTTCTGCCTGGGGAGCTGCTACCCCATTGATAGTTAAAAATTACCCATCACTGGACCCTGGAAAGCCAAAAACTCAAAGCCGCTCCATCTGGCTAAAGTTTAACCAAAGCTGGTTGCTCCCCATCCAGACCTTTACAGCCTCCACACACTAGGCCAGCACAGTGGAGATGAACAACTAGAACCATTGGCATACTGATAATATCACATCCCATGCCATTGAATTACCTCATCCAGAAGTTTCGCATAGATGTCAAAAAAGAGTGGTGAGAAAACTCTGAGGTCTCCCACCAAGACCACCTAGTATCCCTTACCAGATGAAGGAGGAGATGGACCACAAAAGGCATTTCCCACTCCCTAATCCTGAAGCCATCATGAGATCCAGGAGGATAAGACCAATTGCACCATCTCCAAGCCCTTTAATGGTCCTCTACAAGCATGACTGATGCCATTTCCATACCTATATTCCAGCCTGAATCCAGCCTAGAAAGGGCATTATAAATTTTGCACAGGACTAAAATGATAGCATAGTTGCCAACGTGTCCAGACTAGAAAGAGCATCCTTTATTTATGCAATATACAATATTTGCTATACAGTGTACTGGAATCTGGGAAGAGACTTCAAAGTTGACCACACAAACACTAGAAAGACGCTATAATAGGAACCCTGAAACAATGTCACATCCAGCCAAGGGAACTAAAAGCTGCAGCTGCTGACAGAATCCACTGACGAAACCTATGCTATGAAGCCTCTACCACCTTTGAAGACGGGCATCACCAAAAACTGAATGGTATCACAGAATGGCATCCACAGTTTCATAACAAGGGACTTTCAGTGCCCCCAGTGAGCTAGACTCTGCGCTTTCTATCAGGGACTGAAGAGCCACCTCCATATCCACAGATGAAATGCACCACAGTGTGTCTTCTTCAAACCAAAAGGTACTCTGGAGGCTGCAATTCCCTAAATGCTAGTCAAGAAATGCATATAAATACATAAGTGAGACCGAACGGACAACGTGCAGGAGAATAAAGAAATACTTTTCAGAGTCCTTTTCAATTTTATCAGCATCTGCACTTTTTTATTGTTTTTTACCATGGGCACATCTGGAAAATATGTCCTGACTCAATCTTGAAAATCTGCAAAGGCAATCAGGAAGGTATTGTCAGGGCTGCCAGATCTGTCATCTGTAGTCAGTGAAAAGTCCTTTTAATCTCCAGAACTGCGCATCAGTTCTTGTCTTCAATGACTCCTTTGCTTTCCTTTCCAGCACAGTGGAGAAGGTTGCTTATTTTCACACTTCCAAATTGAATCACTTAACCATTTCAATATAATTGCAAATGATGGGGGGGGAAGAATTCCTGAAAAAGTAGCTGTAATTTTTTCCCCCAAGAATTCACCAGCATTGGCAAGATTTTAAACTATTTTGATCCTTTGGATATGACCCAGATTTGGTAATAGTTACAGAAATGCCATTTTGCATCATAAATTCCACCATGGGATATTGAGAAATCACAAGCACGTTATTGACAAAATGTATCAATTTTTCCTTTTCTGGATGGCTTTAAAAATCTCTGCCCTCTGCAGAGAATTAGGAATTGGATGCAATTTAATGGTTTCTGTTTAAGTATAGCACAACAATAAGATTTTGGAAATACATTTTTGATCATTGTTGATTAGAAAAGCCTTCCCCTGCAGTACTGTGCAATACTTAAAAATAAACTTTTTTCTAAATCAGAAAATCAGAACTAAAGTAATAAGCAGTGTTACAAATATCAGAAGAGGTCTAAACTGGAAGAATAACTTGTCTTTTAATTCTGAAGCACACTCACCAATTCAACACTCAATCTTTAGATATTTTCTGACATCCCTTATGGCAGGGATGTCAAACCCAATTTCATTGAGGGCCGCATCAGGGATGTGTTTTACCTTGGAGGACCAGGGAGGTGGGAGTGGCCGGAGTTGAGAGGGGTAATGGTGGGTTTGGTCATGATGGGCGTGGCCATGGTGGGTGTTTGACTCAGGCTCAAGATCCATTTTTTTTCCTTCTCTTCTTTCTTTCCACAGTTCTTTACTATAAAGGACATCATCTCTTTCTAGAATGCTGGCCTTGGCAACTGCTAGAAACCACGATGATTTGAAAATGTTTGTCATGAAGCCACAGTGTTTTGCAATGTTTATCCCAGTGATGTTTGCTAGTTCAAAATTCACAGAGGAGTCATGAGGCCATGGTACAGATTTGTCAACCCCACACACACACGACTGCCCTTGAGGGTATAGGAAATCCTTGATTTATAATCGTTTGTTTAGCCACCGTTCAAAGTTACAACAGCCCTGAAAAAAGTGACTTATGACTGATCCTTGCACTTATGACCATCGCAGCCTCCCCATGATCACATGATCAAAATTTGGGCCTTGGACAACCAGCATGTATTTACAATTAGCGCATCCCAAGGTCATGTGACAGCCATTTGCAATCTTCCCAGCAGGCTTCTGACAAGCAAAGTTAATGGGCAAAGCCAGATTCACTTAACAACCACATCATTCACTTAACAACTGCAATGATTCACTTAACAACCATGGACAAAAGGTCATAAAACCAGGCACAACTCATTTAACGATTACCATGCTTAGCGACAGGAAATTCTGATCCCAATTGTGATTGGAAGTTGAGAACCATCTGTATAAATGCTGGTCATTCCAATTTCTGCTTTCTAGGCTTTTGCGCCAGCACCATAGCCTTAAATTAGGAATGTCCCTGTCAGGGGAGACTGGAATTGCCACTGTATCGCTCACTGCCACTCAAGATTAATGCATATTTGGGACTATCCCAACAGATCAGAACAGCTTCAATCCACAAAATGTGAAACATGTTTTTTCTAAATTTATGTGTATGCAAATGCTACAGAAACATGTTCTTTCCCATATGATTCATCCTCCTCCTCTTTTAACAGTTGCCCATAATCCCTTGCGGGGTGGAGTTTGGGCAACCGAATGGAGCTGGTGTTTACTGGCTAAATGCCCTTCCTGTCGCCAATGTGGAGTTTTTTTACAGCAGATGTATTCTCAGAGAGAGAATATATCTGCCTCTACCTAGGATCGAACTCAGAGCCTCCTGATTGTGAGGTGAGAGCTCCACCTCTAGACCACTGCTCCGTATGATTACTTGATTGAAGTCATTTAATTATTAGTTTACTCAAAACTGGGTAATAAATAACTCAGTGCATTTAAAAAAAATACTTTTCATACATGTACTATATTAAACATTTGCCATGTGCAGTAATTACTTTAAAACCGTACTTTTTAAACATTCCTGCCCAACCTATCAGATTTGTCTTTTTAGTAAATTAAAAGAGTATTTTACATATTAGATTATCTAATTAATCAGTCCACGACTGCAACCTAATAATCACTCTGCAGTTAAAAGGAGTCTGGTAAAACACCAGTTCGTTACAAAAGTCCCTAGAGACAGTGCTAGATTGGTGTAGTATTTAAGGTCCATGCTAGGGACCATGGACCATGAGTTCTAGCCCCACCATAGGCACAAGCCAGCTGGGTGACCTTGGACCAGTTCCTCTTTTTCAGCCCTAGGACACAGGCAATGGCAGACCACTTGAAAACTGCAGGAGTCAACACTGATTAAAAGTTACACACACACACACACACACACACACACACACACACACACATACATACCTTCCAAAACCTTCTCATTATCCTCCTTGCTCACTTTTACATCCAGAATGGAAAGTTCACGGGCCTGTGAAAACCAAAGATGCAACATTGTCTGCAATAATGTCACTTTCCTGACATTACATTATATCCCACAATGCAGTGCTTCCTAATGGAGAAAAACCAGGGCATATGCTCCTTTTTCTCAACCTGCATCTTGCAGGCTTTCCAGCCCATGTGGTTAACACAGACCCAACACCTCTAAGTTAGAGAAAGCTTCAGGGAGACTCCAGAAGAAGAATCCTTACCACTAGGACACCATTGGAAATCAGTTTCTCAGGAGGACCTGGCCTAAAAAGCAGAGGGAAAAAAGAAAAATAAACAAAAAAGAACAAGGCTTGGTCCAACTGCATATGTGGGCCTGATTGGGATAGATTTGTAGAGGTGATACAGAAATATAATTTTATGTTGTTTTATTCTATTTTACATATTTATGTATTAAATTATTGTATTTTATCCCATAATTATTGTATTTTATCCTATAATTATTGTATTTTACCCTATTTTTACTTTAAATTGTTTTTATAGGATTTTATTGGTAATACATGTTTGAACCGGGGTGAAATCCAGCAGGTTCTGACAGGTTCTGGAGAACCGGTAGCGGAAATTTTGAGCAGTTTGGAGAACCGGCAAAAGCCACCTCTGACTGGCCCCAGAGTGGGATGGGAATGGAGATTTTGCAATATCCTTCCCCTGCCATGCCCACCAAGCCACTCCCACCAAGCCACACCATGTCCACCAAGCCACGCCCACAGAACTGATAATAAAAAAATGTGGATTTCACCACTGGTTTGAACCTTGTATTTTGTTATGGCCTATAAGTTAATCAATAAAGCTAAGCTAAGTTAACAAGTAAGACCAATGATGTTAGTGTTTGCTGTTTTAGAAATAAGGCTTTGTGAATGACTAACAAGGACAAGAAAGGCAATACAAACAGTTGCAGACACTCCTATTCTATAAATTGCCATACAGACAGTCAGATAAATCAAGATGTTTGTACATTGTGACACAGAGTAAACTTCTTTACTCAGTACATTTTTATCAGTTTGTCCATGAACTGAATTTAAAGTGGCACCAATAAAACTTAATGGACTGTGGAAAAACCAAATCCAAATTATAATAAAAACAACTGGAGCATCACTTGAACTCTATTCACATTGACAAAATCACCCGCAATCAATTGAAAATGGGCAGTTCTGCTTGGAAAGCATATCTAACATCTCAACAACATCTGCTTATCCCAGATCCTTGGGAAGGGCTCAATAAATTGATAAAAGTGCCAAATCCAACATAACCATTTAGCTGACTATGTAACCAAGCATAATTTTTTTTTCTTTTTATGACCCTGTAATCAGTGGTGAGATTCAAGTAATTTGAATCTCACCAGTTCTCTGCCCTAATAATTTCTTCCAACAACCAGTTTGCCAAACTGCTTTGAAAGTTAACCGGTTCTCCCAAAGTGGCGCGAACTGGCTGAATCCCACCACTGCCTGTAACCCCTTGTATCGGGGTGGAGTAAGGACAACTGAATGGAGCTGAGCATTTACTGGTTGGATGCCCTTCCTGACACCTACGGAGTTCACAGCAGATATTTATTCTTAGCGCTCTAATAGAGAAACATTTGTCACTGCCTAGAATTGAACTCTGAGCCTCCTGAGTGTGGGGCAAGGGTCTTTACCTCTAGGCCACTCCACTGCTCAACCATAATAAATAATAATCCAAAAATTTTAAAAAATACCAGCAGTACTTCAGTACAGCACCGAATTAAAGGATAAGATAATTTGTCAATTAAACACCTTTTGTATTTTTCTTTCTTGTTGTAAGTTCACCATCAGTGCTTATAGAAGCAAAAGGGCAGGTTATACATTTAATAAATAAAGCAAGCTCTTTCCTCTTCCACCTACAAAAATAGAGTACCTGGAGTAGGGCTTTTGGTTGGCCTAGAGAACCTCTTCGAATAGAAATGGAGCCATTACAGGAAGTGGCTGTCACCAGTGGTGGGTTTCATTTACCTTTGCTACCAGTTAGCAACTGTGACCAGTGGTGGGATTCAACCAGTTCGCACCACTTCAGGAGAACCAGTTGTTAACTTTCGGAGCAGTTTAGCAAACTGGTTGTTGGAAGAAATCATTAGGGCAGAGAACCGGTTGTTAAATTACTTGCATCCCACCACTGACTGTGACTGTGTACGCGCAGCACTTCTGCACATGCGCAGAACCTTCTGCGCATGCGCAGACCATCTGTGATGATGGCCGGGTGGGTGGGCGGAGCCTCCCGCCACCGCTACCAGTGGGAACTGGGCCGAACCAATAGAAATCCACCACTGGCTGTCACCATGAAAAGATCCTATTGCTTATAATTATTACGGAAGCAAAAAAGGAAAAAGAAAAAATCTTTTGGTGACCAAATAGACCATAAACTGACATCCCCCCCCCCTTTTATATAGTAATTTCTAACATATGCAATCTATAAACAAAAATAAGAAATGGGGTTCCTTAAATTCAGAATAATGCAGAATTAGTGAATAATGATCCTTGTCCAAATCAAATTGACATGCCGGGTTCTGACAATGCAGTGCGGAAACTGGCTGCTTCCATTGTTAAGGAAACCGATTCAACAACCAAAAACCTTTTTGGGAAGTTTTTGGGAGAAAGAGCTAATTCTGAGGTAGAGTTGGGAGGATAATTCTGTACTAATAATGGAATACCACATAGAAGAACTAGTAGAACCTCCAAATGGTTGTTTTCACATAATATGAACTAAAATAGAGAGGGAAAATTAGTGGTTCAATATTTACAGGAACTCCAGCATGGTTTAGCATATTCTATAAATCAAGACAAAGTTACATCATATTATAAGCCATGGTGGCATAGTGATTAGAATGCAGTACTGCAGGCTACTTCTGCTGATCATCGGCTGCCACCAGTTTGGCAGATTGAATCTCACCAGGCTCAAGGTTGACTCAGCCTTCCATCCTTCCGAGGTGGGTAAAATGAGGACCCAGATTATTGGGGGCCATATGCTGACTCTGTAAACAGCTTAGAGAGGGCTGTAAAGCACTATGAAGTGGCATATAAGTCTAAATGCTATTGCTATGTTTCATTTATTTGGCTACAGTATGCTATATGAACAGAGATCTGTGTTTCAGTCTGTTACGTTATATAAACCCAGGCAATATATCAGAATATATTTATATGGAATTCTATAATAGATCATTGCAGAATTGTATGGCTTACTAAACAAAATAGGGTAGGACAAGGTAAGATAGGATAGGATATCCAAATACTCAAAAAAAACATCCAAGCTTTATTATCTGCTGAATAATTCAAAGGAGGAATTTTCCAAGAACCAAACCACGAACAATGACTTAATGTTTCATATCAGCTTTCGAATCACTTACACATCTGACAGCTTGAATTCCACTTCTAGAAATTCATAATGATTAGGTTGTTCTTGTTTCTGGTAACAGAAAAACATTCATAAATTGTACAGTAACGAAGACAACATTAACATATGCAGTCCACCAAACAGGAGCGAAGAGGGGAGGGAAGGGGAAGGGGAAGGGGAAGGGGAAGTGGAAGGGGGGGAAGGAAAGAAAGGAAAGGAAAGGAAAGGAAAGGAAAGGAAAGGAAAGGAAAGGAAGTTGAGATGACATGTGATTGGAAGTGTAGTCCCCTTTATAAGGACACTCCATTGCGGTGTTCTCCTTTCACAAAACTCATGAAACGTACCATTTAATAAACTTGGGGAAAGAACATCCATTAGGGTTAAGGAATAAATGTAACCTACATTATCTACAAAATAACTTTTTGGCCCTCACCTTTGGTTTTAAGGAAAAATTCTCAAGGACTGGACTTCCAGGCTGGAGTTTTGACAAATCAAAAAGAACAATTAAATGGATATCACGATTGGTGGCTGGATCAGTATCGCAAACTTCCAACTGTATGATATTCTAGGAACAGAAGAGAAGAAATGGCAATTGCATGCTCCTTTTTACTGATGACAATATAGATATTTCTGCTGTAATATTTTCTTCCAAATTGATGGAATTTTGCCTATTGACCAGGAAAACTGATTATACTCAGAATAAGAAATCTAATTGGTGTCAGCTCTAGAGGCCATCTTTTTCTTAAATTCTTCAGGGCTGCCACATTTAGTGCTGTGGGAAACTGGGAGGGGGGATTGCATGGAGTCACAGGGATATCTAGCCATAATAACGTTCCTTTCTCAGAGAGTCAAGGACATTCGGCCTGCACCTGGAGTGGCGTGACTGGGAGGCATCTCCAATTGGCACGATGCATTGATTGGACCATGTGATGGACATGTGGGTGCAGGGGAAAGGACTTGGACTTTCTTTTGGGTGGAGGAAAACCTGGAATTTTTCAGATTTGGGCTTTCCCAGATGTGCCAATATGAAATCTCTAATAAAACGGAACTTTGAGGAACTGCTAGCCTTGGAGTTTTCTTTCGTTGGGGAAGTTACTTGGAACCCTGATAATTAGTTAATCTCATTAATTCTGTACATCTTCTAATTTATTTACTTACAGTATCTATTTATTTATTGCATTTATATCGCCCCCCCCACACACACAATCTGAATCTTATTTTGGATAATCAACGGGGAAGCAGTTAAAAGGAAGTACTATATATTCTCCACTATCATGTATATAAATGGATAAATCCAAGATGTATTTGAAACTTCAGCAGGCAACAATTCTAGCTCTTTAAAATTTGTAGAAAAGTACTATTTTTCATAATATCTTCTCTGTGTCAATTTCTATCTTAGGGGAGAGGTTTATTTTTGAAGAGATTCTCATTTCTCTCAGCGGCTATTGATACTATCTTTTATGGCAAATCTCTGTCTTCAGATGAGTAATAATTACCTTTTGTTCCTATTTGGAAACTTTGATCTCAAAATAAAAGGCTGGCATTTTTACCTCAAGCCTTTGGAAAAGTACAAGATCCTATCTTCATACTATTGTTCCAGCTTATGGTGTCTCAACTTATTGCTCAAAATTATGGACCCTTCAGATAAAGGACAAAGAGAAGGAAGAACAGGAGCCAGATTAATAATTAAGGTTATTTGGCAATACCAGGAGATAGTACTGAGGGACTAGCAAACCATCTTCCACTGCCTCTGAATTGCCAACTCTGAATTCTCATCTCAATCCCAAATCATGGTCTCTACCTTATGACACTAGTAATGCTTTTGTATCAAGAACCAAAAGAGCCAAGAGAGAAAGGTCTATCAGTTCTTTGAAAGAGCACTTTGGACATCATGTTCCACTACAAATAACAGCTTGTCTTATTATACCCAAGCACTTCAGTTGCTACAATCAACACCAATCAAGCCTAGCTATAGGGAAATTGTGGAAATTCTGACTTTTGCCTAGAGCTCATGACTTCTTGACTTATTGTTAATATTGAATGCTTTGTCTTGACTTTAGACTGGAACCTCTCTCCACTTTTTAAATCATCTATTTAGTCATGTCTCTGATCCTCTGTAGTGCCAAATTAGCAATGATATCCAGCCCCTCTCTAAACCTATCCCAGTTTGGATCAGAATCCCCAAGACCAAGGCATAGAGCTAGCATTAAGATGTTGAAAAAGGTGCTTAGGTGCTGTTTCATCTAAGTAATTCCTCCAATACTAGTGTGGTTAAATATACAGCCCAATTTCCAGGAAAAGTGGTAAATTCACCTGAAAACTTAACCATAAATTTTTTCTGGGATATTATATTAGGAAAAAATCCCCATGAAAAAAACTGTATATTAAGTTCCAAGAAATTATTAACATTCTTTTCTTTTACAACAGATGTCACTGGCATTTTAAAACCCTCACATTAAATATGTGTAATGGAATATATTTCACTACTGGCAACCTCAGGGTATTCGTTTCCAATCTTGGCAATGGATTAATGGTAATCTCTGAACAAAGAGCATTAGCTATCTGATCTTTGCGCCTACACACAAAACTTCTGATAAGTTCTGTCAGGCATACAAGCATCTCCAAATGATAGAAAACAAACATTTCAATAATTTGTTTTCCTTTTCAAAGTATGAAATCATAAAGTAAACTTTACAGTCTCATTTGGAAAAGTCTGTTTTGCAACACTTCATGGATTTGTTTATCCTGTAAACTTGTCAAATAGTATGAAGGCTTTGCAACATTACACTACCTTGATTTTGGTTTGGATCCTGAAATAAAATGTTTCATTCCAGACTGGGTAGTAAGAATTCCTGACAGTCTGGGTTCTGAATATCTCCTGTGATGCTGTTGGCAGGTGCAAAGTCACGTAGCAATGAGTCGCGGAAACTACAGTGGGGGGAAAAATAAGTTGGTAATTGTTTTTTCAAATATTCAGCACATCTTAATAAACAAAAGAAATATAATAGATAAATTCCTATGGTCAAGAGTGCCACCTACTTCTAAAGATACCTACATTCTATTTGTTCTATATTAATCTATACATTATTAGTCATTGAATAGTAATTTAATTAGTCCGTTACAGTAATTTAATTAGTCATTAAACAGTAATTTAAAACAGTAACTGTGAGAGGGACTTTGGAGTCCTAGTGAATGATCACTTAAACATGAGTCAGCAGTGTGCGGCAGCAGCCAAAAAAGCTAGTACAATCCTTGGTTGTATAAACAGAGGCATAGAATCAAAATCACGTGAAGTATTAGTAATGCTTTATAAAGCCTTAGTAAAGCCACACTTGAAATACTGCATCCAGTTTTGATCATCACATTACAAAAAAGATTATGAGACTTTGGAAAAAGTGCGAAGAGCAACTAAGATGATTAAAGGCCTGGAGACATATGAAGAACAGTTGCGGGATTTGGGTTGGGCTAGTTTAGAGAAAAGAAGGACTAGGGAGGGACATGATAGCAGTATTCTAGTATTTGAGAGGTTGCCACAAAGAAGAAGGGGTCAATTTATTTTCTAAAGCACCAGAGGGCAGAACAAGAAATAATGGATGGAAACTAATCAAGGAGAGAAGCAACCTGGAATCAAGGAGAAACTTCCTACCAGGAAGCTTCCTGTCAGGACAATTAACCAGTGGAACAGCTTGCCTCCAGAAGTTGTGAGTGTTTCATCACTGAAGGTTTTTAACAAGAGGCTGGACAGTCACTTGTCTGAAATGGTATACGGGTCTCCTGCTTCAGCAGAGGGCTGGACTAGAAGACCTCCATGGTCCCTTCCATCTCTATTCTGATTCTGAAAAACATGCCACCAAGAGTTAAAGTGATTGTGGCAGACTAAAAATGCAATAAATAAACGGTTTAAGTGATTTAAAGGTTTTTCAGCCCTTTAGATTCCGAGAAACCCTTATTAAGATGTAGAATTTTAGAAACAATTTTGTGTAGTGGAAATGAGATTCAATTTAATGAGATAAAACATCAAAAGAGAATAGGAGCAATGCAAACTGGATAGAACACTGATTCTCTTCATGGAAAAAGTGTAATACGAAAGCGTGTTATGGTTTGGGTTCCAGAAGAGACTATTTGAAGATTCACTGCAGGAAAGGAATTGAAAACTAAAAACTCATAGACATGCTTTTGGGTTGGAGACAAAGTGGTGCATTAATAGAAAACCAAAACCTAGAGATTAGTGGTAGAAAATCAGTGGAAAAATCTGGAATAAAAGCAAGAGATGCTGTTGGGGGAAAAAAATTATATCCCATATAAGCTGTAAAAAATCAAATTTATTATATTTTATTTTGCCCTAAATCACAAAATAATCTCTAAAATTCTGAGCTCAGCTTTTCTACATTTCTGCTTCTGTGAGATCAACGCAATTAAGTAATTCAACTCTATTTTTCAACCATAACATGCCAGAAACTTACATGGCGTATAAGAGGTGACGATACTGGCTTTCAGAATCTTGACTGACAGCAGGGATAATGGAAATAGTTGGTTCTGCAATGGAAACAAAGCCAATATGAGCACCTGAGTCAGTCCCTAGGATCTAGCATGTGCTATTGTACACCACTATCTATGTTCCTTTCATTTGGAGGCAATATGCTGACTCTGTAAACCACTTAGAAAGGGCTGTAAAGCACTATAAAGTGGTATATAAGTCTAAGTACTATTGCTATTTATTATAGGCCGCTTACAATATTTCCCTACAATGCATAGCTATAAAACATCCTTAGATGCCGCTATGGAGTTCTGGTGCAGTGCAAAAGGGGAGGGCCATTCTGCTTTAGTAGCCCTAAAACTCATGAAATGCATACTTCCCTTGTTCTTTTAATTCTGGACCAGTTGGAGCTCGGAGGCTCCAATTGGTCAGGAATGCGGCTGCGCGGGTAGTTATGGGGGCGACTCGGTGCACCCACGTAACACCCCTCCTGCGCGAGCTGCACTGGCTCCCGGTGCTCTTCCGAGTGCGATTCAAGGTGTTGGTCATCACCTTTAAAGCACTCCATGGCTTAGGACCGGAGTATATATGAGACCGCCTGCTGCAGCAACAGCCTCCCACCGGCCAATATGCTCCCACAGAGAGGGGCTCCTCAGGATACCGTTGGCCAGACAATGCCGACTGGCGACACCCAGGGGGAGAGCCTTCTCTGTGGGGGCACCAGCCCTCTGGAATAAGCTGCCCCTTGAGATTCATCTCATCCCCGACCTGCGTACCTTTCGCCGTGCTTTGAAGACCCTCTTGTTCCGACAAGCCGGCCTGGCCTAATACGAATTTTAGAATGGGTGTATGTGTGTTTTAATCTATGGGCCAAATTTTTACATATTCAATTTTAAATTGTTTTAAATTTTGTATATTTATATGTGTTTTAATATGGCTGTACACCGCCCTGAGTCCTTTGGGAGAAGGGCGGTATAGAAATCTAATAAATCAAATCAAAATCCAATCAAATTTTCAGATGTTTTCCAGTTTACTTCCTGATCATCGCCATACTGCAGAGCTATGGTTGCTATATCGAATATTCAGATTTTATTATCTTCAGTAGTTAAATTATTATACTTTCCAAATGCAAGTTATTTTCCTTATGAGAAGTCCTTGCAAATAAACATGAAAATGGCCATGATTATACAATAATCTGTGTGATACAGCCCATCTCTTGGATTTGTTGATGATTATTATATGATGCTTAACTGCTATATGTTTTGTTTTTATGTTAGATAATTTATATGATTATGTGAAAGGGCTTTATATTAAGCTCTGCAAAACTGGTAAACTCGGAAACATGAAGCACTGGGATTTCTGGAAAAATCTATATTGTTGATAGGGTATAATTGGTAGAATTTTGAAATCTGGTCATGGTAATTAATTTTTCTGCAGAATTACTTTGAGTATTGCAGAGATTAACAGCAAAATTAATATTAGACCAGCAATCAAGAAGTAAACGATAATCAAGGAACTACCAGTAAACAACAGGAAATCACCAAGAACACTCCCACCAATACTGACAGCAGGGGTGAAATGCTCCCGGTTCAGACCGGATCACCTGATCCGGTAGCGATGGAGGCGGGTGGTTCGGAGAACCGGTAGCAAAAATCCCTGTCCCCCCGCCCCAATGCCCAGCTGAGCCACACAATCATCAGAGGCTTTTTTTTTTTTACTTTTAAAAGCATTTTTTCTACAACCTCTTTGGCCGAAAAAATGCTTTTAAAAGTAAAAAAAAAAAGCCTCTGATGATCATGCGGCTCAGATGGGATCATCAAAGGCTTTTAAAAGAAAAAAAAACCTTTTTTTTTCTTTTAAATGCCTCTGACGATCCAAGCTGACTTGCCTGATCAGCAGAGACTTTTTTTCTTTTAAATGCCTCTAACAATCAGGCAACTCAGTTTGGATCGTCAGAGGCATTTAAAAGAAAAAAAGCCTCTGCCAATCAGGCAACTCAGCTGGGATCTTCAGAGCCTTTTGAAAGCATTTTTTTTACAACCTCTTCGCCAAAGAGGTTGTAGAAAAAATGGTTTTAAAAGTAAAAAAAAAAAAATTGGCCACGCCCACCCAGTCACATTACACCACCACCACCAAGCCACGCCCACAGAACTGGTAGTGACAAATATTACATTTCACCACTGACTGACAGGGCAAGTCACTAATATATACAAATAAGAGCAAATCCCACTCCCTTCTAGCACTGATGATGTTACCTAGTTTAGTAATGAAACTTCTGCAAGGAAAGCTCAGAGAGCACCAAGGACCCGACAGTTCAACCCTGACTAACAAATATTCTATCAGTCACTTTCCATTCCTGTGGATGTGTTCCTTGTCATACATATTTTCACATGTACCATTTTCTGTGTATACATACACACACACAATAAAATTGAAATATTATATGTACCAAGTTAAAGTATCAAAACGCACATAAAAGGAAACATAATAAAAGCTTTTTTCAAAACTGCTTTCTTAATGCTGTACTTCTATCTAAGGATGTCCTCATCCAGTTATAACTTTTGCCTTGTAAGTCAAAGTGTGTTGTGTTCAAAACCTTACAGAATTTTTATTCTTCTCTTTCCAAGCTTCCTACTTGTCTCACTTTCTTTAATGATACTTTGTGCTTGCATTTAAGGATCCCCATGTTTAGCATTTTGTAATACAACCATTTTATTACTTTTCATCATTTTTATTACAGTAGAAATAAATGAGAAGTTATAGAAATTGAGATCATAAAACAAGAAGGGCTGCATTTGCAAATAGAAATTCCAGCACTCGTTATGCATTTAATTAAAGCATAAAAATATAGTTGCTCCATCTTTTAACGTGCACACCATTAATTATTTCTTTTCAAAGCTGCCTATAAAATTATAGTTCCAGTGTCAGGTTTCGAGGTTGTCATTTACTCTAGTGCTGACATCCAGTTCCTCTTATATAAACAATGGGTTTCAAACAACATGAAATTATAGAACTAACCAGACAAGTTAATTTTTTTCCCAGGCGAAGCTGCCTTATTTTTAGCATCAAAATTACAGACCTTTTCATTGATCAGCAGTTTCTTAGCAAATTTGGTGACCTATGTGTACCTGTATCATCTCACACTCAGGGAAGTATATTTGTACACCCATCTGCACCTAACTTCCAGAGTCTTGGTTCTTGGTCTGTGCCCTAAGGCCTTCTTCCACACTTCCTGCTTTTCATGGATTTACTCAAATCCTGACATTACCTTCTTTGACTGCAGCACAGAAATCTGTGTCTTCCCAAGAAATACAGCACATATGCAAGTGATAGTCAAAGTAGCATTTCCAGACCTGATTTCATCAACTTGCTGTATGAAATTGCTGAACTGCCAGCTGCGCCTTATTTACATATATAATTGCAGTTATATAACTAATTAAACACTGTTTCAAATGAGCTTTACAGTAGCAAAGGTGCACAGTTCACTTTTCATCCTGTCTTGTCTAAATATTAATATCCTGCTAAGGAAAACAATTAAGGAATCTCCTACTGTGGCAGAGAGATGTATCCAGTAACTTCTCCTATAATCCTTGTACTAATTTTCCTCAGTTCTCTGGCCAGTTGTTGGCTCCTACCATAGTATTCTGTCTTTTCTCCTCCCAAAAAAAACATCTATCCCAAAAATCCATTCAGGATAAACTAGCTCACCTCTTTATAGATGTTTCATTACCTGACTAGGAGACATTATGTTACCTGGTCAGGTAATGAAACATCTCCAAGCAAGCAAGCAAGCTCAAAGGACACCAGAGACTCCATCCAGCACAGATTCCCAGATATAGCAACAGTGACTGGAAAACATTGTATGGGGAAAAAAATGCATTTGTCTAATCAGTACATTTAGCTAATTGTGTATAAACATACAATGCACAGAGTCCCTCAAATGCATATAAAACAATGTATATTGGGAAATTATATATCCAGGATTTTTATAACTATGGCACTTTGGTATCTGACTTTTAAACTATTTAAACTATCTGTTAAGGTTGGAATCAAATATATATACATTGACATAGATGGGAATCTGCTCATTCCTAGCTAACTGCCATATGTTCTATACCAGTGGTCCCCAACCTTTCCAGTTTAGCGGCCCACCCCAATGAAAGGGGGGGCGTGTGAGTGGCAGACGCACATGCACATGGGCCCTCTACTTGCACGAATGGAGCTTCATGCTCGAGCAGAGGGTGCTTATACTCATGTGCAAGGCTCCACTCAAGCGAGCAGCAGGCACTTGCACTTGCGCTCAAAGCTCCACTCACACGAGCGGAGGGCACTCACGCGCAAAGCTCTATTTGCTTGTGAGCTTTGTGTGCATGTGTGCTTGCTCACACAAGTGGAGGTTCGTGCATGTGTGCTTATTCGTGCAAGTGGAGCTTCATGCGTACAGTCTTGCCCATTTCTCCTGCAGCCTAGTTTCCAACAGGCTACGGCCCGATAGTGGGCCACAGCCCGGGGGTTGGGACCCCTGTTCTATGCAATTTCCAGCAGATATTCTATGACAGTATAATACAATAAACACATTTTCTGAAATCTTTACTATCCTTAATTGAATCCAAACGTGTATAAATTTTACCAGACAAGCTCATGGAGAACTACAATATCATCACACAGAGGAATGTATTCCTCTCCAACATTAACCTTCATGAAAGGAGGTTGTCCAGCTTTGCAGCAGAAGCTATTCTTATGGCACTGACCATACACTCCCCCAAAACAAGTAGTCCTCAGTTTATGACCACAACTGGGTCATAAGAATTCCCGTTGCTAAGGAAGATGGTTGTTAAATGAGTTACATCCAATTTTACAAACTTTATCTTTCTGGTATGGTTGTTAAGTGAATCACTGCAGTTGTTCAGTAAATCACATGGTCACTAAGTGAATCCAGCTTCCACCATTGATTTTGCTTGTCAGAAACCAGCTGGGAAAATTGCAAATGGAAATCCCATGATTCCGGGATTCTGCAACCGTCGCCAGTTGCTAAATGCCTGAATTTGGATGCTGGGATTGTGAGGATTGTGGGGATGCTGCAACTGTCATAAGTGTGAAGACATAAGTCACTTTTTTAGTGCTGTTGTAATTTTGAATGGTCACTACACAAATGGTACAACTCGAGGCCCTACCTGCATCATAAGTCATAATTTATATTTTCTTTCTCTTTTTACTTCTTTTCTTTTTTTCTTTTTTTTAATTCTCTAATTTTTTTTCTTTTTTATGCTTTTATTGCATTAAAAAAAACTTTTAAGAAAAATTAAAGAAAAAGAAAAAGTCAAGCTGAGTGGTGAACTAAATAAAGGGAACTAAGTTTTTTCTTTGCAGGCAAAAAGGTGTGCCCCTTCATATTTTAATGACAAAGCAACAGGCACCAACTTCCTTTGATGCTATCACATGGTTTTGAATGATGCGGGCAGACACCAACAAATCAACAGGGTACAATCTCACAAAATGTTAGCTACATCTTATAACTTGTTTTTAAAAAATAATGCATAATTGGTAGGGTTCCAAAATTTCATCGTTGATAGTTTCAAAGAGTTCTAGATTTTTTTTAAACAACAACCATAACAAAAAAGGAAACAAGTGGGATTAATAATCAGCATGAAACTAAAACTACGGAAACAAGATTAATGAATTAATATGCAACTTCATGTGCTGAAATCCAAATAAACAGCCAGATTTTCTTCCCAAACCTGCTACTTAAGACTGAGATGTTGAAAGGCAATTAGCATTCTCCCAGCTACTGGTTTTTGTTTTGTGTTTTTACTGGCACATGTGCCAATTTTTGCAAGGACACCTTGTATACGTCTTCAATCTTCTCAAATCACTTTTCTGCTCCTATCCTTTTAAAACAATACATCAACAACAAGGAAGTTGATTGACATTCTTAAGAAGTTTGCTTTGTCCATAAAGTTTAAATGAATTTTCAGCCATTCCTTTCATTGCCCAACCAATTTTATAATGTTCAAACCCACCCAGTAATCAATTAGCATCTTCTTCTTCCTGTAGAGACAGAGAATCAAAACACCCAGAAACTATTTATCAAAACACCCAGAAACTATTCAAAGTTTGAAATAGGGTCAACATTTGATCATTTCAGAAAATTCAGATTGACTGAAAGATTATAGGGAATGTACCTAGTTGTTATTTCTCAGCAGAGCTTCCTCAAAAAAATATAGAAAGCAATAGCGTTCTCTTCCTTACCTTTTCTTCTGTGGTCTCCATTCTTGTCAAATAGTCTTTTCATAAACACTAGAAACAACTGAGCAGTTAGTTGACAGACAACACTTAAATCTGTTGTCGCTCTTCCTTGGCACATCCCAAAAGACAAAAATCATATATGCATGTTCCTGGCTCCACCCAATGTGATTTCTGGATAAGAAAACAAGAAAGGACTGTGGTTTTTTTTCTAGCCCAAGAAATAACTGCAGAGTCAAACTTTACCACCATAAACCAACCATTATCTGTCCTGAATCCTAAAGCAATGCATTCATTGCAGTATAAACAGTTCTTGATTTTTCTCTCCTTCTCTTCTTATTACACACACAAACAGTAGCTAGTTTCTTCTTATAATTACCCATTTTTCAGGTACGATGTGGTAGACCCAGGATCCCCAACCCCTAGGTCATGGCCCCCTGCTGGGCCATGGCCTATTCGCAACCGGGCCACATGAGTGGCAGGCTGGCGCGCACACATGCGCATCAGCGGTGGGTTCACGGATCAGGTGAACTGGTAGCGGCAGTGGTGGGAGGCTCCGCCCACCCGCCCGGACGTCTCTGCGCATGCACAGAAGCATTGCACACACACACGTGAGTGCGTGCATGCCCACGAGCAAACCAATAGCATCGGGATTTGAATGTCAGTTTTGGAAGACAATTTCCACATATTTTAGCTGGGGAAGTTGGGAGGGGGTTGTTGTTGGAGCAGTAGAAAGTTAATCATAACATTCCGTACTCAAGGACTTTTGCTTGCGTCTGATGCAGATTGCATGAAGATTGTACCCGGTGGAGTGTGAAGAATTGATTGGACAATGTGACGAACTTGTGGGTGTGGGGCAGGGCTGTGAACTCTTAGCTCTTAGCTCTTAGCTGGGTGGGGGAAACCTGGAAGCTTTTAGATTTAGGTTTTCCCAGATGTGCCAACATGACATCTCTAATAAATTGGAACTTTGAGGAACCTCAGGACTCAGAGCTTTATTTTGTTGGGGGTGTTCCTTGGAACCCTGACATTGAATCCCACTACTGATGCGCACTCAGCTCAACTTGCACAAGTTGTGCTGTGCGTGCATGTACATGCATGCCAGCCTGCTAATCATGCAAGTCAAGCTGCTTGTGCATGTGCGTGCCAGTCTGCCTGCCACTCGCATGACTGCTTCCCCTCTCCTTCCCCCCCTCTGTCAGGCCGCCAAGCCACAAAGGTGAGGGAGTGCTACAGTAGACCATAGCCTGGAACTCGGGTGAAATCCAGCAGGTTCTGACAGGTTCTGGAGAACCGTTAGTGGAAATTTTAAGCAGTTCGGAGAACTGGCAAATGCCACCTCTGGCTGGCCCCAGAGTGGAGTGGGAATGGAGATTTTGCAATATCCTTCCCCTACCACGCCCACAAAGCCATGCCCACAGAACCGGTAGTAAAAAAAAATAGGATTTCACCACTGCTGGAACTAATTTCACCACTAATATCATGATCTATGGTAGGGAAAGAAACAAGTCTCCAAGACAGAATGAAATTTTATAACTGGCAATAAACAGGTGGTACATAGAGAGTAAAAACCTGATCACCAAATGATGGGAGAAACAAGTTGGTTGGTTGGTTGGTTGGTTATGTTTCATCAAGCCAGTGTTGCCTCTTAACAACCATATACAAGCAGATAAACTTTCTCAATAGATATGTCCCAGACCACTCCTTCGCGTTTTCTAATGTACACCTATCACCTTTATAATGAAGTCCATCCACCATGTTGCTGGTCATTGTCTTGAGTTACATAAAGGTCGTTCAAAGTAGTGTAGATAGGAGGCATGAATATAGTCATTCTCTATAATGCTTCAACATCTCTTCCTGTGATCTTGGGCCAAGGGTAGCTGCATTATCCTAGGAACTGTCCTAAAATAGAACAGTATGATGAGGAAGACTCTAGTGGCAACTAATATGACTGTCTCCTGGGAAATGTTCTTCCTAGGCTCCAAGATGGTGTAGCAATCTAGTATACCTAATTATATTGCTGAATTTAAATATTTCTCTATAGCTACCTTATTGTCTGAAACTATCCTAACATAATAAAAAAGATTTGATGGGGGGCTTTTAAAATAGTAATGAGGCACTACTATTTTATTGGCATACATGAACCGCGGTGGCGCAGTGGTTAGAGTGCAATACTGCAGGCTACTCCTGCTGATCACTGGCTGCCAGCAGTTTGGCAGGTCGAATCTCACCAGGCTCAAGGATGACTCAGTCTTCCATCCTTCCGAGGTTGGTAAAATGAGGACCCAGATTGTTGGGAGCAATAGGCTGACTCTGTAAACTACTTAGAGTGGGCTGTAAAGCACTATGAAGCAGTGTATAAGTCTAAGTGCTATTGCTATAAACCATCTAGCATACAAGTTATTGATGTGCCTCATATTAAGATGTTTTTAGGATTATTAATAATACTATTTCACTTGTTGAAATTAGGGACAAAACAATGTTTACAATTTTGTTCCTTGTGTCGCTTCTTTTTTTCTTTTCTACTTGAGAGGACATTTTTGTTCAAATCATCTCACTTTTCCTGGGGACCCCCCCCCCCCACCCATAAAACATCTATCCTTTTCTTTGTCTGGGATCTTTCCTGTTACATTTCTCTTTGCTATACAACTATAGCACATAAAGCATGGCGCCAGCCGTCCATTTCATATTCAACTCATTCTGCATATATGATGAACCTTCAACAAAACAGAAGGTGCAATGCAGTGGCAAGAAAGAAGCTGAGAACCCAAAAGCTATATTTAGGAAAAGAAAAGTTAGAAAAGAGAAGAAGCCAAATGACAAAAAAGAGAGGCTATGAATTTTTACAACTAAACTGAAATTTCACGAAGAGCCGCCCAAGCAAGTTGAGAAACTCGGTCAGGAACATTCCTGAATGGTGCCCTTATATGACTATTGACACATGCTTAGTTCTCTGCATTTTTCATGGTGCAAATATCTCAACTAGCTAGCTAGAAACCACAGAAGCTCCATGAGTGACAGCAGGTTTTACGGAATCAGTATTCATAGAATATTTGAAATGCATATCAGGAGTGGATGTGATTCTTTCCAAAGGTCTTGTGTAAGCTGAAAATGAGGAAGGTTGGATGTCTCTTAGATGAATCTCTTATTCAGGATTGCACTGGCTTTTACAACAATTTAGTTTACAAAAGAACTTATGCTTGCAGATAACCATCACTGCAGCAAAGATTATGTATGTAAATATATCTCCCGGCTTTAATTCAATAGTATCTTAGCTATTTTCATTTCAATGAATTTTTTTTTTAAATCTTTCTAAGAATATTCTTCCCCCAAATTACTGGACCTCTCTTGTAACAATGTATTTATAAACAACGCATTGTAATTATGGAAACAAGGAGTCCACAATATTTTATTGATCAGTTATTGCATATATTTAAGCCTCTTTAGCAAAGAGGATAAAGAGTAAAGGAAGCTCTATAGAGAAGTGCTTCACCTTTTCTTTGTCTGTTACAGTCTCAACATATGACCACAATTAGGACCAGAACTTACGTGATGTGGTAATTAAATGAGTCACACCTAATTTTACAACCTCTTTTGCTGTAGAGATTAAGTATACCATTTTGTTGTTAAGCAAATTTAGTTTCCACCTTTGATTTGGTCACTGGAAGCTGCCTGGAAAGTTCATAAGTGGCCATCACATGACCTCAGGATGCTACACTCATCATTAATACACGCTAGTTGCCAAGTGCCCAAATTTTGATCACGTGTTTGTGAAGATGTTGCAATGGTCGTAGGGGTAAGAATCACTTGTAAGTAGCAACACTGTCGTAATGTTGAACAGTCATTATTTATTTATTTATTTATTAGTTCGATTTATATGCTGGCCTTCTCCGGAGACTCAGGGTGGCTTATAATGCATTAAGCAAAAACCTTCATACTTTTGTATATACCTGCTTAGTAGGGCTTTTTTTGGGGGCCCCTAAGCGGTGTTCTATTTTATACAAAGTCAGTTTATTGCCCCCAGAAACCGGGTCCTCATTTTACCTACCTCGGAAGGATGGAAGGCTGAGTCAACCTTGAGCCTGGTGAGAATTGAATTCGCAGTAATTGCAGGCAGCTGGCAGCTAAGTGCTACTTTAACAGCAGTTTAGTCTGCTGCGCCACTAAGGCTCATTAATGGACTACCTGGCTCATTAAATGGACTACCTGTAGTTCTATACAGTTACTTCCTTCCTTTCAGATTCTGAAGATGTTTTCATGGTGACTTCCCACTGAGAAAGGAAAATAATATGATTGTTTCTCTGGACATCCACCATTTGCCACTTTCTGGCCAGAAGATCAGCTTTAGTTGCCCCATTACTTTTGGAGGCCTGAGTTCAAATTCAAATTCAAACCTTTATTGTCAGAGTACAACATGTGTACTATAAGATTAACTGAGCCTCCCTTCGTGCACCCCCCCAACACAATACAACTCACAGTGAAAGACAACAAAAAAATCCCTATCCCAGTGAATCCTGCTAACAAACACCTAATCCTATTTCATGTTGCGCCAGTCCCACAAATCAATCATACTATGTTGTTGTAATTATTTTTTGTTCAGGAGTCTGACAGCCCATGGATAAAAACTGTTCTTCAGCCTGTTTGTGCGGCTGCCTATGCTTCTATATCTCCTTCCTGATAGGAGAATAAAGAAGTGCTGACCAGGGTGTGAATCGTCCCTGAGGATTTTCCTCACTCTTCTAAGGCAGGGAGCTCTAGCAATGTCGTCTAGTGGTATCAGGGGACAGCCCATGATGTTTTGTGCTGTGCTCACCACCCTCTGTAATGTTTTTCTATACACAGCTGTCAAGCCAGCATTCCAATGCACTGAGGACGCTTTCTATTGTGGGCCTATTCTTGCAGGTTGACATAATTAATCTGAAGATGATGGGACTAGATCAGGGGTGAAATGCTCCCAGATCTGACCGGATTGTCCGGTCCGGTAATGATCTTGACTATTGATTCGGCGATCTGGTAGCGATGGCGGAGCAAAGCTCTGCCCACCTACCCGGGTGTCATTACTTCCTGGTTTTAACCAGAAAGTAATGTGTTTTTTACCTTCTGCACATGCACA